TCTGCTTCTCTATCTTTCGGTCTATAAAATATTCCTGGAACACTTAACATACTAACTACTGTTAATATCTCTTCAGTGCATCCTAATTAATCTCCTTTTATTAACATTTTTGATAAAGGAGGATCTAATGGAAATTCACTCATCTTTCTACCTAAATCTGTTAATTCACCTACATTATCTAATGCACCCAATACCCATAATTAATACATTGCATTTAATATTGTATCTTATGGAGGAGGATCCATAAAATCAAAATCTAATAAATTATTAATATTTAAAGATTTTAATAACAATACTACATTTGCTAAATTTGTTCTTTATATTTCAGGAATATTATTTTCTAACATATCTTATCTATAATTCAAAGATGAATACAATCTAAAACAAATACCAGGTCCAGTTCTTCCAGCTCTACCTTTCCTTTAATCTGCATTTGCTTATGATATTGGAGTAACCTATAATGCATCCATACCAATTCTTGGATTATATACTTTCATTTTACAATATCCAGTATCAATCACATATTTCACTCCATCTAATGTTAATGATGTTTCTGCTATATTTGTTGCAACTATACATTTTCTAAATTCACTCTTCTCAAATATCCTTGCCTACTCTTCAGATCTCAATTAAGAATATATTGGTAAAATCAAAAGTGGAGGTGTTGCCTCACTTAATTTATTTAATTCCTCTGCTAATAAATAACATGTTGTCTCTATATCTTCTTGTCCTGTCATAAATATTAAAACATCTCCAGGAGGTTATTAAATATGAACTTCTATTGTTTTCTTTATTGCGCTTCTTACATAATCTTAAGCAGGAGCTTTCTCAAATCTTACATCAACTGGAAATGTTCTACCTGGAATTTTATATATTGGTACTCCTCCAAAAAAATCACTAAACTTTTTTGCATTCATTGTAGCTGATGTTATTACTATTCTTATATCTCTTCTTCTTTAAGCTACTTTCTTCAATATTCCAAATAAAACATCAGTATTTAACGATCTTTCATGTGCCTCATCCATTATCACAGCAGAATATTTCTCCAAATCAGGATCTTATAAAGATTCTCTCAATAATACACCATCAGTCATATATTTTATTACTGTATCCTTACTAGTATAATCCTCAAAACGAATTGCATATCCCACTTTACTTCCTAATTCTACTCCCATCTCTTCAGCTACTCTTTTTGCTACTGATACTGCTGCTACCCTTCTTGGCTATGTACATCCTATCACACCTGTGTTTGTATATCCTTCTTCATATAAATATTAAGTCAATTAAGTAGTCTTACCTGATCCTGTCTCCCCTACTATTATACAAACTCTATTATCATGTAACAATTGAACTAATTCTGATCTACAATGAAATACTGGTAAATATTCTCTTTGTTCTTTTATTGTTTTGTTTCTTGCAAAATCACTCTAACCCTATGTAACTCTCTATAATGCTGTTTAATAACGAGAAGAAGCCTTAAAATCATAATCTCCATCCTCATTCAATAAATGTCTGTCTGGATCTAATTCTTTTTTCCTATCTAAATTCATTACTTTCCCCATCTTTGATCCACTTAGTTCCCAAAATCTCTCTCTCATTTTTGTTTTATCCTGTTTCTCTCTCATCAACATTAAAACTTCTGAACCTTATTTTGCCAGCTTTGCCATATCTGAATTTGGATCCTTAACTATCTATACTTATGTTAATTGAGTTGTATAAACAACTTTTCCATCTAGAAATGGAGGTTTGATATCATGCACATGTATTACAACTCTTTTTTCATTTTCTTCTTCATAGAAATCCCAAGCATCTGCTTTTCTTTTGAATACATCTGATGCAATCATTCTATTAAGTTCCCATCTATTTTATTCTTAGTTTTTTTCTGATTATCTTACAGTTTAACCTTTACGTTTACTATATTCTTCAAATTTAAATTCTTCTTTTTATCCTTTAAATATTTCACCACCCCAATCTTATTAAGATGCATTACCAATATCATCTTCATCATAATCATACCATTTCCTATCTGATTCTTATTCTAAATTTTCCCATTCAAATGCTGTGTATTCATTCAATAATTTATTGCGTTTTCTTTCTTCTTCTAATTTCTCTGAACGAGCAGGAGGCTTCTTAAATCCATCTGCATCTTCTTCAAATTAAGGTTGTGCATTTTTTTAGACACTTGAATTTTCTGTGCCTTTGAACAACATAGGACCTGAGGAGACTTTAAACTAGCTACTTACTGAAGATGAACTTCTATAGAGAGATTCCCTATAAAAAGGAGCCTGTCTACCTTTACTATCATCTCTTGAACGACTCTCTCTATCCATTTCTTCTATTTCAATTAAAAATTTTATATTATTTCATTGTATAGATTATTAATAAAAATAAATATAAAATATGGAAGAGAGTTTTACAAGTAATCCAGAAAATCCTGAAGATTCACATAACTCTAAAGAATAACAATCTAATAGCACTCAAGCCTTTTTTAATTTTATAAAAAGTTTGGTAGGAATTGCAATACTTGATTTACCTTATTCAGCAAATGAATGTGGTTATGCTTTGGCTAGTATACTACTTTTGATTCTATCATATGGTACAATTAGAACAAGCTTAATGCTTATTAAAGTGGCAGAAGAATCAGATATTCATTATTACTCTAAAATTGTGAAGGAATTTATGGGACCAATCTCAGCTTCAATTTTGGACATCTTTTTATCAGGTTAGTAAGTATATATATCAAATGTTAATATAGTTATTTGCTTGTATTGCGTATATAATATTTTTTCAGCAAATGTGTTAATTGGCATTTTCCAGCCTTCCAAATTATGTTAGTATAATAATTTCATTACTGATTATTATTCCATTGTCATTAATAAGAGATTTACATTTCTTTCATAAAACAAGTACAGCTGGATTTCTAATTGCAGTGTTTGTATTGGTAACTATTTCAGGAATTTCAATTTCTTAATTTGGAACAGTTTAAGATGTTGTAGCATTTAATGCATCAGGAATGTTTAAGTTTATAGGTGTTGCTATGTTTGCATATGAAGGTATTTGTACAACACTTCCTGTAAGATATTCGATGAAAGATTAAAAAAAGTTTCCATTTGTATTTTTGAGCAGTTCATTAACATGCTTGTTTATGTACATTGCTTTCATTATAATAAATTGTATAGCTTTGGGTACAAAATTGTAATAAATTATTGTTTTTAACTTACCTAATGATAAATTGTGGGCATTTGCATTGTAGTTTTTATATGCCATATCAATTTTATTTACATACCCAGTTTAAATATACCCTGCATTTACAATAATTGAAAATAGGTTAAAAATAAGAGATACAAAAATTATATGGATTGTTGAGAGAATGATTGTAACATCCATTTTATATGTGATTGCATATGTAATACCAAGTTTTAATACTTTCCTTAATTTAATTGGAATGGTTTTTGGAACATTTTTATAATTCATTTATCCAATAACTTTGTATTTGTTGTATTTTCGTGATAATTTAAGAGTTTTTGAATGGATTGAAGCTTCACTTGTAATGATAATGGGTGTTGGTGCAGGTGTACTTGGTTTGTACTTTTCAATAGATGATTTAGTGAAATAAAATAGTTGATTACAAATATAATAAAATTATTATGTATAATAATTATATGAATCCTCGAATGATGACCAATAATAGAGGATAACAAACTCAACAATCAGGACTTAGAAATGATTATTAAAGTGTAGTTTAAGTAAATTGTATAATCAATCATTTAAAAGGGAATATAATCATTGATGGGAATTTCATTTTCAACTATTTAATTGTGTATATTTGGTTCAATGTTGATGGAGAAAACTAAAAAATTGTTAGAGTTCATAAAATCTGGAGCTGTCACTTCAATTAATAAACTCTTAACTTTGCTTCGAATCAAACAATTTCTAAAAGGAGAACTAACTATGGTATAGATAGGTAAATCAGTTGTAAATACAAGTACTAACATTGGTAAGTAATGGATAATCGCTATAAGATTGCTTTTATTAGTTGGTAATCTTAATTTAAATATACAGTAATTTTATTGATTGGTGCGTTGTTGACACATATGAAAAGAAAAATCAGAGAAAAACAATAAAGTGAAGTTGCTTTAAAGTAATCAGATGTTCAAGAACCAGAATCTTAATAACAATTAGATATATAGGCTGATTCATCTTAATTACCAATATAATAAAATGATTTCTGGAATCATGTTGAAGATAATCAATAAAATCAAGAATAATAAACTTAATTGTAATAATAAACTAACCCTGTTCCAACAATTAATTATCTTAATGATCTCCCTGGATTCTCTAACATTGCTAATTCAAGTAAACCATGGATGAAATGATCAAATTTATTATTTTAATATATATATAATATATTATAAATCCTAATCAGAATGCAAACTCTATTTAAATTATTTACTAAACCAAGAATTCCTATCATTCGTTTGAGTGGTGTCATTAAATAGATATCTGCAGATAAAATATAAGATTAATTGGATAAAATCACATCTAAAAATATATCTGCTTTAGCTGTTTTGATAAACTCTCCAGGAGGTTTACCTGTCTAAAGTGATATTATTTGTCAAAAATTAAATTTATTCAAATAAAAGCATAAGATACCTCTATATACATTTGCTGAAGATGTAGCTGCATCAGGAGGCTATTTTGTGCTTTGCATAGGAGATAAAGTTTTTGCTGATTAAAGTTCATTAATTGGTAGTATTGGTGTGATTAGTTAATGGCATGGAATTAAAAAAGCTTTACAAAATTTAGGAATCGAAGCAAAATTTTTAGCTTCCAATGATTATCTCCATGAAGTTGTCAATAGTGCATTTTCTGATTTTAATTAAGAAGGTGCTTCTTAATGGATAGATAAGTTGGAATACACTCATTAAATGTTTATTGATCATGTTACATCTTATAGAAAAAATATTGTTGATTAAAATGTATTTAAAGCTGAGGTTTATAATGGAGAATAAGCAAAATAATTAGGATTGATAGATGATTTTGGAAATTTTGAAGAAATATTAAATAAATTGCATCCAGGGTGTAAATTTGATTATGTCAATTTTCCAAATAGAATGGAAGAACTTAAATAATTTTATAATGCTTGAGTTTATTATTTAATAATTTTTATCAAAAATTAATACTTCTTTAGAAATTCTTATATTCTCATCATAAGTATCAGATCAACAAATACAAAACTAGAAATAAGAAGTATGTAAGCAATATATTATATAAGGATCAAATAATTTAATTAAAGATATCACAATTAAGCAATAAGCTGTTTATTGAAAGATCTTTTTCATTAATTAAACTGTTAATAATTGGCAATTTTATTATTTTGAAGAATTTTTGTTATTTTGTTAGTTATTAACAATTATATGAAATCAAATATTATTAACTAGACAACCATATTAATTAAAAAGTAATTATATTAGATTGAATGTAGTTAATTGATAATAATTAATTAGTGAATATTTATATAAATAATATTGTACAATATAAATAGATCATCTCTTCAAAACTATCTATTAAGATAGTAATAAAAATAAGAAAAACGAAGTGAAAAATAGAAATAAACACATGAGTAGTTTAAATAAGAATAGAAAGGATATTGAATTAAAATATATTTGTTGGTAATCAGTGAATATCAATTTAAAATTTATGTTTTTACAAATATAATTCTTCTTTTTGAGTGTTTATAGTGCAACTTAAATTTACCAAAAAACATTAGAAACTGCATATATGTAGTTTAGTTACAAATTAGACTCATCAAAGTAGCACTTGATAGAAGTAATTAAATAAGAGTAAATTGTGTTAGTTGATTATATATTAATTCCCAGATGATCAATAATGTCTTCCTTATTTAGAAGTTAATTCAACATTAAATGGAGTTACTTAAACCCTTAATGATGAATAAGGATATGCTACAAAATCAAAAGTCTAATAAATATATGTTTAGTGTGATGAGATTCAAATAGGAGTTTCTAATAGAAAGTTAACTTTCATACCAGAATCTAATTTGAGCAAAGTAATATAATTTTCAATCACAATTTTTGATTCAGTATTAAATTCTCAAAATATATTAAAAGCCTCCTGAAAAGTTGGTATGCTTTTTTCCAACATATGGATAGGATTGTTAATAAGATATGGAAGAAATTGAAACAGAAACTTCAACTACATTGATAGTGCCTAGACATTCTTGGAACTATGTTTATTATACATTAGATAACTATGATTATAAAGTATAATAAAATAAATTAATATAGATTGAAGCTGAAAGTGATGGAGTATCATTTGTAGTAGCTTTATTACCAATAGATAAGGCAAGTAAAACAATTTTACCATCATTTTAATCTCATTTATTTTTATTGAATTAGAATGGTGATAGTGAATAAATTAAATTGAAAAGATAATCAGAAATTTAATCTTATATTTTTGCAGTTGGAGTATATAATCTTGATGATGAGGCATCAATTACATTAACAATACATTAATAATCTGAAGATGAAGAAGGTTCATTTCCTTTATGGGCTATACTTACAATTATTGGTGTGTTTATATTAGGAATATTAATTTCAATATTTATAATATGTCAAATTAGAAAATAAGCTAAAGTATATGAAGAATAACCTAAAATTCCATTAGAAGTTTTAGATAAATATATGCCTATAAAATAAGTACCAAAATATTAACTTACTGAAACATGTTGTATATGTTTAGTCTAATTTTTAAGAAGAGATTAAACAAGAGAGACTCCTTGCAAACATTTCTTTCATACAAATTGTTTAAGAGATTGGACAAAAAAGAATACAACATGTCCTGTATGTCGTTAAGAATTAGGAGAGATAGATATATAGAAATATTTATGTTTGAGTTAATTGACTCATAAAAATGAAATAGATAATTCTAATTCTCATTAAGGTGATTTACCTAAGATACCTCTTACACAACTAAGAATTAGTGATCATGAAATTAATACTAGAGGTCTTATTATTATAGATAATTCACCATCTAATTAACATTCTCATTCTGATAGATTGAGTCTTAATTTAATAGAGGATCAAATTGTTGAACATTGAGTATTTATATATTCTATTTTTAATTTCAATTTAAGATATAAATATTTGAGTATTTGAAATTCTTATAATTTTTTGGCATCTCTCAAATTATACATTAATTAGTTCTCTTAGTTAATATACTTAACTTGTATTATCAAATTTTATGTAATTATGACATTCTATTTAACTTAAATTTTAGTAAATTTATGATTGGAAAATACAAAATATGTGAACCTATTGGTTAAGGCTATTCATGTAAGGTTTATAGAGCATAATATACAGAAAATAATTAATTTTATGCCATTAAGGTGATTAATCATAAATAGATGAGTGAACCTTAAATGAAATTACTTGCAACAGAAATTGAAATCTTACAAACTTTGAATTGCTAAAACATTATAAAATTGATTGATATTATAAAGAACACTTCTATTACCTTTATTATAACTGAATTATGTTAATATGGAAGTTTGGAAGGTATTGTTTAAATACTACTTCATAGATCAAATGAATAAAAATAAACTGTTTAATGAAGTATAAGCATTGAATTTTTTGAATTAAATGTGTAATGCCTTATTGATTTTAAAGAAATAAAGTAATAGACACACCTTATTTAGAAATAATACATAATGATATTAAACCATCTAATATCTTTATTTCATAGAATTGTTTCAAATTAGCTGATTTTGGGTTCGCTATGAAAGAAAATTAAAATTATCAATTTAATTTTGGAAGTCCTTTGTACATGTCTCCAGAAACTCTAACAAACAATTAGCATACCTATTAATCAGATATATGGTCTTTGGGAATCACACTTTATTAATTACTTCATGGTTTCACTCCTTTTAAAGTATAAAATGAAAAAGAACTTCTACTTTGTTATCTTAATAATCCTATATAATTTAAAGAAGATGTCAGTTCTAAAATGCAATCTATTATATCAAATATGTTGACAATAGATCCTTAAAAAAGAATAACCATAGAAAAATTACAACTTTTAATTATTGATAAAGAAAATAGCTTTATATCTTCATCTTTTCATTAAAAAACAAAAGTTTATGAAAAATAACCTTTCTAATTTAAAGAACAGACTTTAAATATCTGCTAATTTATAAAATCAGTAAGATAAGAAATTTAAGATAATGAATTATTAGTTTATGCACTTACTGGAATCATACTTTATTATACAAAATAAGATTAAGGTATATTATAGAGTTGACATAGAAAATGAATACAATTAGATAACAGTCATAGTACAATAATAGAAGTAGCCAAATATTTTTTAGATGGTTAAAAGCGATCTTTTGAAATTCTGTATGTCCTAATTAGTACTCAGCATTAATCTCCTTGCTGATTAACTTAAGTAACTAAATCCAGTATGTATAATCAATTTATAATCAGAACTTCTATCATGTTTAAATTAATAATGTTAGGTTATTGGTCAATTTATATAATTTATATATATTTCTAAGATCTGGTGAATAGAATAAATCATTAGTACTTGTAAATTAAAATATAACATTTCAAGAAGCTTAGTAATTGTTAAGCTAGATCAATATTTGATTTTATTTTATTTTATTTTATTTTAGAATTTATTATTATCATTAATTATCTTTATTAAATTAATGTATATCATTTAAAGTGTACTATTAATATAATCTATGTATATATATAAAATATAGAGTATAAATTATAATATTTGTATAATTATAAACTATAAAACATCATAATGTTAATTATTATAATTAATCAATAAATCAAGATATCATGATCAGATATGTAGTGACAATAAATTCATACGAAAATAGAAATGATGTGATTTATTATACTATTCGAGTTGATGGTTCAAATTTTCACAAAATACTTTATAAGAGATATTCGGATCTAAAAGTATTGAAAGAGCAACTCTATTAAAAAAACAATGAATTTAAGTTAAAATTAACACTTCCAAAATTTCCAAAAAAGAAGATGTTTGGAAGTACAAAAAACTCTCAAAGTGACATAAAATCTAGAGTAATTCATTTGTAAATTATAGGCTTAAGAATTACAGTAGTATTTAGAAACTGTTTTTAATATTCCAGCTTTATAGTCGTTTTAATTTGTAAAAGAATATTTACCAAAAGTACAATTACCAGATGAAACATGTCGATTAGATTAATTTGATTCTTAATATTCAAAAGATTTATGTTGGTTGTAAATGGATGAACTGAAAAAATCATTTCTTCAAAGACAAGATCTATTTCAATCAACAAAGAAAAGTAAATAGAAAGGGAACAAAAATTCAGTGTATTATTAGAGATTTCATTTTACAATAAATGAATTTGCAATTTAAAACGACTTCGTTCAATATTTCATAACTTTAATAGACACTAAAAAAACAACGAAATATTAATTTTAGACTAGGTATAGTAATCTTCGAGATTTTCATTAACTATTAGAGAAATAATAATTTAAAAATAGGCTTCCTCATTTTCCAAAAAGAAGATTAATAGGATAAACAATTGATAATCCTTAATAAATCAAAGAGAGATTAGAATAATTATAAAAATATTTAAATGAAATATTTAGTGTAAAAGAATTTGCTGAAAGTGAACCCTTACTTTATTTTATAACTAGAATTAAATTAGAAGGCAAACCAATTAGATAAGATTAAGCAGAAAGGGTAAGTCAATTTTCCTAACAAGTAAATGGGTCTTCGTTTAATATTAGTTAAGGAATTGAAGAACTTCGTGAATAGAAATCCTATTGATCATAATCTTATTAATGATTGTTTATGTTATTTTGTTATATAGATAGTTATCATGATAATATACAATATTTATTTATAATTAATAATAAAATGAAACCTTGGAATAAAAATAAAGCTAATTCTTTATTATTAAAAGATTAAGTTGGAGCTGCGAAATAATCAATTTATACAATTCCAAATGATATTTATTTTGGCAAAGCAATTGTTCATGATAATGAAGGAGCATAATAAGGTAAAATTAATTTCTTTCATATTAGTAACTTCAACTTGGTACTATCATAATAATAGTGAAGTAAGTCCTTAAGATAGAGATTTTATGAAATTGAATAAAATGTGTATTTCAAGTAAATTACATGATTAGAAGCAATTTTATCTTTTCAGAAAAAGTAACGATGCAAAGGTTTTTAGAAGAAGAGGTTGTAGTTAAATTGAAATGAATTTACCAGATGAAAATTTTAGATATGGCAAACCATATTTACCTTAATCTCCTATGAAAAATGTTTTAAGTGGTAGTTATATGAATGAAGCAGAACAATTAATGGATAAGAAATATGATGCTATCTCAAAATATAAATAATAATAAAATAAAAGGCCATCAACTGCTACAAAACATACTAAAGCAAGTAAATTGGCTTAATAAAGCTTAATAAAATCATTAAATAAAACACAATAACCACTATTCAAGTTAAAAGAATTTGATAAAGTGGAACCTAAAACTAAAACAAGATTTTGATAATTTATATTTTAATTATATTTTATGAATCAAGACGAAAAGGAAAAAATAGTTGTTTGTGCTGTTAATTCAGACATGTCATTAGATGGTGTAGAATTATCAATATTATAATTTACTTATCTTGATAAAGATAATGATTAATGGTAAATAAATACACTTTTTTTTGAAAAATTTGGATATACAGATGATTTAAGAAAAAAAATTATATCAACAATAAAAGAGTATTCTAAAACAACATAAAAAAAGTTTGATGACACATCAGCTAATGAATTAGAAGAAGATTATGGAAAATTTATAGAAGATTTATTGTTATAATTAGATGAAAAAATTAAAAGTTTTTCTGTTAATTTATATGCATTTAATACTCTTCTTATACAATTAATTGAATTTAATGAAGAAAAGCCAAAGTCAGCTGTATTTTTGAGTAAATTTTGCTAAAAAATTGCTAATAATTAATAATAATAATAAAGAGTAATTTGTAACTTCTTTGCTTATGATTTTTATTTAAAAGGAAAGGGAGGACCTTATTAAATTATAGGTTAAGCCAAATTATTTTAGTAATAAGAAGCTTAAATTAATTTATCAGGTTTTGCATCTTTTACACATTTTAAAAATAAAGATGATAAAGACACATATAATGGAGATTTTATATGTGCTGCAATGTTTGCTCTTAATTATGCATCACAATGGAAAAAAGATAATTTGAGTAAGGGTATTTAGGATAAAAAATATGATGATGAATTTCTTTAGAAATTACTTTAAATGAAATTCAATTATTCAGTTCAATATATGGGTAATTTAATGGAAATTATTGATTAATCAAAGTTAGATACAGTTACTAAAGTTTCAACATTAAAATAATACATCTTTTAATAAATTTAATCTTATTTAAATAGTATTAATCAACAGGGAATAGTTTATGTAGCTGGTAATTTCTCTGAAGATTTATTTGATGTTTTAAAAAAAGAAATTAACAAAGTATAACTTTAAAAATCTAAAGATCATTAATAGATTGACTCAATTAATACTGGATTCTTAGCAGTTAGAAAAAATAAATAATTATTGAATATTTTTAAAAATGTTACTAAAGCTAAAAGTGATCATTCTAGTGGAGTTATTTATATTAAAACTGATAAACCAATAACAATTACAAAAGAGCCAGAACTAAAAAAACCACCTTAACAACCTTAACCATCTTAATCACATTAACAATCTAAATAAAGGTTAGAACATTCAGAGGATTTTGATTTAGCTATTTAAATTTAAGATTTGCGTTAAGATATAAAGATTTCCTAAACAAAGCCAATAAGTAAGAAATGAATAATATAAATATTAAATTTAAAATTTGAATTATGTAAGAACTCTTGGCTTAAAAATATGCTGAATTATCTTAAAATGTATTAGATAATGTCGAATTCGCTTAGGCAGGTACTATTAAATCTATTATGTAGAGGAATTATATAAAGAATTGTTAAAGAATTTGAATGAAGATGTTTCCATCGATCAAATAAAACAATTAGGAAATTAATTGGTATATTGTAGATTTACTATTTTAGCTTGACTATTAATTATAACTATTATAGGATGAATTTATTTAAAGGAGGAGAGCAAAGGAAGAAACATAGGATAAAGAATAATTATTACATAAAGAATATCCACAATTATAAGATAAATTATTAAAATTAAAATAAAATTGCCAAGAGATAGATTAAAGTGCAAAAAAAATAAATGAGACACTTAAAAAATTACCAGAAATAGAAGAAGCTAATAGAAAATAAATGAAAGACAAATTTTATGTTGATGTAAAAGAAGTTAAAGATAAAATTTAATAAGAAGAATTAGAAGCTTAATAATTTGCTAAAGAAAATTTAAAGTAAATGTATTTTCAATATTATAGAATTCGTGAAGAAATGTAAGCATTAATTGCACAATATGAATAAAAAGAAAAGGAATTTTGGGAAAAAGTTAAATAAAATGAAGAAGAATAAAAAAATGATACTAAAAAATATATGGAACAATTTGAAAAAATGTAAGGTGATGCTTAAAAGGCTATGCAAGAAAAATAATTAATTTAAGATGCATAAAAGTAGTTAAATGACAAGAAAATGAAATTATAAGTATACAAAGGAAAATAAAATGAATTCATTGAGACTTTTGAAAAATCTACAAGTACCTTTTAAAATTTAACTGTTGAATTTTTAAAATTAGCCTTTAAGGTTAAGGAGGATGAAGAAAAACAAAACCTTAATCAACAAAGAGCTGATAAAGCTAATTTATTATCACTAGAAATAGCATAAAAAGTATTTTTTCTTATTATATATTAAAGAATGTGGATTTAAAATCGTAAATTGAAATTATTGAAAAAGAAAAAGATAAATTAAGAGCTGAAATCTTAGAACTTAATAATCAAAAAAAACTTAAAAGTTTAAATTAATAAAAGAGTAATGGTGAAAATTGATTTATTTTGGGCATTCAAATATAAAAATAGTTATTCATTTATTTTTAGTTTGTTAGTTTTTCTTTTTTTTTATATCAATAACCCAAAAAATCTTAACAATTCAAGCTATACAGAAATATAAATACGATATTTTTTTCAATACTTTCCAAAAATTAAATTATTTGTTCCAATTATATTAAAAATTAAATACTCAAACAAAAAAAAAAGAATTTCCAAAAAAGTACTTATTTCAATATTTTCTCATTTTAATTAAGTTGTTATGGAAGCATAAATAATAAAAAAGTGAGGTTTCATTAGAATTTTTTATTTCATCGATATTAATTAAAGAATTATTTTATTAGCAGTTCATCTTATTAAATAAAAATTTCCTGGCTCTATTAATTATTCAAATTTACAAAAAAGCTCTTTTAATATATTTTGATAATGAGATCAATGTGATATATACCCAAAGAGTAAACTTTAACTATATAAGTATCATTTTACAAGATTAGTTTATTCAATAGGTGTCACAATAAATAATTGTTTTTTAAGATATTGAATATTGTAAATACAAATTTCGAAATTTCATTATTATCTAAATCGTCATTATAAATAATAATTGAATAATAAAAAAGATCCATATTTGCTCTAATATTTCAACTTTGATCAATTTTAAAAAAAATTCATCATGATAAATAAAAAGTTATAAGTAAAAAGTATCAAAGGGAAAAATAAAAAATTAACAAAAACAAAATAAATAAGCTTTTATAAAATTTTTTATGATCCTCAATCAATTTTTATTAATTAATCTCTGTAAACACATAGTGAAAGAAAATTGGGGAGAATTTATAAGATTTTGAAATTAAATCTAATTTACTTATTTATTTCTTGCGCTGGCTTAAATTTGATTGTTTTGAAGAAGATTAATGATTCTAGATCTATTTAAATAAAGCAAGAATCCAAAAGTATTTTTATGATTTAATTTGCTAAAAAGAATAGGATTTTAATAATATACTTCCAAAAAAATAATTAATAAAAATGAATAGCTATAGAAATTTTTTATCTACTTCTTCTTATTTTTTTAAGTTATGAAAAACACAAAAAAATTAAGTTAAAAGTCAATTCACTAAAATTTGTTCTCATTATTCTTTTCCTTACTAATTGGATAAATAATAAAAATGAAAATAATTTGTTAAATAAAATTTTTTTCATAGAAATTGAATAAGAACAACACCCTATTCAACAATTGCAAGATCTTCATAAAAATACTTAAGTAATTTTTATATCAAATTATTTAGTATTAAAATTCTGGATTAGTTATTCGGATGATGTTAGAAAATTATAAAATGCCTAAAAATTAATAACATCTGAAGGTACTTAATTGATACAGAAAAGAATTAGAAGTCTAGAGAAAAGAAATAAAAAGTATTGTAAAATATAAATTCATGAATAATGGAATATGTATAAAGTAAAATTTATTTAGTATTCTAGAATATTAATAAATAGTAACGATTATCCTTATATAATTGAAACCCCCTATCATAGCCATGAACGCTAAATCTTAAAATAGTACATTTGAATTTGTAATCCATGTAAATGAATTACTTGATTATGCTCTAAAAATTTTTAGAACAAGAAAAAATTGTACAGAAAAATCCAAAATATATGAAAGTAAAAATTATTTCTACATTGCTGTTTATAAACAAAAAGAAGATGACTAGTGGTCATAGAAATACTGACAATAATACAATGATTAATTTTTAATCTAGAATTTTTATTGTTTTTTATTATTGAGATTATAACTTTAATAATTAAGAATCGTTTGTCATCTGGTGACTCATAAAATTAAAAAGTTCATTATAAAGTTAGGACTACATTAAGATTATACTCTTCCATTTGTTTTTATCATATTCTTAAACACATCTAGTAGTTAAATTTAATTTAGTAATAGTTAATTTTGGGCCTATAACATTTTGAATTAATCTCAATATTAAAGACCATTATTTGATTATAAAAAAATACCTTATATTCTTAATGCAATTACTTTAATTTTAGAGTTATATTACAAATCCTTTTTTAATGCTATAAATGAATAATATTCAAATAAAAATGAAAGCTATTGCTGAAGCAAAAGTGATCAAAATTCTTAATTTTTAATAACGATAATTATGTTAAATCATTCTTATAGTTAAGCTCATTCTGACAATTGAAATTTAAGATAAAATATTGTTTCCATTACAAAATAAAATAAAATCATCTGGTTTATTATGGATTAAGTTTTATTTAGATTGTGAAATTTATTAATCTAAATAATTTGAACACAAAGATTTAAAAAATAAAAAATAATGAGGACAAAGAATTTATTCTGGTTTGATTGAAAAAGTCTATAATTTATATACACTCAAGTTTTCAATAAGCCAATTTTATTAATAATTATCTTTTCTGATGATATATTAAGTCAAATTTGTAATAAAAAAAATTTAACATGTTACTTAATAGTTAACATTTCTACAGCTTTTATAGCATGGGAAATATATTTTAGATAATTTAATGAAATATTCTTATTAATTGAAAATAGCTTTATAGCTTTATTTAATTTAGACTTTAAAATTTAGATTTAAAACGTAGAAGAACTTTAATTTCGAGATTATATTTCTTAGTATTATTAAATTAAAACTACTTTTTTGTAATTTTTTTGTAATATTTTCATGATAATTACAAGAATTCATAAAATAATTTTAAGTGTTTGATCGCTCTATATAAAAATTAAGTGGGATTATAATAAAAATACTAATGAACTCTTAGAAGGAATAAAAATATTGCTACTTTAAATTTATTAGAATTCATGAAAAGATGAGATATAAAAATAATTATAATTAATGGTATTTTAAAATTGTGTTGCGTGTGGAAGGAAATCAGAAGGATTAGTGAAATTGCTTCCTCATTTCAAATCCTCAAGGGAATACGAGTATATCCATAAAAAGTGCCTATTATTTTACAAATCTGATTGGAATCATCGCTTGGCAATAAATGAGAAATTATTTTACAAGGAATACTAGAAACATTGTTCAATATGTGGAAAAAAAAACTAAAAATAAATTGTTCATTGTTCATATAGGTATAATTAGAATGTGTAATTCGTAAAAGTTTATGTAAAAAGAGCTTTCACTTTGATTGTGTTGAGAACCCTATAATATCTAAGACTGAAGAGAATAGTCACCGTCCTCCTTAGTTATTGATATTTTGTACATACCATGATTCAATCGAAAATGTTGTTACTAATTTAGATGAAGCAGTGAATTGCATATATAACTCTCATATAGTTTAGAAAAAAGAATAAGAAGAACCACATTCACATCATAGAGTTAAACATAAAAAGAAGCATAAAAAAAAGCATTCCCATACTAGATCTCGTTCCTATAGAAAAAAATCAAGGGGTTCGAGTAGATGTTTAAAATTTAGTGATGGTGAAGAGTCATAATCTATAAAATAGATTCCTTAATACATTGAATCAGATTCAAAAAGAAAGCTCTTGGTTATTAAACCAAATATAATAACTACAGATTTATTGAATAAAGCTTTTTCAATTAGTTAATAAGGTAGTAAGCCTTAGATTGAAATATCTTGTGAAGAATCATTGTAAAGAAAAAATTAGTTTTAACAATAAAATCTTTAATAACTACAAATAATGCCATAACAACAATTATAGCAATAACCACCATAAAATTAGTAAATTTAGATTGAGAACTAAAAAAAAGCATTTATTCGATAGTAAATTTTCCCCTTGATTACTAAAACAATTTAAGAAGATCCTGAATTTCCAAGGTAAGAGAGAGAAACAAAAAGAGATTAATCAATAGCAAAATGGTGGGAAAAAATAGATGATATTTATTTTTAGGGAGATAATAAAATGCCTTTAACGAATTTAGAAGAAATAGATAATCTTTTTTAATGGCATGATTAAATTTTAGATGAGGATCTTTTAGATAGTGCAGATGTTAGTAATTTTGGTAATACTTTGATTTATGGATAGAACCAATAATTTAATTAAGATATCTTTATAGAGACTCCATGAATATTGTTTTTCGGACTTCACAATCTTCCTATTAGTACACTAATTGTAAAACAATCTTTTAGATTTATACGATATAATTTCACTGATTATATTGGTCGAACGAAAACCAAAGGATAGATCCTAACTAATCTAAGACTTTATAGATATCCATAAGAAAGTGTTCCTTTTTTGAGAAACCTATAAATATCTGAAAATGAAGTAAAAATTTACATTTGCTAAAAAGGAGACAGTAGGAAAAAGTCTTATTTTTCAAGAATCCTGTGAAATAAGTTTAGAAGATTTTGATCAATGTTTAAAGTTGGAAGAAAAAATTAAACTTTAATATTAGCATTTAGAGTTATAACTTGACATTGAAAATGGAACTGTGGAATAACTAGATATTGTCTACCATGTATTAAAAGAGGATTTGAATTAAATTGTTTAATAAAATAATTTAATGAGAGAAAATATAAACACATAAATTGATGCTACAAAAGATTATTTGACCTTAAAAAAATTGAAAAAAGAATAAAGAATTGCTTTGGATTTATTAAAATGGTCATAAATAGTTAAAGCTTTTATTAATGGTTATAAAGATAAATAATAAGATGTTCTTAATACATTTTATCCTTGTTTAAATTTGGATTCTCAATCCTCATAAAAAGCTTAATTAAAAAAAAAAAAAATTCATTCTAAAGAAAATACAAAACCACTTGATACAGATTGCAAAATTTGTTTTGATTATCATTATACAGATTTTAATCCAGTTATTTATTGTGGAAGATGTTCAACATCATTTCATAAAATATGTTATTGTTTTGTTGGAAATTTAGATGAATCAGATGTCCTCTGTGATGCATGTTAATTTGAATAAAATAAATTAGGAACAACGAAAAGAAGTAATCTATTTTCAATATTTAGATTAAGCAAAATGTAGAATTTGCAAAAAGTTAGGACTTCCTTAGAAATAAATTGATAATTAATTTTATCATGTCTCATGTTTACTGCTTACAAATTTATTAATTTTGAAAAAAGGTGTTTATTAAGTGAGAAATAGTAAGAGTGATATTAAATAATTCTGTAAAGATAATGAATCAAGTACTCCATAATGTGCTATTTGCGGTGATGTTAAAGGTATTCATTTTATCATTCTAGGATTTCGATTTGCATGTTTTGGAAATGAGACAATACCTTGTAGACATGCATTTCATCCTTTATGTGCCTATCTTCATGGACTGACAATAGATATTGAAAGTGAAGATATAGAATAATGTTTTGCAGAAAAAAGATTTGGATTCTTGAATGTCAGAATTAAATGCGTATTACATTGTGGAAAAGATTTATAAGATTTATTACTACAAACATATTATAGGTAAAATTATTCAGAATTATGTTAAGACGATTTGCCTTAAATTATGAACAAGCAGCCTAATGTGGAGGATAAGATATCTTTTTAGAAGGTTTTAAAACAACTAAGGGATACAAATATTTATATTCAAAACAACCAATATCCAAGAATGACTCTTTATTATCATAATTTTATAATATAAATGGACACCAACAATCAATGATGTGAGTAGTATTAAAATTTAAATTATTTAATTTTATTAATGATGATCATTCTTTTACTCTAATTTTTTAAATTAGATTGATTTAAATATTCTTATTCTATATATATTAACTATAATTATCACAGATCTAATAGGTTTATTAAAATACTATATATTAATTTAGAATAAAATGATTTTCACCTAATATTAAATCTAAGTTTTTTTTTAAAATATGGATTCTAAGCTTTACTAAGGAAATCTTTAAACTTAAAATTTATAGTATGATTTAAACGTATTTATTCAAATTCTTAAAATGTTAGAAGAAATAATTTTTCTGTCTTTCCTGAATTATATGGAAAACTCAATTTTTTATAATTTATTTTTGATTCAAAGTATTTAATTCTAATAGAAGATTTATTGATAATATTAAATATATGTATAATTTTTTATCATAATGTTAAACTGTTTTAACAGAAGCTAATAGCAAAGAAATCTGGGAATATAAATAAATAGAGCTAAAAGAATAGCAGCTTGTTAATTTATATAGACAATAAGCTTACCATCAATAAAGTTATCAGATGGCTTAGAATCTGATTAATGAATTGACTCGCCATTTCAGAGACTAAAAGATATATAGATTTTTGATAGAGTAATAAACTAATTTTAAGCTTAGGTTGATTTAAAAGTTAATAAAAAAAATAGAAATAATATAATAAACAAATGGAATGGTTTACACTTTAAAACCTCATTTGGGAAATCAACTGGCTAGTTTAGAATATGCAGCTAATAATATTGATAATTTTCCTTCTCTTATTTCATTAAAGGACATAATATTCACTTATTTTAATACAACATTATTGACGCCTCCTTTTGAAGTCAATCCATTTTTGTTAAACTTATTTGATATTAATTATGTTAGAAATATTTATCTGACATTATTCAATCAAACCAATTAGATTCCACTTCAAAATTATGGGCACGTTTATACTCCTAATTACGAGCCATTTACATTTTTTTTATTAGATGATAATATAGAAACTTAAATTACATCTTAACCAAGTTCGACAACTGCTTACTCATAATATAGTTATCAATAATATGTCCCATAAAATCATTATTAACCTTGCCAAAATCAATAATATATAACAGATTCATAATTTTAATAATAATAAAGTTAGTAAAATGTTTATTAATAATAACCATAATCATAAATCCCTTATAATAATTAAAATTTAAATGTTTATTCTGAAAAACCTTATTCAAATATTCCTTAGCCATAAATATAAGGATATTCGAATTCTTAATACCCTACTTTTACATATGTATCTACTCCTTAACCCTAAATATTAGGATTTCATTACAATTAAACTTAAAATTATAATAATCAATCCACAACTTATGGGTAAAATTTTAATGTCTAACTTTAATATTTTGCAAATTAAGGCTAAGTTGATTATACGCCTTAATCATATCCTCATTATATGTCTCAACCCTAAACATATCCTTAAGCTCCAGGAAATCAAAATTCAATATAATCTCCTAATGTAAATTAAATAGCTTCATTTCCTCCAACACAATGGCCCCAATCTAATTTATCAAATAATAACCAAAATTAAGTGGAATAATAATATTAGTAGCCATAAGCTTATCAAAATTAGATGTAACCTCCTTATCATCCTTAAAATCTTAGTATGGAACCTTAATACCAATAAGTTGAATAAATAAATAATTATAACATTAATCCAAATAAAGAATGCAATTATCCACAAAATTAATAACAAGTGCCTAGTTCATAAAACGTTTAATATGAATCTTATGAATAAAAAATGGTTTAATCTTAAATTCCATAAAGCGTCTCTCAAGTTCCAGATTAATATGAGAGTAATAATTAGATAAATGTAAATTCAAACAATCAAAATACACAATAATATTTGAATCAAGAAAATCCAAATTAAAAAGATTAAATGTAAGATATTAGATAAGCTAAATCTATCTATACACCACAAATCCCTGATAATAATACTCAATAAAAATATTAAAACCCCTCCAATTAAGCATAAGAAACTTTATAATAATAAGCTTTACCTCCTCCTCCTCCTCCTCCACCTCCACCTCCTCATTAAGTTTAAACTCCTGAAGATTTTATTAACTTAAATAAGATTAATTAATAGAATTCTATTTTGGATTAAAGATCACTTAATGATTAAGAAATTTAGTAATATAGTTTACAATAATAAAATGATAATAGCTTATTTGAAGCATTATTTTTGAACAAAAGCTTACTAAAATATGAATTGATTGACAGCAAAGGCTGCCCTTAACTAAACTAAAAGGTATAATATAAGTAAGACAGAGATATGAAAGGCTTTAAGAATCATGATGAACATGCTTTGTTCATTTTGAAATGTTATTTAGATGGAAAATTTGCACAAAATAAAATCGATAGAACTGAAGAAATGAAAACTTTGGTGAATTTCTGATTCAAATATAAAATATATATATCATATAATTTTCAATTTTTAAAGAAGGAATATATAGTATTCATTTAAATTATCTTATTATCCAGAACATACAAGAAAAAAAATAATTTAAAAAAATGAAATCCGAAAAGAGAAGCTATGTATGTATCCATGATTAAAGCAATTTTATAAATGAAATTAGGTATACCTAAAATAAAAGATAGAAAATTAAACAAAAAAATAATTAATTTTCAATTAGGCAAGCTATTTTTGAATATTTAAAAAGCTAACTTTTTAAGCGAATAGAAATCTTGATCAATAGCTAGTAAAATTAAATATGATAAATAACATAGAAAATAAAAAAATGTCTATGACTTCAAAAATGATTATTTTATCATTAAAATATAAATTATTAATATTTTATTGAATTATCTCATCAGGGGATAACTAATTAAGTATTATCATAAATTAAATTAATTTTTAATGCCTAGTGTGTTATCCAAGATTCCTTTGCCTCAATCATTTTAGAATAAGGCGCTTTCAGGAGCATTATTGGTTTTAATATTAATGATTGTAAAATCGAAAAAAGAAGCATCTTCTCCTAGAAAGATACCGAGGAAATATGGTCAAGGAAATGTTGATAAAGTATTTATAAACAGAATCATGGATCTATTGAAAATTGTTATTCCTTCAATTAAAAGCATGGAGATATTTGATTTAAGTGTATTAACAGTGTTTTTAGTAATCCGTACGATGATGAGTATCTATATATCATCTTTGAATGGTAGAATAGTTAAAACAATTATTAATGGTGATTTTTAAAAGTTTATATAGAAGGTATGATATTTCAATATGTAGATCGTCTAATTGGGTTTGGTTGCTGTACCTGCAAGTTTTGTTAATAGTTATTTAGAATATCTAAATAAATCACTTTCTTTAAGATTTAGAAGGAGATTAACTGAATACTTTCATGATTAGTACATCAAAAATATGATCTTTTATTAAGTTTCTAATTTAGATAGTCGGGTTTCTAATCCAGACTAAAGATTAACTACAGATATAGAGAAATGGGCCAATTCATTGTCTCAAATTTACTCAAATTTTTCTAAACCAATTTTAGATATAATTTTATTCTCAAAAAAATTAGCTGTTTCTATTGGGTATTAAGGACCAATGTATGTATTTTTATGGTATTTTTTTTCAGGAGTACTATTAAAATTAGTATCTCCAGCATTTGGTAAATTAACTGCAATCGATTAAAAATTAGAAGGTGAATATCGAAATGTTCATAGTCAACTTTTGTATCATGCAGAAGAAGTAGCATTTTTATAAGGTTAAAATTGGGAAAAACTAAAGATAAATTAATCATATTCATAACTTAATAAGCATTAAATATTAGTGAATAAATTAAGATTGTTTATGGGTATATTTGATGGACTTCTTGTTAAATATGGAGCAGTAATGGCAGGATATGGAATTATGGGTTTACCAGTTTTTGGTCCTAATAGAGAAGAATATTTGAAAAAAATTGGAAATGATAAAAGTGCCATTACAAGAGATTATGTCAGCAATAGCTCCTTATTAATTAATTTGGCTAAAGCAATTGGTAGATTAGTTGTCAGCTATAAAGAAATATAATAATTAGCTGGATATACAAGAGTTGTTTATGAAATTAAGGAAGTTTTATCAGATTTAACAAATGGGTATTATAGAAGAACTTAAGTATAAGGAGAGAAGGAAACTGGATAATTATAAGTTGATCAATAAAAACATTAAACAATTTAATTAGATAAAGGCTAAGTAAGTAAAATTATTAAAGTTAGATAATTTAAACTGAAGATATTATAGAATTTGATAATGTTCCTATTATTTCCCCAAATGGAGACACTCTAATAAAAGGAATGTCTTTTAAAATTACTCCTGGAATGAATGTTATAATAAGTGGACCTAATGGATGTGGTAAATCTTCTCTTTTTAGAATTTTGGGAGCTTTATGGCCAGTTTAAGGAGGTACATTATATAGACCTGTAATTGATAAATTATTTTACATTCCTTAAAGACCATATTTGCCTCCTGGAACTTTGAGGGATTAAATCATATACCCACATACTAAATTATAAATGTTGAGGAGAAAGATTAATGATTAAGATCTTAATAAACTATTAGAAGATGTTTAATTAGATTACTTAATCTTAAGAGAAAGAGGTTTGGATGCAAATAATGACTGGAACGATATTCTAAGTGGAGGAGAAAAACAACGTATTGCTATGGCTAGATTATTCTATCATAAACCTCAATATGCTATTTTAGGTATTTAAAATAAATAATCCTATAGATGAGTGCACTTCATCTGTTAGTATGGATATTGAAGCCATTATGTATAATAAAGCAAAAGCTCTGAATATTACTTTGTTTACAGTTTCACATAGATAATCATTGTTTAAATTTCATGAGTACATTCTAAAATTTGATGGAGAAGGTAAATACTGGTTCAATAAATAAAATATTTGAGAAAAAATATAAACATAATAAATTATTAAATAAGATATTATATGAATATATCCATATTGTAATGATTATTATTCCAATTTTTAATTCTTTATATGATATATTTATAAAATAATCATATCTATTTATTTTTTTATTTAAATTATTGATATAATTTATGATCATCAATTATTCAAAGTCTGTATATCATCATGAAAATTCTCTTTTAAATCTTTTTAAATTCAAAGAAAATTTATTTTTAGCCAATATTTTGTAAAGTTAGATTATTAAATTATACTTGCTAGTTGATATTCGTTGTATTTATTGCATTTTTACACAAAACCACATTAAATTTAATACATCGTTATACAGACTTTTATTATATTATTTCCAGATACTAAGGTTATAAATATTATACTTATAAAAAAATTTGAAATAAAATAAACTCACAAAATTAAATTCTTAATTTGTTACTTTATTTTTCTAGATATTCATTAACTTTAACACAGAAGGATTTTATAAACTCCAATAACCATGAATAAGAAAATAAAATTTTATATTATAAAGTACATAAAAGCATTTCTAAATTTTGTTTAATCAAAGATTAGAATAAAGAAGTTTGTTTGCTAAAATTAATAACTACTTTTTAAAGTAAAATAAATAATAAGAGGCAAAGTATATATTTATGATAATAATAATTAGATCTCTCAAATATATTTGATAATCTATAATTTTATTTTTCTCTTTAATTCATTTCAATTTATTCTTGAAGCTCTAAAATTATAAGTTGTATGCAAGTATTTTTTGATTGAAATATTTATAAATAAAGCTTTTAGCATCAATTTACTGATCAATACATTAGTTTTTGTTTTCATTTTATTTTTTTTAATATAGTTTTGAAATGGCAGATGATGTTTTAGATAATGAAAAAAAGCTTATTCAATTAAAGGCTAAGCTAATGAAACTAAAAAGCAAGAAAGAAGAGTTAGAAGAACAAATGACCTAAAAAGAATTAAGAAATAATTATTTAGAAAAAGAATTGAGTCAGAAGAATAAAGACTTTGAACTATTAGGAAAATATGTTACAAGTGGTTATCATGATGATGAATATTAAGAGAAAAAGGCACCAGCTTAATAAGTGACAAAATTGTTGGAAAAATCAGTTTTAGAGAAATTTAGCTACCATACTGATAAATATTTTAGATATATTGAGGATTGCATAAATTAGGAACAAGATTAAGGTGATATAAAGGATGATGATAATTAATATCAAGCTCCACCTCCGACTTGTGCAATATAAGTAAAATGTTTGAAAACTTGTTTACCAAAAGACAAATAAGAAATAGGAGTTCCAGGAGATGATCCAGATTATGTAACCTAGACATTTAGGTATACAAAATTAGAAACTTTTGAAAGTTTAAAATAAGCCGCTCTTCGTTATTGGGGATTGGTGGAAACAAAAGTTGTAAATAACTACATTGAAAATAATCAAAAATCAAATGTTTTGTAAAGTGAAATATAATAAGAAGGAGGAGAATAATCGAAAGTCAGTGAAGGTAATGGGTAAGTTGCAATATCAGGATTAAACAATTCGTAATCAAGTAGATAGTCTGAAAATGATGTAAAAAGAATAGCTAACAGATATGAAATAGTGACTGATGATTTAGAACCAGTTTAAAATACAAATTTAATTGAAAGATTCTTAAATGAATAGTGTGCTAATCCTAATAAGAATACCTTATGTGTTGTTTTGAGAAAGAAAAAAAACAAATAATAGCATAAGAAGGTTGGAGGTAAGAATCAAAACGATGGAAAAAGCTAAGGAATGAGTTAGGTTAAAAGTTATGGAGTTAGTCATGGTGGTTAAAGCTCTTAAATAGGTACACAAACAAACTAATAATCAAATTAATAATCTAAGGTAGCAGGCGAAGATTAATCAAATACATAATAGTATAATTAATTAGAAGAAGATGATGATGATGATGATGATGAAAATGATCCTGATCAAGATGAAGAAAAAAGAAGATTAAAAATTAAATTATATAAGAAATTTGCAACATTTTTTAAAAGGTTTCCTTTATTAAGAAAGATGTTCATGATTGACAAAAAAGATATTGAATCCAGAGGAGTTATGATAGATAAAGAAATTAAATAAGATAAAAAAGGAATGACTTGTGATGATAATAACTTTTGCGTTATTTTAATATTAACAGCATTGTTTGTCTTAAATTATTTAGCACTTTATTATTTGGAAGATGGTCCTTATGCTTAGACTAATTATAGAAGACTATAATCTTTACTAAAAATAGGGAGCATTGGAGAAACAGGTTCATATAGGGACATATCTAAAATTGAGGATATTTATAATTACTACTGCAATATATCTGGAATTCCTTATTAATTAATGGTCCCAGAGTCTAATTTTAGACAATCTTTTGATATTATTGGAGCTATTAGAATCAGGTAAATAAGAACTAAACCAGCAGATTGTCCTTACCCTAAAAGGAATGATAGGAAAAGTTAAATTTCTTGTGTTTATACTGAAGTAACAACTTCATCAAGATAAACTGATCAAATAGGAGATGGTTCTAAACCGTGGATGTAATATTAAGCTACAAGTCAATTAGGAATTAGTAGAGTTTCTAAAGGGACTTTTGATGATTATGATTCATCTGGATATATCTTAGATTTAAGAAAAGAAGATTAAAATCTTTTATAATATAAAAATAAAGTAGTGTAGGAATTATTTAATCATCCAGAATATTTAATAGAGGGGTTTAATGCATAAATTCTAACCTTTACAGTACGTAGTAAAAATGATGGATCTTTTATCTTTTTAGAGCTTTTAATCGAATATACAAACAATGCTTTGATACCTAATATTCCATTAATTATTCCTTTTAACTTAAATTTAGTTGGAAAAGGATTATCATAACCATATTCTGTTATTGCTTAAAGATCTTAAAGTAGTCCTGAAAATCCTGTTGAGTATGAAGTTGGAATCATAATCTATTTGATCACTATAGCTAAGGTTTTTGTGGGTATTTTTTTTCTGTTCTTTTAATTAATCAAAATAAAAACATATTTAACCGACTCAAAGGTGAAAGGGTTAAAGTATTTCATTTCTATAACTTTTGTTATGAATTGCTTAATTATATATATAACTTTTAAAAGCTGTGATCTTATATTTTAGTTAGATAAAATGAATTATGATGCTAGTGAGTTATTTTATAGAGAAGAGTTTATTGATTTAGGTGATTTGGCTGCATATCATTCCTCTGCACTATTTACAAATACCATTGGATTATGCTTTACTATTTTAAGAATATTTTTACTATTTAATTTTTTAAGATCATTTGAAGCAGCTCTAAGTGCTATAGAACAATATTATTTAATGATATTCGCAAGTTTATTTATTTTAGCATTTGTTCTTGTTGGATACACAATGATATCCATGAGCTTATACGGTTAATATAATGTAGCTTTTAGTACATTCACCAGAGCAATTGCTTCTTTGATATTGATATTAACAGATTGTTAGGATCAATATGCTTTTTATCAATTCGATATCACATTGGGGGCAGTATTTATGATCATCTTTTATTTTTTATTTTATACATTCATGTTCAATATTTTGGCAGTCATGTATATTGATTCATATAGGTAATAAGTTAATAAAAATTTAGAATTATAATTGTGGATTAAGGAGAATTGGTTCAAGATAGCTGGACATCAGAAGATATATTTAAATTTTTTACTACTTGGATTCCAGATAGTTGCAAGAAGAAATTCAACAAAGCTCTTTAATAAGTTTAATAACACACAGAGTGAGAATCGATTTTTCAAATTCAAGTTTGTGATTTAGAATATATAATATTATATAATTCAATTCAATAAAGTTCTTTTTTCAATTAAAAATTGTTTAAATGGATAAATAAAATAATATTTTGAGGATATTTCAAAATCTTTAATAATCATTATTAGCAATCTTCATTAATGGACTTCAGGAAGAGTTGTATTTCTCTTTTAGTTTATAAAGAACTTTGATTTTTGAGGCTACAAATAAACATTACTTAGATTCTTCTTTTTCACAGGAGATTAAGACGGAAACCCAGTAATAATAGATGAAGTTAGAGATCTAGGAGTAAGTACTTTTGGAGTATGCATTTCAGTATTTTTATTAGAAAAATGACTCTTTTTATATAAGGATTCAAATTATCCTGTTTATCTAGAGAACTATTATTTTTCTTAATTCATAATCTTTTACTATTTGATCAAAAAAGATTCAAAATAGCAATATTTAATTCTTCTTTATGAATTTATAGGAGATAATTTATTCACAGATATTTATTCTTCAAAAAAAATGCTACTTAAAGTTAGTCTGTGAGTAATTGATTTTATCATAATATCTTCTTTATGAATTTAGCTTTCTTCAACTATATTTTCATTGTTTGTACTATTTTTTGGAGAATTAAGATATGAAGGGAATAACAAACTTTACTGTTTTCGTATTGATCTTTTAAATTTATTAATAGCAGACTCCTACTCTCTCATTAATTAATTAATATAAACTCCATAATTCATTGTGTCCTTCTAAAATAAAGATTACTTACCACATTCAGAACAATCACAACTTTTTCTTTTCTATATCTCTTTTACTTAATCTTTCTCTTTTTGGTTATTAATAATTACTTATTAACTTGGTTCATTAGAATTATATTCAGAAAATTTCAGTGTATTTCTCCCAGTTCTTATTTTTGATTATCTAGTAGGAGATAAAGATTCTTTAATACTATGTTATTATTATTAACTTCTAAAAATTTAGAGAGGTTTAAATAACTTCCCAAAAAATTTCATATTATGAGGCGCACTAAGACTTCTTTCTAATTTAGGTACATTGATATTCTTTAGTTTAATATTATTCTTTTTAATTATTATTTTCGCTCTTCTTTTTTAATCTGAAGTATATGGGATATTGTGAACTGAATAATAAGGCTTTCTAAAATTATTATTTTCCATTTATTTCCTGTTTATATTTATTAAAATATGATTTAATTCGAAAATTGAAACTCATTCTCATACATTCTTTTTACATATAAATGATGCAATAATATTAATTTAGAATTTTATACTTAATTATAATTAAATTTAATTACTGATTTGGAGAATTTGAAATAATCTAAGAATGATCTTAACTTTGTTCCTATTTCAAAATGTCTATATCATTTCACCATTTGAAAATTATTTCAATGATATAAATCTTCTTTTAAAAAAACCAACTCATATTAAGATATAATAAATAAATCTTAAGTAAATTTGAAAAATATTTTAATTCTAATCAATAGTAGATAAACTGAATATCATATCATTATTTTCAAATATACAATTATTATGTTAAAAGTGATTATTTAAAAAAATCTATACAAACCTCTTAATAATTTTAATTAAAAAATGAGATAAAATAATGATTTAATTTATTATCATAAATATTCACTCAGTTTATAATAGTTTTAGCTATTGGACAGTTTTTTCAAAGTAGTCAACTTCTTTTAAAAGCACAGGAGTATATTAAAGTTATTGTATTTTATCAAACAAATTTTGAATAATTGTTACAGTAGTGATACCATCTTTATAAAATCCATATGTCACTTATACTTTTTGACCTATATAAATATTGATTGATTAAACTTGTTTCATCGCATTTCTAAGATTATTCATAAGATGAATATTCAAATACTGGCCTCATTTAAATTTCAAAATTATCTTCCTTAAAAATAACTATTAGCATACATTAATTATTAAAGTTTCTTCAGAGAAAAAAACCACTTTTTTAAAGAGTTGTTTATCTTACCATATATAGGTTTCTGCAACTATTTATTTATTATCTTAAATTTATTTTACTATTTATCTGACAATCATAGTGCTCACCCATTTATGTTTTTATGTAGTTAATAATTCAATTGATCTTTATAGACTACATTTTAAAGGATGGATAGTTTTAACAATTTATCCTTATATATGTTAAATACGGTGATTTTCATATTCTAAATATTTAGTCATTTCTTGTACCTTACACCAATTTCCAAATTATACTTTAATTCTTTTCGATATCTTTTAATTACTCTATTGAAGGTTCTTAATCTAAAATACTGAGTTTATCTTTTGAATTAGATTTAACAGGAATTATTTCTTTTTACAAATTCTCGACACTTTCAACTAAAAGTTAAAATCCCTCTTCTTTTTTTTACTAATATGCTTATTAAAATTCATTTAATGCTTCTTAATCTTCTAACTAATTTACTCATATTTATAATACTAGAAAAGAGATGAATTCTGGTTTTAAATCATTAACTTTAACATATTTATAAATTAATAGTAGAGTATCTTATTTGCAGAGTTATTTTTTACTTCCACATATATGATATGATATACCCATTTTTTTTAGTTGTTTAATGCTTACTTCAGAAAAAACCTTTAAAAAAAAGTCGGCATCTATAATAAATATTTTATTATTCTTACATGGATTATAATCATATTCTAACATTTTCCTTAAGAATTACATTCCACTTACACAAGATATGTGTGATTAAAAATCTTTAGATGTATTTTTTAGTAATTCAATAATTCCTTTTTGTTTCTAATCATCTCCAATTAGCATAAATTTTAAAACTTATGATCCCAAATGTTAGGTTTTACCAAAAAAATATTTTTCCATTTTTCTACTTTATTTATATAAATATACGAAAATATTTTGCTTCTTTCATCACTTCTCTCATTTAGTTTTGCTATATAATGAAATACCATTTTTTCTTAATCATTTGAAGCAACCAATTTTGTCTCTTCTTTTAAATCGTTTAATCCAAATTCATCTTTACTCATTTCATGAAGTCTAACATTTTAACCAAATCCTCCTTTTAAAAATTGTTCTACATAAATAAATATAGCTCACATTAAATATTTAAAAAGTTTAAAAAGTAATGCATTTAATTATTAAGATTTCTTAAAATATATTTCAATAATTCTAATAAATTATTTATTATATTATTTACATTCTAACATTTCTCTTCTTTCTGCAATATTTTTTTTTGAGTTAGATTTTATCAATTTTTTCTCAGGAAATTTAGGTAATTTATGTAAAATATTGGATATCTAAACAAATATGAATAAAATTTACTTAATCATGAAGTTTTTCAAATTCTGAATATCTTTTAGCGATTGTATAATCAAAGTAATCAGTCTTTATTTTTATTACATAATTCACAAAATGTTTTTTATGCATTGATATGTTATCAACCTCTTTGTATGTATCAATAATTGAAATATCCTTAATTACATTATGATTCACAATCATAGAAAATATGCTCTATATCTGATTTTTTCATACATTTTCATCATTAATAGGTCTTTCTGATTGTTATCGTATTAATTCACTATTTTCGAAACTTTAAGGTTCCCAAGACTGTGATCTTTGCCTTTTCATGAATTATGTAGATGAAATAAAATTTGTATATATATTTTTATCATATAAAAATGATTTTTAATGTAAAAATTTTTAGAAAAAAGTAATTTAAATAACATCCTAATTATGAAATGAAAATAGATTATTAAAAAGAATGTTAAAAATGTCAATTCGTAACTTAGTTTTAAGAGCAGCTTTTTGAGAACAAAACAACAGACTTTTAGAAATAAGAATTTATTAAAAGTGATTTATTATAAATCTTAAGATTAAAAAAATATTAACATTAAATTAGTCGGGATTATGATACAATTTTAAAATCATAGAGTAAGAAAATAAGTTTATGATTTTTTTATCTATAATTAATTTCTTAATTATCTAATATAAAAGGAATGTAACAATTGAATCAGAGTCCTTTGGGAAAACTTAAGACAGATGAAAAACAAATAGAATCTTATAGATACAATTTTAAAAAAGGAAAATTAGGTAAAGGTGCATATGGAACTGTATATAAAGGAATAAATATTCATACTCGATAAAATGTAGCAATAAAATTAGTTAGAAAAAGTGATATGAAAGACATGGGTAAATATTTTATTATATTTAGATGATGAAAAGTAACTTTTAAATGAAATCTAAATATTAAAGAGTCTAAAAAATCCTAATATTATAGAGATCATTGATGTTCTTCAAACGGAGAATAATTACTATATAATTTTAGAATATTGTAATCATGGGGATTTAGAATCCTTAATATATAAAACTCATTAAATAACTCCAGAAGATCATTTTCAATTTTTAATAGATATTTTAACTGCGTTCACAACATTAATAAAGTAAGGGATAATGCATAGAGATCTTAAGCCAGCTAATATATTAGTTCATATAGAGAATAATAGAAAAATATTTAAATTGGGTGATTTTGGTTTTGCAAGATAGATCAGTAATTATAAAAATCAAATAATGGAGAGTAAAGTTGGAACTCCATATTACATGAGTCCATAAATATTGAATGGTTAATAATATACAAGTAAGAGTGATATATGGAGCATAGGATTAATGTTATACTAAATAATTTATTAAAAAAGTAAGAAATTACAATTATAATAAAGCTCCATGGTTAGGTAGATCTGAGAGTGAATTACTTTATAATATAGTTCATTAAAATTTGAAATTTCCAGAAGTTCCAAATATAAATGATTTATGTAAAGACTTTATTTTGAATTGTTTATAAATAAAGGAGGAAAATAGATTTAGTTGGGACACTCTTTATCGTCATCCATATATTAGTGAATATTTTATAAAGTTTTAGATGTAAAGAAGTAATTGCTAAAAGAAATTATATTATATTTAGAATTACTTGAAATAGAAAATTCCAAATGTTGATATTTTAACTCAAATATTTTAGAAGGTAGATACTTCTGGAGATTAATAATTAAATTTAGAAGAATTTAAAAGTTTTATCTAATATTTAGATAATAGCTTTAATGATGATGATGTAAAATATATTTTTGATGAATTTGACAGAGATGGAAATGGATATGTTGATTTTGAAGAATTCAAATAATATTTATATCCATCACCTCCTAAAAAGGCCAAATTATAGAGGTCTTTATAATAAAAACATATGATAATTTTAAAAGAGTTATCAAATTTGATTTAATAATATAATATGAGTCCAAGATAATTATTTCGAAAATATGACACTTCAAACAATAATGCTTTAGATAAACATGAATTATTTGCATTGTTAAAAAAAATAGATTTAAATAACCAATTGTCATTAGAAGATATTGAAACCATAATAAATGTATTTGATGAAAATGATGATGGTGAAATTTAATTTGAAGAATTTAAAAAATGTTTGTAGTTGATACATAATGATGAATTATTTACAATAAATTCAAGTAAGAAAATGATTATTGAAACTGATGAAAAAATATAGATTGTTCCTTAATTGAATAAAAAAATAAGTATTGAATAACTACATAATTAAAAAATTATTTAGAATACACAAAATTAATAATTGGTAGTATTACAAACGAATCCATAGATATCTTTTAATCTCTGTTAATGTAATATTTGAATTTTANCAAATAATGGAGAGTAAAGTTGGAACTCCATATTACATGAGTCCATAAATATTGAATGGTTAATAATATACAAGTAAGAGTGATATATGGAGCATAGGATTAATGTTATACTAAATAATTTATTAAAAAAGTAAGAAATTACAATTATAATAAAGCTCCATGGTTAGGTAGATCTGAGAGTGAATTACTTTATAATATAGTTCATTAAAATTTGAAATTTCCAGAAGTTCCAAATATAAATGATTTATGTAAAGACTTTATTTTGAATTGTTTATAAATAAAGGAGGAAAATAGATTTAGTTGGGACACTCTTTATCGTCATCCATATATTAGTGAATATTTTATAAAGTTTTAGATGTAAAGAAGTAATTGCTAAAAGAAATTATATTATATTTAGAATTACTTGAAATAGAAAATTCCAAATGTTGATATTTTAACTCAAATATTTTAGAAGGTAGATACTTCTGGAGATTAATAATTAAATTTAGAAGAATTTAAAAGTTTTATCTAATATTTAGATAATAGCTTTAATGATGATGATGTAAAATATATTTTTGATGAATTTGACAGAGATGGAAATGGATATGTTGATTTTGAAGAATTCAAATAATATTTATATCCATCACCTCCTAAAAAGGCCAAATTATAGAGGTCTTTATAATAAAAACATATGATAATTTTAAAAGAGTTATCAAATTTGATTTAATAATATAATATGAGTCCAAGATAATTATTTCGAAAATATGACACTTCAAACAATAATGCTTTAGATAAACATGAATTATTTGCATTGTTAAAAAAAATAGATTTAAATAACCAATTGTCATTAGAAGATATTGAAACCATAATAAATGTATTTGATGAAAATGATGATGGTGAAATTTAATTTGAAGAATTTAAAAAATGTTTGTAGTTGATACATAATGATGAATTATTTACAATAAATTCAAGTAAGAAAATGATTATTGAAACTGATGAAAAAATATAGATTGTTCCTTAATTGAATAAAAAAATAAGTATTGAATAACTACATAATTAAAAAATTATTTAGAATACACAAAATTAATAATTGGTAGTATTACAAACGAATCCATAGATATCTTTTAATCTCTGTTAATGTAATATTTGAATTTTATTATCATATAATATTTATGCTATTAACTTAATTTAAATAATGAATAATATATATTAAAAATGAAACAAGAAAAAAATATATTAATCTTTACTCAAGAAGACTTTTAGTAAAATTTTTTAGTGAATCCAAATCCTCCTTTAGGTTCAGGTCATGATGCTAAAGTTTATTTGGCTATGCATAAGAGAACAGGAGAAATGTTTGCATTAAAAGTTCTTATATCAATAACAGCAGAACACCTCAACAATCTCTAGGTTTATTTTGTATTTATTTAGTGAACGAAATAAAAATACTTAAATTAATAGAGCATCCAGGTGTTGTTTAAATAAAAGGCCATGCTTAAGATTTTACTTGTGTTTTGTTAGAGTATATGCCACATGACACATTTCTTAGAATATTAAAAAAAGGTCCATTTTAAATAAGTCTTGCAAAAACACTTGCATATCATCTAATTTAAATTCTAGCTACTTTACATAATCATTAAATAGCTCATTGTGATATAAAGCCAGAGAATATATTAATAGCTGCAGATTATAAAGTCAAACTATGTGATTTTGGATTTGCTAGAATTACTTAATAATTGTAAAGACCTCCTGGGGGTACACCTGGATACACAGCACCAGAAATTTATAAAGGAAATAATTTAGATTTATTTAAATGTGATATTTTTGCATTAGGTGTTGTAATATTCATTATTTTTTTGGGATTTCCACCATTTTAAAGCAATGATCCTACATTGAGAGATTAATGGTGGAATATGATATTGAATAAATAATATGATATTTTTTGGAAAAAATGTGAATAATATAGATAGCAAAAATATCCTTAAGAATTTAAAGATATGATTATGCAAATGTTAGAACCTGATCCTGATAAAAGAATTTGTATACAATAATTAATTCAACATTCTTGTTTATAAAATGGAGCACCACTTGAACAAATTGTTTAAGAAGTGCAAAAGAGAACGAAAAAATGATTAATAATATATAAATCATTTAATACATTATTTATATCATCTAAAAAAAGTTCTATTTCACCACTCTTTTAGATGAAGAAAAACTTGTGATTTGATATTAAAATAATTATTTATTTATGTCATCCCTCTTAAGACCCACACTGGTTAAAATGATATATCCAATTTGCTAAAAAAATGAATTCGCTAAATCAGAGAGTTCGGTTGAAGAGGATGTTTGCTTTATCGAAACTATAAGAGCAGAAGCTTAAAACCCGATGAGTAAGAATTTCGATTAAGTTGATTCTACAATTGAATTTCAACAAGACCTTGAAGAGTTCTTAAACTCTCTAGATTGAACAACCAAACATGAGATTTACTTAGATCTCATCTGATTATATAATATATAAATCTTTAACTCTTCTTAGAGTAACAACAATTTATTTTATCCATTCCTCAATTTTATTAATTATTTTTCATTCCTATCTTTATAACATTGTCTGTTGCACAATTTCTATTTATATTTATCAGCTTAAATTTTTTATTATTCAGATTCTATATATATATATATATATATATAAATATATTTATATAATTATGTTAGCCAACTTTAAAAAATTACTATTGTTATAAAGATTTAATATCAACTAATCTGCAAATAATTAGATTATATTCTGATTATAAATAATTTTTTTATTTTATAAATGTATTTATATTTCATTTCTTTTAATCTCCAAATTTAATATAATTTACTAGATCTTTAGGTTTAACTGTTTCATTTTCCTTATACAGTCCTTAAAATTATTCCTAGAATGTTTCTTAATTAAAAGAAGTAGTAATTGATACACAAAGGCTAATTTAATTCATGAACTTAAATAATTCTTAATTTTTTTCATCTGATATTATTAATTAATATATATTTTATCGTAACAAATCAACAGCTTCTGAATAACCTTATACATAAAATTCTATAGAACTTATATTAATATTAAGATTTCTAGATTGATCATCATGTATAAATGTTCTTAGTTTTTCAGGAATTTTAGATTAATCTCTTAAATTACAATGCAAATTAAATATAGATATTAAGTCTTTTTTTAAATTTTCTAAATATTAAATAACTTCTTCTTGTTTTAATAATTCTTTTTAATATTATAATAAAAAGCTCTCCCAATCTTGATCAGATTTATTTTGATAAGTATCTGAATTCAAATAAAAATTTATTTCTTTTAAAACAAGATAATGCATTTTCTTAATATAATATGCAATAACTTAATCAAAGGGTAATTTATATTTTGGAAATAAACTTAGTATTTTCTGTTCTGTATCAGCTAATATATAACATTTCAAATAATCTAATTAAATTTTAAGCCAAAAGCTATCAAATCTTTTATTAGAAAAAAAAGGTTATTTCATAATGACACTGCAATAATCAAGAGATTAAATTATTTCAGTTATTTTTACTCTTTATTGTTAAGTTTACCTACTATTTTAAGAGGAATTAGATGCTGAAGATTAATTAGAATTGTTGTAAGAATCTAGTGGCATATTTAATTTATCACTCTCTATCGCTATTTTGAAGTAATCAATAATATCTTTTTATTTTGAATAAAAATCTTCATATTCTTTTATTCCATCAATTTAAAGACTTCTAACATAAGGATGTTAATAGATATCAAAAAACGATAATCTTTTGTCTTTATTGCATGTCAATAAACTCTATACAAATTCACATAATATTGGATTGTATCTCTAAGTTTTACATTCAATAAATTCAATTTTTTTTAAATATTCATAATATTGTTCTAATTAATCATATTTACAACGATCTTAGTAATTTAATTTTCCTTCAAAATAATTTATTGATCTCAGTTTTATTAAGTTATATAAGAATGCTCCTACTAACCAAGAATCAAATTTTAGATCAAATTCCAATAAATTATCACCTACATTATAAAAAATTTATACTATTTTTTTGAATTAATTTTTCCAAAAATTCTGGGGGTGCTAAAATATCTAAATTATCCTGTTTAATATTAGGACCAAATCCAAAATCCATTAGAACAATTTTTTAAGTTGATTTTATAAGTAGAATATTTTAGACTGAAAATAATCTTCCTGGGATTGAAGTTTAATGAAGTTAAAATAAGGCTTCTAATAGCTGTTTTAAATAGGATTATATTTCAGTTTTTTCAAATGATTTTTTGTTTCTGAAATTCTCAATTATTTTTTAATCTAAGAAATCACCATCTAAATAATGCTCAAATAAAAATAAAGGAGGATTCAAATGCATCTTCAAATAGTTTCTAAAATAACTTCGTTTTTTAGATTTTTTCACAAATTTATCTTCTTCTATTAAATATCCTTTATTCTAAAGTTATTATAAATCAAATGCATAATATTTTATTGAAACATTATTTTAAACTTTCTCTTCTGCAAGATATAACTTTCCTGAACCTGTTTCCTGAAGCTGATAAAGAATTGCGATTTGTTAATTCATTTTTTAATTTTATTTTTGATATATAAATATTTAAATAGATAATTCATTATTAAAATTCATTTGGAAAATTAATTTTCACTTAATACTCAATCTCTTCATATTGCAGTTCATAGTTATCTTTTGACTATATAAAGCAATAAATATCATCTGGATTAATCTTTTTATTATCTTTAGGTTTGATATTTTTAAATTTTTTGTTTATATTTTCGAGTGAAAATAATTTATCTATGAGCATACAAAATAAAATCTTTAATTAAATTTGACTGTATTTTTATTTATAATTGAATCTTTCTATATCTTTTTTTTTTTAAAAATATTAATATAGATCAATTATGATCACCTTATATCTCTTAGACCAATCATCTTATTTATATTAATCTGAAAAAATATTAAATTAAGACACATTATTATTTTAATTAAAATTCTTTTTTTCCTAAATTATAAATTCAACCTCTTTTATGAGTTAAGGTTCATAATTATTTTGATTAAGATAACTGAAAATTTAATTTTTATTTTTCTCCAATTCCTCTTAAATTTTTTTCATGGATTCAATTAACTTATTCATAGTTCCTATTATACTATGTTTCAAAAATTGAAATTTATATTCCTATTAAAAATTAGTCCATTCTTATTTTTTATTTTCCTTCCAAGGATAATGAGTTGATTTTAGTTTGGCAAAAAAATCTTGTAAAACTAAAAAACTTAGCTTTTTTAATATATATTAAACAATTCTTGAAAGTTTATAATACTCTTATGGATATTCTTAATTAATTTAATCAGCTGTATCATTTAGAATAAAATAGAGAAACTATTCCATATTGATCTCTTTCCAGATTTCATAATATATAGAATCCTATGAAGATTATACTAATTTACTTAAATTTAAGAAGCCATATAAGGAAGCTCAACAAGTTTCCCTTCAGATATACCAGAATCATTTGATGGTGTTTTTTATGGATTATTGACTTCTCTTTATTATTATCTTATTTAATAAATTAAATTATTACAAATTTTATTCATTCTTTTTATGCTATTCTATAATTTAAGTATTTATAAGAATAGATGATGAAATACCCATTCTAATCCTTAAAGATTCTTAAATTTAAGTTTCATTAAATTATCTATAAAATTCGAAAAATTTTTAGTATTATTGCAAATTTAAATTTTTTACATAATCACTTTAATAGATATCTAAAAAGGACATTCGTTTTTGAACATCATAAGTTAATAATCCATTTATTAAATTAATTAAATCTTGGTTGTGTATTTAAGATTATATATTTATATTTTAATAGATTTTTCTCTTTTCTTTAATATGATCACAATAACGATTAACATCTAATAAAATAATCATTTTTTTAGGCTAATTAATATCCTCAATAGAAGTTATTGGTCTCAATTTCACCAAATGATATAAAAATGCACCTAATAACCATGAATCAACTTTTAAACCATGTTAAAATAAAATATCCATATTTTAGTTATCAAAATTTTTTATTAATTCTGGTGGTGCTAAAATATTTAAATGATTTTATTATATTTCTGGTCCTAATCCAAAATCCATTAAGATTAAATTTCCATTATTTTCAAGAATATTTTCAACTGAAAATATTCTACCAAGTATATTTAATTTATGTAATTCGTATAATGCCTCTAATAATTAAGTAAAATATATATTAATAGTTTTTTAGTCTATTGAATTTACTTGTGATCTATGCTTATCTATTAATTCTTAAAGAGTATTTCCTTGTACATATCTAAAAAGATAATATTAATTATTATTATTGTTGTCAATCATCTTTACATAATGACGAAATAATCTTAATTATTAGAATTAATCCTTTTTTTCAAACTCTTCGAATAAATATTCTTTTTTATATTTGCTTGACAATTTAAGGGCGAAATATCTATCAATTTTATCTTAATATTATTCTTCCATTAAAAAAAATTCTCCAGAATAAGACATAAACTTTGGAATGATCAAATTAAATGTTTGCATTGCTCGATAGAAATAAAATTATTTTATAAAGAATGAAAATTTTATATAAAAAAAGTATCGAAATTTTAGAATATGAAAATAAATTTAAGACTAAGGTGATGTGTTTAGAGCCATTTAAATTATTGAATTTACAATAATTATCTAAAATCATTTATATCAAGTTTGAATATCATAATAATCATTTATTTCTAATAAGAAAGCTATTTAAAATTCTTTAAGATATCTAAAATTTAATGCATTTTAATATAAATTTAGGATCATTTTTCATCAGGACATTATCGAATGTACAAAACATTATTACATCTAACCAAAACTTCACCTAAAATTCCTCTACTCTTTCCATCAACATATTCTTCTGTATTTAACATCTATATTATTATACATATAATATTACGTGTAAATTCATGTATTAATCAGAGCTTTTTAGAACACCTAATATTAAATGATTAATATTACCTCTTAATTCCCATCCCCATTTTAATCTAACAATGATCTATTTTCTTGTAATTTCTTCAAGGAAAGGTCTTGGATTGATATCTGAAACAGTCTAAAGTGAATAAATGATAAATATACATCCATGAATTAATATTTAAATAAATAATATATTAATATGCAAACAAATCCTATTTGTCCATAACCAGAGGCATAATATTTAGATAATTATGAAAATTTTGAAGAAGTAACTAAAACATTTAAATGTCTTCAAAATATTCATCAACCCCTTGAACAAGAAGCAACTTATTTTTTGATACGTGCTCCAACTAAAGATAATGTTCATCGTGCTATTAAATATGGTATTTGGACTAGGTAGTTATATAATAAATTCTTTAGTTCAAGTCGTAATAATTAGAAATTAAATGATGCGACTCGTCCTGTTTATTTATTATTTAATGTTACCTAAACATCCCATTTTATAGGTTTGGCTAAAATTGTTAGTAATTTTAGAGAAAATATGCATTTTATGTATTGGGCAGAGGAGAATAAATGGTTTGGATCATTTCAAATTGAATGGGTAATAATCCTATAAACAAAAGGTTTTCGTAAGAGATTTACCATATAGCGAATTAAGTTCAATTCAATAATCAAGTGGAAAGTGTATTCACGAATTGATTGATTGTACTTAAATTGAAAATGGAGATATTATCTATTCTGCCTTTCAAAATTAACCTTAAAAAAGCTGTATGTTAAAGACTTTTAAAGAATTAGATAATTCAGAAGTAATTTATATTATTTATATTTTTTTAGAAAAGAAAGAGAAATGAAAGAGATTCTAATCCAAATTTTGCCATCTAGTTTTAAGAATATATTAGTGTATTTGAATCTATGCCATTCACTTTCTCTGTTGCCTCTTATTAAAGAAGAAAATAGTAATAGTTTCAAAATCAATATTATTAATAATGTGCATATTATTATTAAAGTCCTTGGTATGGAGTTGGTATATTTTACTATAATTATAGCCTAACCTACATTTTGGAATTAATAGCAACAATTACAATAATAGTCATTACCATAATAATAGTAATAATAATAATAATAATTTCAATAACAGCAATAATAAACTTCTAATAACCCTGGTTTTTATTAGACTTCCAATTACAATAGACCTTAGACATAAAATCATTAAAACAACAAATTTTAACAAAAGAAATAATTAAATAATAAAAATAATAATTAACAGAGTCCAAAAAAATAATGAAGTTTATTAGTATATTAATATAAAATAGGAATTAATTAACCTATATTTTTATCAATAAAAATTTTTATTATCAGAAAATATTTCTCAAATATTTTTGTTTTAAGTATCAAATTAAATGATATATTTATAATCCTAAATGATATTTTTAAAAGATTTTAAGTTTCCTTGTAATAATTTTTATTTTGAAAAAAAAATTACTGAACAATTTAATTAAACAGAAATATTGCCAGATTTCCAAAAAAAAATTAGAATGGAGTTACTTAAGATTAATTTATCATATAAAATTTAATTCATATTTATAATCCATAATTTTTTATTTGATAATTATTCCATAAAAAAAATATAAAATAAATTAATTAGATTGGAATATTTTTAAAATTGAAATGAAGTTCTCATAATGAATAGATTTAATTATGTTTAAATTTAAACATTATAAGAAATCAAAGATGATGAAATAATTATAACAAAATTTGAAAATCATAAATTTTGAATATTTACATTCTTTTAATTTTATTTAGTAAAATCATTAAGATAATTATATTTGAGATCATACAACTATTTAAAACAATGTTTCTCCCATTAGAATTGATGTATCATTTAGATAAAATATTTAATCAATAAAAAAATAATATACCAAGAAATAACAGATCAGATTTCTTTAATTAATATATCAGTTATTTGTAACATATGATTCATCAATTTAATATTATAATCATTTGAAGATGCTTTCAAATAAATTTGGTTTGCTGATAAGTTTATCTAAATTTATTATAGGTTTGACATTTTTTAAGTTCAATTACGAATCCCCTCCAATTTTGAATTCAATTTTTTCTTAAACTTCATCTTCTTCATCTGTTTTTAATATTTAACCTGAATACTAAAAATTTAAATACTTCCTCCTTTAAGACTTGATAAAGAGTTTTTGCTTAATTTAGTATGCATGATGGATTATATTTATTCTTATTAGAGCGATTCAATCCAGTCGAATTAGTAATCCCATATAAAATCTAATTTGAAGAATAAATCCCTAAATAACATTTTAAACCTCTTGTAATCAGGTTCTTCATCAAATTTAAGTTGTCTACAATGTTGAAAGTACTTTACAAATTCATTTGGCAGTCCATGACATAGATCTTCAATAGAAATAGTTTATTTGATTGTTTTAATCAATTCATATTTCTCATCCCGACTAGTAACATCAAGTCCTTGCCATGGTAAAGATCCCTTTAGACAATATAACCATAAATATCCCAAAGATTCCATATCATCTCTCCTGCTTTATTCTATACTTATAACAAAATGAATACCTATTCCAAGATGAGTGTTAAGACTGACATATCTAGCAGTTCCAATCAATCCTTTATTTTCTTTGTAAGGAATGTGCTCACCTGTCTTTTTGTCCTTATATTTTTTTGACAAACCAAAATCAATGATATAGATGGTATTGTATTTTTTATTTATCCCCATCAGGAAATTTTCTGGTTTTACATCACGATATAAATATCCTTTAGAATGGAGGAGAGATATAATATCTATCTAAAAACTAATTGATCTTTTTCATTAGAATACCATTTAATCAATAAGCATTAACATGGTCTTTAATTCAAATCTCCTGTTCACTAAATTGAACAGCTATTCTAAATTGTAGCCCAATAATTCCATAACCATCACAGTTTTATCTTCCCATTACCCAAACCAATGTACTTTTGGAATACCTTAAGAAAAGAAATAAAATATACCATTCCCTTAAATTGCTGATAAAATTTAAAATTCATGTTTAATTTAAGGCATTTGAGCTTCTTAACTTTCCTAATTAAGGTTAATCAAATTCAAATTTTACCAATTTTATAGCTACTATCTCATTAGTTTCAGTGTTAACTCCTTTGAACACTTCCCCAAATGATCCACTTCCAAGCTTACTTGTAATTTTATATTAATTTCCTATTGGTTTCTCTTAATCAAATTGCAGCATTTTTTAATTTTATTTAAACTAATAATTATTGAAAAATTATGTAATTTATTTAAAATATCAATATATATATTAATAAATTTAATTAATAATTATTTTTTATCATCAATGGCTAAGTCTCGAAATATTTCAGATATATATGTGGGCACAATCTACAGTCTCTTTTATATAATCAGGCTAATTTTCTTTCAAATTTTCATATAAAATCTTTGTAAGACCAAGAATTATTTACTAAATAATTCTGTGTAAAAGTTTTTTAATTTCTTTTAAGTTTATTTTCTTTGAGTTCCAAAAAACATAGTCTTTAAATCTCTAAAGGTTTATCTAATAAATGGTTACTTAAATTCTTTAGTATATTACAAAATTTTACTATCAGTTTTTTATTTAAAAAAAATATTTATGAAGCGAAGGATCATTGATTTAAGTTTTTCTTATGGACTGCATAATTTTAGTAACTTAAGTTGTTTGTTTCAGCTTTAATTTATATGTATAATTATAAATGTAAAATTAATGATGACCCTCTTCTAGAAATATGAAAATAAAGAAGACCTGTGAACTGTTTCAATTTAGAATAATATTTGTAAGTTTAAAGTTCATTAAATTAATATAAATTATTTCTAATAATTAGTTTTTAGATTTATTTTAGATTATAAGAATACTTTAATAAGTCTCTAGCATTTACTTTTTTGCTTTATGAATTAAAAAATTATAAAAATTTGGAATATAAAATATTATATTTTATAAATGAATTTTGAAAATTAATCAAATATTCATTTTCTTAGCGAGATCATCTTAAAATTTATTAAGGTTAATAATAAATCCAAACATCAAATAAATAGCGCTTGAACTTAAGATAATTAACTTTAAAAATCTTTATATCTTGAATAATTAATTTAGATTTAAAGTTATAGATGAAAAAAATCATCCTAAGATTGTATATTACTTGTTTTAATATTTTTTGATTAGTAAAAAGAAAAACTACTTTTGAAATTTTAATGTAAAACAAAAAAATCTAATTTTAAATATATATCACCACCCCCAAATTTGAAAACTTGGTACTCAAATTTATAATTGTAAAGTATAATTTATTCTAAATAGTGCATAAAAAATTTATCAGTTTTATAAAATGATGGATTAATGAATTTGAACCATTAAAAATATAAACAAAAAAAATTAAATTGAAGTTTACAAGAATTAAATAAAATGTGATTTTAAATATTAAATATATATTTAAGCAATATTAGATTATTATTGTTTGATAGCTGAAGGTAAGCTTAATCAACAATATCAAAATTAAAACGATATGTTAATTAATAACTCAATAAATTTTAATTATATATTCTAATTAATTAATTTAATATAAAAGAGAAGTTTGTAACGCTAAAAATTATTAACATTATATAACCAACAATCTTTGCTCTTCTTTTTCATTATTAAAATAAATATTTGATTAGATATGAATAATACAGAACAAAATTAGACCCCTGGCAATACTGGGAAGGTCTATCCAAGCGGCTATGCTGAATATGAATTATTAAGTTACAAAGAAAAGCCTACACCTAGAGAAGACTTAGAGTTAATCTAATATGGGGAAATTGGAGTAAGATATTTGTTATATACATCTAGAATGATGATTAAAAAATAAAAGCCTAACTAGTAGGAAGCAAGGATTAATTGAATAAATGGATGATTCAATTCAAACAATAGAAATAAGGAGATAACAAAATGACAAATAAGGCTGAGTATGAGAGTCGTTTAGAGAGGTATAAATTATTAGTATTTTAGCATATACTCAGGTATGATTTTACTTCGAAGATTAACAAGACTGATATTATAATTTCTGTTTATAGGTCTTGTAGTTGGATTTTTCGCATGGGGATATTTCGTAACAGTGAAAAACTCATCTTGGAGTGCTGAAAAAGATATTACCAATATTGACATATATGTAGGAAATTGTTTCCTTAATGTGAGTCAATCTGATGATTATTTGAAAGTAAAATTTCAAAATCACATTTTAGTTTGATTTTAAAGCTAAGGGTAGTATGGGAAAATAAGTTAATGGATCTGATGAGTTTAGAATAATGGGGTAAATTTTAGACACAGGTGTAGCAAACTTGACATTTTATGATCCAAATGCTGATGTATCAATTTTATAATATAAATTAGCAAAGAACATGTATGATTGATTTGCAACTGCCAAAATAAATTGATAATTTAAAAATTGTTTGTAGATATGAATCTGAATGTGTAATGGCATTCGGATAAGAGGAGTTAGCAATTAATACATTGTTTAACGCTACATCAGAACCTAAAGCAAAAATGTAGATTAATTTGAGAAATATAAAAACAGAAAGTTTTATATTTAATTCTGAATCAACTGGCAATCTATTTTTGAATCATTTTTTAATCACTGAAGGTAACATTAGAATGCTCAGTGGTGATATAATCATTCAATCAACAAAATCATACTTTTTAAATTATTCATCACAGTCCTAAGCTGTTTGTACAACAGGATTTTAAATTTTAAATAGAGTCTAAGAAAATTGTTATATAGAAGAAAATTAAAAAGATATGGTAGGTAAAACTTGTACAGGTTAGATGAACTTATGTGAATAAGAATCTTGTGATATGTTATAAACTATAAATATAATTGGTAATTCAAGCACAATTTATGCAAATATATTAGAAGATATAGGAAAACCTTTAATAAAAGGCGTTAATGAATTTTAATATTTCCAAACTTATCCATTTATATCTGGAAATTTAAATTTTGACTAAGAATCTTAGCTTAAGATATAATAATTTATGAATAATAGTGGTTCTGCTGATGTTGCTGTAAGACTAGATGTTGGAGGACATTATTTATTACAACATACTTATAGTACTTATTGGTCCTTTTTTAGTAATCCATCATATGCAGCATTTTAACCATGGTGGTTATCTGCCTTTTCAGCTACTTTTTTAAATCCTACATTTATGCATTTTTAAGTTAGTACAGATCCAGGATTATGTCCTTGGAATCCAGCTTTAAATGCTAGATAAACATTAACAATTTAAGAATTAATTAAAAGAACTTTTAATACAACATTTGGTGAAGCTATATTTATTTAAAAAGATAATTTTATTAAACAAAATGAAACATTAAATGAAAATCTTACTTATCCTGGTTTTGAACCATTAGAAGAAAAATAAAGAGGAAAATATGAAAATTGGTCAACTATATAAAATATTGCTAATAATATTGTTTATTAACCTTTATAATATGATCCTTTTTTTATAGCAGCAATTGCTTTGTCATTATTATCCTCTTTAATATTTGGTCTAGTTTGTGTATTTGTATTGATAGTTTCATTATAAGGATTAGAATCATATGTTTTAGAGACTTCTTCATAATTTTAAAATTATAGTGCAACAACTTCATAAAGTACAAAAGATAAATTAGCAGAAATAGCAAAAAGAATGATTTAAAAATTAGATCAACTTGCTTCTAAAAAAGATCCTCCTATTTTATTAGGAGTGTTATCATATATTTTTTATGTTTTTGGTTAATCTTCATTTAAGAGTGCTCCAAAAATGTTTTGTAAAACAATTTTTAAAAAAAGTAATTTATTATAAACAGAATAATATTATAAACAAACTTTGGATAAACAATATTTAAGCATTGATGAAGAAGAAGTTAAAGAATAATATGAATAATTCTGTTTCTTAAATAAGCTTACAATTGAACCATTATCATAATAAGAATAATTGTTAGAACAATATGGTTTTGAATTTGCAGAAAAAGATGATGTTTTAATATTATCTAAAATTAAATTTAATTAAAATGCTAAATCATATTAAGAACTTAGCGATGAAGAAAAAACATCTGGAAATTCATTAGAACTTTTTATGGCAACTTAATGTTTATTAACAGGAATTCCAGCTGATATTGTTCCATCTGATAAACTTGAAAAAGCATATCATAAATTCTGTGGTAAAACATTAAAAGTTGAATAATTTAATGTTAAAGATATTTCAAACGATTATGGTCTCTTGATTTCTGATCTTAAAGCATTTGAATTAAGAAAAGTTAAAACTGGTATTTAATAAAGATAATCATGGTATATTAGATTCTTAGGTAGATGTACTCATTATATCCCATTTATTGAGGATTATTATCTTGAATAACCAGTATTTTTATTAAGAAGAAACACTGAAATCAATAAATTTTAATAAAATCCAATTAAAACTATGGGTGCTAAATAACTAAATAATCATTTATTCTATTACAATTATCCTTTCATGTTTATACAAAGTCTGATTTTTAATTATAAAACAAGAATCTTTAATAGAGAATATTCTTATAGAGAAAATTTTGAAGGAAATGTTTTGATGGATTATTTTGATGCACTATATATGAACGGATGGATTATGTCAGATATAAGTGTCGTTTTGGGAAACTTTTTAGTTACTGCAATAACCATAGTTCCATTACTTTATTTTATCATTATTATTAATACATCCTATTCACCTTTCTCTATTTATGATCCTAAAAATTTATTATTTATTGATGATGCTTTAAGTAGACCTTGGACTATAACCGATTATTTTGGCATATTAGATTATTGGGTTTTAGTTCTAGGTATTTTATTAGCTTATTATGCAATTATTACATTTTTATTCTAAAGTGTTAAATATTTATTATCTTACTTCCCAGATGAGGTAGGTTATATGTGGGAATTTAAATTGTACTAAAATAAATTAATGAAATATTTTAATTGGTTTTAATGGATACAATTTTTAATTTTAGCTTTTAGTGTATTCTTTTATTTTGGATTAATTATAGTATGGCTTCTTTTAGGAGCAATCATAAACCCTAATTTTTATCTCGTTTATTCATCATCAGCCTTATCATTAGTTGCATTTATTGCTGCTTAAATTTCATAAATCAAATCAACTTATGAATAAGCTTGTAGTGAAATTAAAAAAATTATTAATGAAATTTATTTAAGAACTTTTGGTTAATTAGCTGGAGCTATCATAAAAGAAATCTAAAAATTAACAGATTTATCAACAACTATTATTAATTCAACTAATATGGATGCAGCTAAGGATATGGCTGAAAATTTAGGTTTTGGAGAAGAATTAAATGAATTGTGTATTTTAACTTAAGGAATGATAGACAATGCTGGCTCTACTGATTTAAATTAAGATTAAATAAATTTTAAGTAAATTAAAGATAAATTTATTTAAAAAGCTTGTGAAAAATTTATAAGAATTGCAAAAGATTAATTTGAAGTTCCTGAAATTATTGCAGAATAATTAGTTAAGGCTAACTTTGTAAAATTTGATGAAATTATAGATCCTTTGGCAAATCAAATATAAATTTAAAGTTAAAACAAGATTCCAGCTGCTATTGTTAAATGGATTTATTAAACATCTGTTAAATTAAGTAGAGTATTTTCTAAAAAGACTCCAGAAGAACAAAGAAAGGAATTATAAATTCATTTACCAATTATTAGTGTATTTTTATTAGATGCAGTTATTGATGGTATGATGCTCCAAACATAAATTGATGATAAAGGAGCTAGTCAATAAGCATTCAAGAGTGTATTACTTTCACTTTTTAATCTTATGATGGATAGCACACCTAAAAATATATTAATTTAAGTCAAAAAATTATTTGAAAATATTAAAGATTTTGTTGCAATTTCTCCAGTTCCTTTATAAGCTTTAGAAATGATATTTGAATATGCTCAATCTTTAAATGAAAATACAAATATTGAAGAATCAAAATAAGGATTAATCAAATAATTGTTATCATTATTTAATATAGATTAAGATTTAGCTGCTGTATATCAACTATTATTTTCGAAGTAACAATCCTTATTTATTGATAAAGAAATGTAATTAACTCCTACTGAATAAGCTGGAGTCATTATTAGATTATTTGATAAGTATTTCATAAAAGAAAATATGGATCAAACCCTCAAAGCCAAATTTGAAATTTTCATACTTTTTGCTATGAAATTTTTAAAGAATGATAAGCCTCCTCTTTCTGATTTAGTAAAATTACTTGCATAAATTTATCCAGGAGATGATGGAGAAAATGAAGAATATTTTGAGAAATTATTAGAATAAAATTATAATCTTTTAAATGTAGGATTTTCAAGTTTATAACTATGCACTAAAAATTGGAAATAAGAATTACCGATCAATTTATAAGGTAAGTCTCTTGAATTAGTTTTTGATATTTTGTATGTATCAAGTAGATTCCTATGGTCATCAAGCATTTTAGAAAAAAATAATACTGATAACGAACCTACATAAAATTAGAATGGATCATGGAGTGAATAAATATTTTCTAAACCAGCTGCATAAATTGTACTTAGAAAAGACAAATTAAATAATAGAGACATTATTGAATTAATATCTTTAGCATTCTAAATTTCAGAAAATGCAGTTATTGGATTAATTTTAATTTTAAGAAGTGAGATCTAGAATACTATTTATCATGATGCTATTTATTATGAATTAGTTAAAATAACATCAAAGAGTTAAGATAGTCAAATTCATCATGTGAAATTCATTTTTGAATTACTTTCATAAACAAATTTCGAAGATATTTTTGTATTTTTATACTCATCTTAATACCTTTACAAATCATTGATTGATAAGCTTTTAGAAATAATATTTTCATCAAAAGGAATGTTTAGAGTATTTAATGGATTTTTGGTAATTGAAAAAATATTAGATCAAAGTTTAAAGAATTATGTTGTTGATGATTCTAAATTAAAAAACTATCTTGCTATGGCTAAATTATAAATTTTTGGTAAAGCATTCTATGATGAATTAAATAGAGACCCTAAATTTAAGGAATAAATAAATAAAATTTGGAATAATGATTAAAAGTTATAATTTTAATTAAATTAATAACAAGACGATGATGAAGATTAATTGGTTAATCATTATAAAGCAGAGAAGATTACATTTTTCACCTTCCTAAAGAAATCATTGAGAGATGAAAAATCAAATAAATAACAAAAGACAGATTTCTTAGCAGAATTATCTAATTAGATTCCTCTTAAATTAGAATATTTATATATGATGTTAGAATAATAGTAAGGTGTATTATCTAATAATACATTAAATTCTCCTCTACTTAATGGATTAAAAGTTGAGCCATTTAAAAATTTATTAGTTCTAATTACATTTAAAGATGTAGCAAGTGTATCAAAAGCAATTAAATACTTTATTAGTTATCATCCTAAATCATATGAAAGTATTGATCTAAATAAGATGTAAATAGAACTTTAAAAAATAATTGATGTTGAATAAAATATAGCATCTTTCTAATTGCCAAATACAATACCTTATTAATTCTAAAAATTAATGAATTTGTTTGTTAATTAAATTTTCCAAACTAGACAATCTATTAATTCATCCCTATATAGTGACTTATTTAATTACATTAAATATGAATTAGATAGATTTAAAATAGATTATGATAGCAAAAAAAAGTTTGAATTAGCTCCGGTTGTTGTAAATGAAAACACCAAATTAAATTAAGATTAAGTTAAAAATCTTTAAGATTTGATTCCATTTACTGAAAAGTTTGTTAGAATGATGTTTAATTAAAATTGTGTTATAAGAAATAAGGCAATAATTGAAGTCTTATCCTTATTATATCCAAAACCTTAAGGAAATAAAGCATTGAAGGAAAAGGATTATTAAAAATAAATAACTAATCTTTAAAAGTTTATATCTGGAATGATGGATAAAAATTATGAAATTGTACTTTCATATTTAATTAATTATTGTGATCATATTCAAGAAAATAAATTTAGAAAATTATTCAAAAAAGTATTGGCTATTGTAAGGGGTTTTGTTACTTTAGAGGCAGTTGAAGAAAACGATTTTTAAACAAAATAATTGATATGGGCAACATAACAATTTAAATATTTTATTAGTTCAGATTTAGATTGTTTCATGGAACTACTTTAAACTTATTTTAGCACTGTTTTAAGTGCAGAAAAACCAAATTAAAATGCTATATCAGGATTATTCAGCTTAATGACTCCAAAACCAGATTTCGATATATTAGTCAATATATTTGATTTTGAAGAAGAAGCAATAAAATTTGCATAATTTTTAGTATCTGCAATATTTTCTGAAAATAAATCAAAATTATTATAAGATCCAAAAGTTCATAATTTGATAGATAAAAAGTTTGGAATAAAGGAAGTATCTCCTCTAATTGATTTATCAGAAATTCTAGAATCAAATTCAATGGATTCAAAATCATTAATTATAAAATTAAAAATAGAATAAAATCCTACTGCTTCAAAATTATTTAAAGTTGTATTTGCATTTAAAAGATAATAAGTTAAAGGGGAGTCTTGGAAATCATTGTAAGATAATTTTAATATATTGGCTGATTAAAGAGCAGAAATATTTAAATAAGATAAAGAGAATAAGAAATAATAAGGATAATAAAATGACCTTAGTTTACCAGAAGTATTAGAAGTTTTACATTGGTTCTCACATCCTAGACCAACAAATTTCTTATATTTATTAGATAGATTACATATACTTGATTAATAGGAACCAGCAGCAATATTTGCAGCAGCAATTGTAGGTATAGCTAAATATGATAAATTTGATTGGTATAAAGACAAACAACCAGAATAAATAAGAAATAGATCAGATACACTTTAAAAATTATCTTAAAAATCTGTTGATAAAGCATTACTTTATATAACATAAACTAGTGATTAAGATGTTTAAGAAGCATTTAGTCTTTTATAATTAGCAGCTGGTATTAATCCAGTATTAATAAGTGCAATATTCAATGAAAATCAAAATTCAAATCCATGTTTAGAATAGATTCTTTAATCTGAACCAACTAATAATTAATAAGTGATTAAAGAATTTATGAAGAAATTTGATACATTTACATATGATGCAATTACTTTGATTAAAATAATTGAATTCGAAACTGTTAAGAATTCATAACATGAAAAATTAAGTCCTGATTAAATTAATGAATTTCTTAAATCACTTTCTTTAAGTTAAACTTAATTAACTATTATTGAAAACTTTTTGAAAGGATAAGCAAAAGGAAAAGTTTAATAATATTTCCCATTGTCATCATTAGTTTTAATTTTTGCATTAAAATAAATGAGATAAATCAAAAAGAGAAAAGATAGAGCTGTAGCCTAATACATTAAAGGATAATTTTGCATCAATATTGCATTTACTGTTTTTGAAAAATATCTTTATTTCTATGATAATAAAAACCTTACCAATTTAAATAAACCTGCTTTAGTAAAACTGTTAACTTTAGGAATATTTGATACAACTAAATTAAGATCATCTGATTAATAGATTGATTATGTTAAGTTAGAAGGTATACTATATCCTGGTATAAGTGATCCTTTATTAGAAATAAGAGGTGCAAAGTTTAATTACACAACTTAAAAATCAGATAGTTTAATTGAACTTTCTAAAAATTTCAATGATTAATATGAGGAATATTGTAAATTGTTTTACAGAATTTTACCTGATCAAAATGGTTAAATAGATAATAGACCTGAATTTGATAATTACAATCAATTTTGGACAGCCTTATTTAAAGAAAATAGTAATGCTAATATACCTGCAATTTCAATGATCTATGTAAATAGTAAATCAAATAAAAATAATTAAAAGGATTACTTTGATGAATAAAATAAAAGTTTACCAAAAGAATTATAGAAATTATAATTACAATACTCATTAATTAATAAATTAATTCAATTAAATATATCTTAATATGGATATATAAGATCTAAATATTGGGATAAATCCTTAGAATTAATAAAAAAATAAATATTTAAGTAAAGTGAAATTGAAGTATTAGAAAGTGATTAATCTTCTGAATAAACTTAATAAATTATGATTTCTTTAATGTAATATTACGCTGGATAATTTACTGTATCTTAAAAAGAAAATGAAAATTAAGGATAATAACAATAATAATAATAATAATAATAATAATAATAATAATAATAATAATAAGCATAAAAACCTAAAGAAACAGATATTAAACTTTTAGAAGGAATATTTGGTGCAGGAAATAAATAAAGAAGTTAACCTAAATTTAGGGGAACAAAATAAAAAATGCCTGTTAATTTAAATATATTAATAGATAATTTATTAGGTTTAACTTTAAATGAAACAGAAAGAAAAGAATTAAAACCTTTAGTAGATTTATTCTATAATCCAAAGGCTATGGATACTGCATTTATTACAAAAACATGGGGAAATGATTACTTAATAATGGATGCAGTTATGTTGATGTTGGTAAGGGTTTAATTAGAAAATTCAAAAGCTACTGGTAAATTCTCATAATTAGCTACAAGAGTTCCAGCTTGTTATTTATATTATTCTATCGGAGATTAATATGAAAATCTAAATCAAGAAGATTTGAATTAGTTTAAAAATAATAGTGATATTTTAAATTTAGGAATTGAAGAAATAATATAAGATTGCAATGAAATTCAACCTTCAATTAAATCACCATTAAAATTAATGATAAGATGTTTTTTGGGGGATGTTGAAGCTTGGTATGCTTTAATAGCATTTAGTAGAAAATAAGATGGAGTAGATACATAATTATTATCTGAAAGAATGATAAGAACTTTTATTATAGAATTACTGCTTTAATTTAAAAACTTTGGATTAAGAAGTCCTTCATTAGATAGATAATAAGTATCTTCTTAAACTTTCCAATAATTATTAAAATCATAAATGAATCACAATTTTATAAAGATTGTTGAAACTGCCCTAATGAATACTTTCATGAAGGATAAAGAATAATTCCCAGAGTAGACTACTAATAAATTAATGCAATATTTAAATTTTATATTTGAAGGTAAAACTGAAGTACTTGCAGATAGTGAATCAAGTGGATTTTTAGAAATTCTTATAAAAGTATTTGAAATTGATAGATAATCATAAGCGTAACTGATATGCGTTATTTAATTTATTTTACAATTGTTGTTTAAAGGTGATAAATCTAATGCAAACTTTGTATAATATGAAAGTTAAATCTAAATCTTACAAGACGATAAAAATAAAAGTGCATGGGAATTTATTAAAGCTATTATTGAAGTTGATCATTCAAAAAATATCAATGTATTAATTTCTAAAGCTTACTAAATTTTAAAGAATAATAATTTGGGAAAATTTTCTAAATATTCTAATCTTTTAGTATCCTTGAGTTCAATTGCTCATGTATAGAGTTATCCAAATAGTAATCTTGATTAAACTAAATTAATGAATGTTTTATTGTATCCATTAATGTGGTTAGGATCAACTTTAGAAAATGCAAAAGAACCATTTACAAAATTTGCTTAATTCTCAAAAGATTTTATTGAATAAGCTTCTCCAGATGATTTCTCATAAGTATTGGATTAATTTTATGATTTTGGCAATAAAGAAAACAATTCTCAATCTGCAATAACAGAAAAAAATGTTAGCTTTTATAAAGATTCTTTATTAGCTTGGTGTCAATAAAATTAAGAAAGTGATTTAAAATCATTTTTTGATTTTGTAAAAGGAAAAGTATTTGACATTTCATAACTTCCACCTCCTCAATAAATAATAATTCAAACATTAATTGAATTATTATTTAATAATAAAATTCATGCAGATCCAGAATAAAAAATCTTAAAATAATTTATATCTGAAGTTACTAAAATAGAAGCTTTAAAGAATTAGAAAGAAGTTATTGAAGCTACAATTATTATGTTTAGTGGTTTATCAGATCCAAAAGACATAAAAGGTGATAAGTTTTTAAAAGCTATATCTACATTATTATCTAATTATAAAGAAATAGGAGAGATTATAAAAATGATATTCTTATTTTATTAAACTGAAGATATTGAAAAACTAAAAGATTTACCTTAATAAATATAAAAAGGATGTTTCAATAATCCATAATTATATGGATCAAAATTTGATAGTATACCTTTAGCTTAATTATTTTTAATTGCTTCAAATGCATAAAAAATGATAAAATCAATGGAAGATTAAAAAGAAATGAATGAAAAAGAATTATTAAAAGCTGTTAAACCTGTTTTAGAACCTATGTTTGGATAAAAATCAGAAAAGGATTTATAAATATTAATAAAATGTATTGAAGCAATAATAGCTATAAAATACAAAAAATTTAATGAGGTTACATCAGAATTCTTTTAAGTTATGAAAATATCATAATCAAATAGTCAACTTTTAATAGGTTTAATGAGAGACTTTTAAGTAGGATTATAATCACCTTAATAATTGATAAAAGAGAAAATGGCTTCATTAGTAAATCCAAATACAGTTAGAACTATGTAGTACATGAATTCAGTTATGAGTAAATTAAATGATAATAGAGAGTTATAATATGAAGATATGTTTAGAGTTTTAGATAAAAATGGATAAAGATAAGTTAAAGCTAATGATGTAATTGAATTTTTAAGAAGAATTAATATTGAAATAACAGAACATAAATTTAGAGAAGTATTAGTAACTATAAAAGGTGATTAAGTAAATATTTAGACTTGTATGATTGATTTCTACGAATTTAAAGAAATAATGTAAGAAATATCTGTTTAAACAATGTTTTTAAGTTTGGAATATTTAGGAATATCAAAACCTTTGTTAATAAAAGGCTTAATTGTATTAATAGTATACTTAGTAATTGTTTTGGCATTCATTCTCATAGGAGTTTAAGCATTTGCTATACCAGGTACTTTTGCAGCTATAGTTAATGCTGCTCTACCTATGATTGGAGGATTAGGATTGAATAAATAAGCAGCAGAAGACAAACTAAAAGCTTTAAATTTAACTGCAATTTTAGATGTTGTCAAAAAGGCTGTTAAAGTTATTTAGTCAAGAAGAATATGAAATTTTTATATATTTACATATTTTATATAAATATTTTTGTTATTCTGATTTCTTTCATTAATATATGAATCACACTTTAATTATTAAATTATATAAAACAAACATTCTTTATGATAAATATTATAATCATTATTATTATTACTCTTGCATTCTTGCTTTCTCCATTTCTTTTTTTGTTCTTCTCTTTCTTTTTTATTATTACTTTTCTTCAGATGGTTATTTCTTTGTGTATTTTCTTTTCTATTTTGATGGCACTTCTTAAATTACTTATTATTCTTAAACCATCTTTATTCGAATTATATTATTTTTATTTTTCTTTTTTATTAATGGTTCATCAAAATCTTCAGGTATCAAAGCTATAGATTTTAAATATTTCTCAATCTATTCAGGTTCAATATTATGTATATCAAAATCAAAAGAAATCCTAATTTACTTTAAAATTTTACTTTTTTATTATTTCAAAAAATTTCACCCTCTAAGCTTCAATACTTTATTGTTTTTGAATAATAGCTTATTCAAGTTAATTTGCATATTGTTGAAGAGTATCGATTGAGTTATTACTACATTATTGATCTTCAGATTAAATCATTTTTATTTTTTGGAAAAAAATTTATATAATTAAAGCCATGTTAATTTATAACAAAGTATTTATAATTTTAATTCTTATCTATTTATATATTATTTTTTATTCAATTAAAATAACTAATTTTTTGGATCCCATTAGCTTTTACTTAAATCTTATCATGATAATTATATTTTTTGTTAATTTTATAAAATTTCATATTAATAATTTGCTTAAATTATTTTATGATCTACTACAATTTTCGAAATAGGTTTGCTTTAATAATTAAATTAGCATCGGAAAATAATATTGATTAAATGAAGAAAAATTTTAACATTCTTATTATTAGCAAAATACTGAAAACTTATATTTTAATATTATTGTGCTTGTTATTAAAGATTGATAAAATTTTCTTGGATTATTCAATTAATTGAACTAAAAATTTTAATTGGAGATAATTATTTTAGAATTTATAGTAAATCTTTATAGTTGTAACATTAATCCATTAGAAAAATATATTTGATGTATTTTATAATTTAGAAATAAATTCATAATAAATAAAGGAAATAAAGGAATTACAGTATGTCATTTAAGATATAGGAATTTATCTTTATTTTTTATTAAAATAAAGAATACTCATTATTTAAAAATCAATGTTTAATCATTGATATTCTTTTAGAACAATTACTTTAAAATATTTCCCTTAATTTTTGAGTTTAATAGGTATTAGAATCCTAAAATATCAAATTAAAATTAGCTATTAAGTATATTTTCTTTTTTGTAAAATAAGAAAATATTAAATTAAAATTACTCTAATATAAACAAATACCTATTTAGAGTTTTAGAAGGAAAATTTATAAATAACTTTTTTAGTGAACTATTAATTTTTTATTCAATTAAACTTGTAAAATTTAGATTAACATTTGATAATAAATCAAACATAAATATATAAAAATTCACATTTTATAAATTTTAATAAAAAAGGATTGATTATTTATATATAATTTTACCAGAATTAGTTGTTTTTAAACAAGAGACTAAATCTAAAAGTATAGTCTAAAGTTAAAGTTAAAAGTAATTAGTAAATTTAACACATTTTTCTCTGAATAAATAACAATAAATTTATTTAAATATGGTAGATAAAATTCAGAATGGAAAAGTCTAAGCTTATATTAAAGAAATCTAACTAAGCATAAAAATAATATGTTAAAAAAATCATTAATATGAATTAATGAAACAATGTATTTATAAAAAATCAAGATTTCTAATCGATAGTCTTTTTAAATAATAAATCATGATCGTCTTTGTATACTTAGAGGATTATATTTTCATGAATCTCTAGTTTTTTACACTCTTAATTTCGACCTTGGGTCTCATCTGAGACTTTTTGTAATAATGCATCTTGATCAGAATCATCTATAGGTAATTATAAGTATCCTAGAAGAATTAGATCAACTCCTCTAAAGTCTTCCATGAGCTTCTATAATATTACTGGGATTTTATTGCTTATTACACTGAATTAGATGAAATGTTCATGATGATTATCATTAAAACTATAAATTAGTTAGTCATCATTAACCCTGTAAAATTAATAAATTTATTTACCTCTCTAGTCTAGAGATGTGATCATTTTCATATTCACCTTATGAAATCACTTTTTGAAACCCTATCGATAAATGAATCATACTACTAGATAATTTTTTGAGTTAATTAATACAAATATGTAAAAATTAGATGAGTATCTTCTTGAATTCTCAGGATTCTTTAATAAAGTTTTTAAGTCTTTCAATGCTAAGCGTCAAGTCGATATTTTCTTTATTTAAATTAGTTTCTTATTCTATCAGAATAAATAAGCACATAGTTCTTTTACAATAATATATATTAATTAAGTTTTTGATCTAAAGTGCTAAAGCTCATTATATTTATGCTTTTTTCCTCCATTTATTAGTTGATCAAATTAGTCTGAAATATTAATTACTTCTTTGAATAAATTATAATCATACTCTAATCCTATTAGCATATTTTTAATAGAATTAATAATACAGTAATAATTTTGATAAAATTCATTAATATTCGTGCTAAATATTATTATTTGAATATTTAAAGAATCCTTAAAGCTTAAGCTTTGTTCTTATAAATCTATTGATTTCTAAAATTCAAATTTTAAAAATCTTCCAGTAAAATTTTCTTATTATTTTTTAAATAGTATATATAATTTGTAAAATTGTTAAAGTTATTATACAAAACATAGATTCTTTACAAAGGTAGTTTAGATAGAAAAATAAATATAATATTTAGTTCTACAAATAAAATTTAAAAAATAATAGTGAAAACCAAATTTATAATTAGACTTGATAAATCATTAAATAAAAGATTCGTAGAGGTAATATTAAAATAAAAAAGGATTTTAAAAAAGAAAAAATCTAAATAAATTCTTTTGTATATAATATTTATTGTCATATCATTATGTTTTGGCTTTTGAAGCATCTTCTTATTATTCTTATTATTTTAGATGCTCATGATTTTCTTAAAATTACTTTAAATTGATTAAGTAATCACTTAGTTCTTACTAAGTAATAAATAAATATATTTACTCTAAAATTGTGAGCATTATTTAAGTTTTAAAACATTCTAGAAATATGAAATTCAGTTTATTGTTTAGTAACATTAGGGAATGCACCATATAAGGATGTTACGAGATATTAAGAAATATACTCGAAATTTGAACCAATTTATTCATTAGATAATTTAATGGTTATTTAAGAATTAGAAGCAATTTAAAAAAGTGTCATTAAAATTTAACTTTATTGTTTGAATCCACTTGCATGCAAATTGTCAGTTAAAATTTCTAAAATGTCTTTCAATAATCTTAAATAGTAGAGGGAATAAAATTAATTGGCAACAACAATATCACTATTTACTTACTATATAAATATTTATGTAAATATACTTGTAAAATATAGTATAAAACATCTAATCCTAATTCTTGTAGATTAGGTACTTAATGTTTAAATGCCCAGATAATACAATCGATCATTAATTTAAATTAATCTTATGGCATATTAAACAATGCTAATAAATGGAATTATACACAAGATCTTAAAAATTCAAAGAAGTTGATTCTATGATCAGGATATGAATTAAAATCTTGACTTATTAATGTAATGGTAGCATCAAACAATCCTTTTAATATTAATGGTACTAAATCTTCAATAGGTGAAAGGAATTTCTCAAGCATATACTAAAAAATAGATAATTCCTTATTACTTTAAAAGTCAATAGAAATTCTGGTTCCTTTTATTCATTAATAGATTGCTAGTATTCTTCTAATAGATTACATATAGGAATAACTAAAGAATTCTTTAATTAAAAATTTTGATTCAGTAATTATTAATCACAATTTTAAAAATAAACAGAATATAATTTTAAGATTTCCTTTTTAACAGCTCTCTATTTTTTAATTGTATACCAACCCATAACAATAATTCCTTATGCCATTGCTTATTATTAGATACTTTGACTATAAAATAGATACAGTTAATTATATGTAGGTAATAGTTAAATTAATGATTATGTGAATGCATATCCAGTTGGTTAAACTATTTATTAAAGAATTCTGAAATATTAAATAAAAAATTGTTAAACTTTTTCATCTTTAAATAGTTCTACATAATTGTTAGAAGATGTATGTAATATTAATTAATCATTTAAATGTTTAAGTAAACTATTAACTAATTAGATTTTAATATTTAAGTCTTCTTCAAATTTGATCATATGGCTTATACTTTCATAATAAACTAATTTGTATTAATCTTACAATATAGCAACTTATTCTTTAATGTTTCTAATTAATTCACAAATATATGGTTCTCTCTCTAATTAATCAGATTAACTTAAATTAACATAAAAATACTACATTATTTATCTAATAACAAATTCCTTTCCACATTTTTAACTAATTGTCAAAAATGTATTGCATGCCATTTCTTAAACTCCAGGAAAACTTTCCTTCATAAATTCAAATAGTTTTTTAATAACTGTTTTCAAGAAATTCCAATTTGATCTCAAGAATTTAGGATATTATCCTACAACATACATTATATTAGATGCAACAACAGCTTTATTTTCTTTACCTTTTTTAACTTCACAAAGAGATAGTAAATTTTTAATTGAGTGAATTAAAAATTGTTTTTCATCTTATTCTGGTAAACATCCAGAAATTGAACCTATTGCCCAACATATACTATTTAAATTATCAAATGACCATTCTGATCCATCCATCTAAAAATAAGTTTATAAATTAATATAAAATGTATAAATAGATTTGATTCTATTTTTTATTTGTATTTTATTGAGATCATTTATAATATCTCAATAAACTTTAAGCACGCCATTTTTAATGCGTTTTAAGATAAAATATATTTAAATTACCTATTTATCTAATTTTTATGTTATAATCTCTTTTGTACTTGTCCAATTTAATTTTGCTAAATTAATTAAAAGGTCTTTTAATAAATCATATAATGCATTATTTTCTGTATTTTATAATTCTTCCTTTATTGGCTATCCAGTCTCATCTATACTTATTAAAACTTCTTATGGTTTTGCCATTTTGCTTACGACTATTTTTCTTAATTCTACCAATATCTATTATTAAAAAACTCATAAAATTATTACTCTTGGATAACTATTAGTTTATAATGATGGTGGATTCATTTCATTCTAATAAAGATTCAATATAATCTAATTTCCTTTTGGTAATTAACTTGGTTATTCTAATAATCTCTTTGTAAAGTCAAACCAAAATTCTGCACAAACTTTATAATTTTATTCTAATGGTAATTAAGAAAATCCAATTAGATATTATAAACTGTAATCAACCAATTATATAACATTTGGATTTGTCTTTGAAATATTCTCTAACCAATCTAAGTGTTAATTAAGTATTCCTGTAAAGAATTAAGTTAAAATAGCACAAAAATCATCGAAGAATTATAATTAAGTATTGCTTATCATTCTTAATCTTTATCTTTCTCCTAAGAATCCAAAATCACATGGAAAAACTTATCTCAATTTTATCAATATTTTTTCAAATATAATTCCTATCTTTTATTACTAAATAATCATTTTTTATTAATCAGCTAAATTTATATCAAAATATATATTACAATCTAGTTTTAAAATAACTATTTCAGTTAAACATCTGATAGATAGATTTCTAAAGTGATTATTATCAAACAATTAAATGAGAATCTCACATAATTATGTCATAAAGATAAATCCAAAAGGAATCCAAGATAAATATGTATAAAGTGTCTCTAAAGTTTATTTTATTAAAGTAATTTTTATGTTTTGTTTTTCCACAAAAGTTTAAATTAAGAAAAAACAAAGTTCAAAGATTAATTAAAATTCTTTGTGAAGATTGCTTTTTAGTTCGATAATCTAATGTGTCGTCAATTAATTTTTAGAATAATCAAAAATTTCCTAACTAAAATTTAAATTATTTAAAAATTTTACCTTAATAATCTAAGTAATTTTAAGTTGTTCTCACATAAGTTTTAATCTGTTTTACTTAATTCACAAATTTCTGGTATAAATGATACCCAAGTTGTTTTCCATTCGTGTTTTAAAATTTATATTATAATCATGTTTATTTGATTTAATAAGGATTCTTCTATTGAATCATGTTAGTCTTTTGCTCCAAAGTGTAATAATTATTTAAGAATGAAACCTTTAAGCCCTAGTCTTGATTCTTCACGAATTAAATTCCATTTAGATTTTATTTGTTCTTCGAGTACTTTTAAAGCCAAAAATTTAGTTTGATTTTATTTGCATAACAAAATGACCTAGTCGGTCATTGTCCAAAAGAATTAATCATTTTATAAATCAACCCAAATTTTATTACAAGCAGTAATCTAGATGATATGATATGAAATAAATACAATTTGTATATTGCTAGATCTCATTCCAGAAGTGACAAGATCGAGAGCTATAGCTTTTTATTCGTTGAAGGATTAGGAGTGATCAAATAATAATTGACTTGCTTAAACAAGAGTATTATAATCGACTTCAGCCATATTTTAATTATTTTAAGGAAAATAAAAATAACCATGATAATTAAATATACATAAATATAATAGTTTTTAAATCAATGATCATAAAGTCTAGAAGTGTTAATTTTTTCTACTTTTTATATATAGTCATCAACATTGTTTTTAGACTTAAACATTCCCATAATTCCAAAAGGATTTACCCGATCATCAAATGAATGAGAAGTAGCAACTCTATTATGAAATTACTAATTTTTGAGTGGCGATTTCTTAGATCTTTAAATACAATCCATAAGTCTTTTAATAGATTCATCTAAGATTTTTTAATTTTCTTATTATATTTTTAGATGTTAATATTATTAGTCAATTTCAAATTATAAGTCTTCACATGCATCTAATCTAAGATGAAGTTCTTTTTTTTATTTAATCAATTAGATTTCTTTTTCTTCAATTTATTTTTATTAATCTTCTTTTAAATTTTGCATCACTTATATTTTTTCTATTTCTCTCTATTCTTATTCTTATTATTGTTTGATTAATTTCTGATGATTGATTTACAATTTTAATAATTGAATTTATCCTTTGAGAAGTGAATTTTTGTTAATAGTTTAACATTCTGTGGAAAGAATTTGTTATAGATTTTACTCAAATCTTTCATTCATTTTTTGTATGAATTAATAATAGTAAAAATGTCTATAAAATATATTTATATACGAAATTTATTAAATTTTTGATTGCTTAAGAATTTGACATAAATAAAATGTATTATTCTTTCTTATAAATGAACAAAAGCAGTCGAGAAATAATAGAAAAGGAAATGAGAAATGAAAGAAGAGGATTGATATTAATTTCTAATTTCTTTTTCTTTATTTTGATCTTTTCTCATTTAAAAAATGATAACTTATGTTACTATTTCTTTTAATTGCTAAATAATGATTTGGCCCTTGAACTTGAACTAGTATTAGATCTCTTACAATTGGTACTTTTTTGTCTCTTATTATGTCTTCTTGGATTTCTACTATTTTGTTTATTCTATTTTTTTATTTAGAGTCTCTCATTCTCTTAAATTGAGAAGAAGAAGATTAAGAATGAGATCTTGAGTTTGATCTACTTGATTTCATATTTGAAAAAATCATCATTCACTTATTGTCCATTTCTCCGTCCTTTCCTTTTGGATTATCTACAACATCTACTTTTAATTAATATCCATTTAGAGTATATCCATTTCATGCTTTTAAAGCATCCCAAGCTTCTAATTAATATGGAAATGTCTATTTAAATTGATATATATATTTTAACATTATCATACAAAAAAAGAATATGGTCCATTGTATGCAACATTTTAAAAATTACCATATATCTTGAATATATTCTTGATTTCTTTTTCATCAGAGATTTAGTTGCGACTATAACCAGTTACAAACAATTAATTTAGAACTATCTCACTCATTTTATTAGATTTAAATTATTAATAATCAATCTTAATTTTAGTCAATTGAATTAATCCTTCCTCTACCATAATGCTATTCAATTTAAAAGTAAGTAAGATCTTTTTTATTATCCATTCAATAGATTATACTCTCTAAATCAATTCCTTATAGTAATATTTATAATATAATATCTAATAATTAATGAAAGGCAGTTTATCTCGTTAATCCAGTTTAACAAATATCAATCATAATGTAAATTCAGCTTTAGGAATCTCTTCTTAATATGATTTTGAAAAAGGTATCCTTATTAATGTACCTGTTGATTTACCTGAACTTAAGAAATATACTCATAAAAAATTACCAAGATTAATGAGAAAAGAATAGTAATTTTAGAAATTCTTTGTACTCAATCCTAAACAATAAATCAAATCCAATGATAGAAGTAAAACTAAAAGATTAATTCCCTATTAACTAATTAAAGTAGAACATCCTCCCATTGGTTATTATAAACTTAATGAAAGTTCTATGATTTAAAAGTCTGTCGTTGATATGAGTAAATAACCTACTGCTCGAATGTAAATTAGAAAACACAAAAGTAAAAGTATTGATTAAGAACCTCAAATACCTTAACCTTAATTATTAGATGAGCCAAATACAATTAAGATGCCTCGAATTAATGAATTATCTAATCTTAAATTGCAATAATGGATACAAAAAGAATTAGAATAATTAAAAGATGCTAAAAAATTATAAGAGACCACTTATAAAGGATTCATGAAAAATGAAAAAGAAAAGAGCGATAATTTTCAAAGACTTTTTGAATTAACATCTCTTAAATTAAAAAACTCATATGTAAAGTATTTCTTTTGAAAATTTATATATTATTTATCATTATTATATGATAATAAAAATAGATAATATTTAATTAATTACTATTCTCATTTAAAAATTCTACTCAAAAAAGACTTCGAATCCCTTTCCCATGCTTATTAAACCACTGCATGTTCTGCTTCTGTAAATTGTAAAACAGTAGCAATCACAGGGATAGTTTTTTATTTTACCTACTTATTAATAGATTTTATTACTGAATATTCTTCAGTAAAGAATCGAATGATTATGTTTTTAATATATTAAATATTTGCATTCTTTTGATTCTCTTAACATAATATATCAATTCTTATATTCTTTTCTCTTAATTCTTTTGTAATTTAATCAATTGTATTTTCTAATAATTAGATTTACTATCTACCATTTTCAAAATGTTGAATTTCTGTCTTAAATTATATAAATTATACTTTGTTCTCTTTCCATTTTTCTTTCTTCCTCTATTTCTATTAGTCTTTATTTATGTTCCTTTGCTTACTATTCTATCAAATTATTTTGTTCCTATTATTATTAGATCAATTCATAAATTGTTTAATTTAAGGTTATTAAATGTTACTTTAAAGGATGTAATTATGGACTACAAGACTTAGTTTATATAATTTTTTACTTTCAATAACTATAGCAATAATAATTTTATTTTTGCTTCACAATCAATACTTTAATCTACTAAAGTTAAAGTAGTTTCTCTGATTTGTTCAGATTAATTTATTACTTCATTAATATTTTACATTATGTCTTATTTATATTTTTCGAATTCGTTTTGTAAATCTTAATATAAATTAAGGATTTCCTATATTTTCTTCTCATTTTAAAAACATTCCTATTGCAATATTTTCATTCTTTAATCATATTGTTAAGCAACAACTAAGATATCATCTTTTGATTTAGAATAATCTAATAATTTAATATCTTCATGTAATTATGAATTAAGTTGTTTATTGAATTCACTTTCTCTTACCCATTCAATTCCATTATTTTTAATACATAACCATTCTATTTCTTCAACTTTGACTTTTGCTAAAACTCTTTCACATACTATTTTCTTTTCATCTTCTAAATATTTATTGACAATTTATTCTAGATTTTCATTTTTTTATTTTTCTTCTTGTAATTATTGATTTTTATCATTTAACTCAGCTCTCAATTTATCTATTGTTAATTTAGCTTTAATTATTAATTATTTTTGTTATTCAATTTTTTCTTCCATTAATAAATTATGTAATTAACAAATAAAATACTTATTGGAATAATTATTGCTTCATTTCTATAATGGTATAATTATTCCTTTTTCATTGGATTTATAATTGGTTGTTCTACAATACTTTGTATACAATATAATTACATCATGGATTATTTAAAACGATAACATAAGAATTATGAGATTAGCATTACAAGCTGTAATATATTTTAAATAAAAATTTAAAAGTAAAACAACACGTGGATGAATATTTGAATCCTATTAAAAAGAAGAGAAAGCATTATATCAATAAATTCAATACAGAATTACAGATTGAAAACCCATAACCAAAATAAGAGGATAAATAAACGATTTAACAAATTTCGGTATAAAAATTATAGAGAAAAAAGTTCTTAAAAAAATTAGACATTTATATTGAATTTTTTGATGGTATTAAGGTAAAAATAATAATAAATAGATAATAGGAATCTGAATAATAATTTGGTTGTTAGTTAAATGATTTAGATAGTAAATTACTTACAGAGAATGAAATGACTAATGTGGATAAATATTAAGAAGAAGGAAATGAAATAATTTAATAATTGACTGGTGTTTAATTGAGTTCTAAATTATATTTGTATTTACCATATTGGAAAGACTTTAAAAAAGTTTTAAGATCAATTGGATAATGTCATAATGAAGTTGCTGTAGATATTAGCAAAGTTAGTGTTTAATTAGTTTAATTAAGGAAAGGGTATATAAAAGAAGTAGAAGATATTAGAAAATAAAGAAAAAAATTGAAACAATAAACAGTTGAATGTTATAATCATTATTAAAAGATTTTAAATGAATTCAATTAAAATGAAAAAGATTTATAAGCATATAATTAAGCTCATAATGAAATGATAAAAAGAAAGGATGATCCTACTTTAATAATTAAAAGTGAAATGAAAGTCAAATTACAAATGCAATAATCTGATAACATAAGATTGAAATTAACAGATTCTAGAGATAGAATCAAAGAAAATTAAATTCAAATTAATGAATTTAATTTAAAAATGAATGAGTTTTAAATTAATTATGAAGAATAACGAGTAATATTTGTTAAATAAGGTTTTTAAGCATTTTTAATAACATCTGAAAATTATGCAATGTAATTTTAAACTTAAATCTCTTCTTTAATTGTTATTGTTGATGAAGATTATTGTAATATTATTTAATTATATATTAAATAGATTAAATATATCCTTCAAGATAATATAGAAGTCCGAAATCATCTCAAAAATATAATTAAGAAATATAATAATAAAATCAAAATGAATTAGATATTAATGAATAAATTAAAGAATCTTAAAGATAAACTACCTATTTACTATAATAATGGTAATTAGTGTAAAAGTATAATGAAGAATTAGAATATTTTTTTAGAGATTTAATTTAAATTTTTACTTAAAAATCAATAGATAAAGATTTTACACTTGTAAAATAGTAAGTAGAAAAGGAAAAAAAAGAGGTAGCAGATATTTTCAATATTCTATTTTCAAGTTTAATAAGTGTAATTTAAATAATAAAAGATTCAAATAAATAGATGGTTGATTAAATTGAAAGAAAAAGATAAGAAATTGCTAAATGTAGATTAGATATGTCAATTGGTAAAGAATTAGAAATATGTGCATTAAGAGATTTAAAAAAATTATAAAATTTAAGTACTGATGAAAAAGCACTTGAATAGTATTAAAATGATTAATAAGATAAATCAAAAACAAAAAAAGCTGCATAACATTTCTTAAATGAGATGAAATAAAATATGTAGGATGTAAAATCATTAAATTTTGGTAAATTTTATGCAACAATTGGTTAAACAGTATCTAAAGTTTAGAAAATGAGTAATTTAAAAGAAGATGATATAAGAGAATAATAGATTAAATTGATTGAAGATAAAAGAGCATTAATTTCCCTATAAGGATTTACTTTAAAAAAAATAGAAGATATATTAAATAAACACAGTAATTTAATAATAAAAATGAAAAAAACATTAATAGAAGATTTAGGAAAATTTGCTATTTAAATTTTTAAACATTTAAGAATGATTGTTGATGAAAGTAAAATTATAAATTAAAAATAGCAACTGAAAATATATAGATAATTTAATAAAGAGAAAAAATATAAGAATAAATAGAAGAGTAAGTTATAAAAAATGAAAAAGAAGAATAAATTTGTTAAAGTGAAGATATAGTAGAAGATTTAAATGTGAGTACAACGTCATAATTACTTTAAAAATTATTAAAAGTATTGGTGAATGATTGGAAAGAAAGTGAATATTTTAAAGGAAAAATAAAGAAAATTTTACATAAAACATTCAATAAAAAAAGAGCTGCAATGTTATCAGAAATAACTGTAACTGAATTGAAAATTGTTGGAGATTCACCATCTTTATCTGAAATACAGGCATTAAGATAAGATGTTAATGAAGTATTATATAATTATTATTTAAGTTTTTATGTGATATGGATTTATCTTTTAGAGGAAAAATCTAAATTGTTTTAAATACAAATATTATTATAAATTGGCCTAAAGAATATTAAGTGCCTGTTGAAATTAAAATTACTATCTCTACTTTTACTAGTAGAATTAGATTATGTTTTGTACCAACATATTTAGGAAAAAGTTGGTATTAATATTTTATTATTTTATTTTAGGCTTTCAATGATAGGATAACCTGTTATTAATTTAGATATTGAACCTACATTTTTGTAAAAATATAATATTGCTAAAATCTAATAAATTGCTGATTTAATTAGAGAATTTTTAATTGGTAAAGTAAAGCTTATGACATATCCTAATAAATTAACAATTAAAATACCTTTAAGTAAGAAATGAATACTTATCTTATTTTTTAAAATATATAAATCCTAAAATAAAATGTAATCTAAACCATTATTCTTTTTATTTCTAAACCTATTTATTTTTTTAGAAAAATAACTAATTGTAAACAATTAAAGATAAAATTCATCTCAAGAAGATGAATCTTAATCAACTAGAATTTACAAAAATTCTAAAAACAAAATCACAATACTTAATCATTAACAACATCAACTATGATTGTCTTATATAAAATAATATAGTCATTTTAGCTTAATTATTTGTAGTAAATCTAATTATGTATCTTTGATAATTAATTAACTGATCTGAGAATATATCAAAATCATAATTTTCTAATTATGTAATTTAGAAAATTTTTAAAGAAGGAACTATAAAAAAAATAAGCATTAATGAAAAAATATTGGATAACTAATTTCTTAGAGCTTTCTTGTTATAAATTTATAAGCAATGTATTTGAAATCATCATCAATCACTAAATCTTTTGCTTTTTAACTTTAAAATTTATGGAATTTATGTATAAAATAGTATATTTATTAAATTATTTTAGAAACCTAAAATTATTAAAACATAAAGAGATTGCTTATTATGTTATGTAAAGGTATATATTTACATTATAATTACATCTTGGAGGAATTTAATAGTAATAATATGAATTAAATAGAAAACAATTATTAAACCAAAATGTTCAAATTGTTTTTCGATTTGTTACTAAATGTAATCAATTAGTTCAATAAAAATAATTATATTATGAGTTATGATACAAAATCATGATTATTATATTAATATATAAAATAATTTAATTAAGAAAAGAATGAAAGATTTTACTAAATTTGTTCTTTTTGCTCTAGGTGGAACTATATTGGGTTATATATACAATATAAATAAAGAAAAAATAAACAAAAATCAAGTTGAATTGAATTTTCTAAAAAAGTAGAAAAGTGTTTCTGTTTTGCAATTAACGTAATAAATTTTATTAGTAAAGGAATTCATTATAATTAACAGATGATAATCAATTAAATTTATTTGTTGAAGGTGAAGTAGCTTAATCTACTGAGATATTAAAAAGCACAAATAATAAATACGCAGGTTTTTACATAAAGAAATAAAACTATGAAATAGAAACTGTAGAGAATAATGGAAGTAAAACTTAATAAAGAAGATAAATAACTAGAACAATTAATACAACAGATTAATTTATTTTAAACTCATAACCTAAATCGAATATAAATATATTGATAAATAATTTTTCAGATGCAATTATTTTGCCAAAAGTTTTAAAACATCAAAAAACAGATCATTTTTTGATTCCTCCAGAAGTAAGAACAATAATTAGAGAACCTAAAACGTAAGATATATCATATTATTAGAGATGAAGAAAAAGCATAATTTAAAGAAGGAAAAATATCAAAATTTTTAACAACTATTACAAAAATAGGAGTAGTTATTGAAGAAGACATTCTTTGTGAAGGAACATTTATTTGTGTTTATGGTAAAGTTGTTTGGGATAAAGTTCAAAATAATTTTAGAATGACAGCTCCTAAATATTTTGGTATAAGTAAAGATCAAATTATTGAATATTTTGAAGCTGATTAATAATTTTAAAAATTTTTTGGAATTTTATTGGCTATTGGTGGAGCAGTATTTATAAATTTAATAATAGGTGTGCTCTATCTTTGCTCTAAAATACTTATATACTTTATTATCAAATCGTCAGAATGGATAAAAAGAAAAAGAATATAAAATAACATAATTATGAATTATAATTATAATAGAAAATCAACAAATGTTATACTATTTTTTTTTAATAAATCATTATTTTTTAGAATTATTTATTATCTCTCTTTTTCAATTTTAAATCAATATTTTTTTGAAAGTAAGAATCTGTTTTAGAATTAATAAAATAAAATCTTATTTAACTTATTTATTGAAAATTATAATTCATAAAAATCACTTTTTAAGTTAAATTTAATCTTTATTGATATCTATGTCATACATAGAATTAAAGATTGTTTAATTTCAAATAATTTTAGTTAAATTCTTCATTATATAAGATTAATAAATTTAGAGTATGATATAAAAATATAATTATAATAAGAGTATCATAAAATGTATTTAATTAAATTTTCATTTGATGAAATTTAATAATTCTGCTGCCATAGATCCTTTACAAAATTCTATATTACTATTTAAAGCACAATTTATTAATGCTTTTTCATTTTATTTCTATTTTCCTAGTTAATTGATAATTTCTTTAGCATAGTTTTCATTCATTGGTTTAATGAAACTGAAAAAGTCAATAAACTCATTTGAAATAGGATTTTATCCTCTATTTCTAAACATAATATTTTCATCTCTTTATTAAATACTTGATTATATTTAATTTTTAATTGAATCATATTTTTTGCATATTTTAACAATTTCATCTTCTTCTTCTAATGATTATTGAATTTAAGATTGAACAACACTTTATTTTTAAAATTCAGAATTTCTTTGATCTTAATTATTTTCATCAAATAAAATATTTTAAATATCTTAAAAATTTATTGCAGCACTGCCTCCTTATTACGTACTTTCACTTATTTGAAGAATATCACTAAATTTTTTTTCTTCTTTCAACCATTTGATCATTTTAATTAGAATTTATTCAGAATTTCTTTATAAGAAATCATCATATTAAAAGCATTTTGAATTCAGTGATTATTAAAATTCATCTATAAAACTTAATGGTTGAGAAAGACTATCTGAATTTGAGTATTATTCAATTAATTTTTTTTATTCAACTAAAGAAAGTAATTTAAAATTTTCTTAAATTTTATTTTCACTAAATTAAAAGAAAAGATTATCAAAATAGTTTTCACAAATCCATAATGGTAAAACAGACTTGAGAAAACAATTATCTTATTCCCATTTTTAAAAAAAAATCATTAAATGACCAGCAGATTTCAAATAGAGATCATCCATTAATTATTCAGAATCTTTTCTAATAAATTCAACAATCTTCTTAAGTTAATCAGAAAATTAAAAATCACTTCTTCCTATCCATTATAAATGAGCAACATCAATATTAATATCAATTATTGCATTAAATATTTGATTGAATGATATTCTTGATTATTTATTGGATCTTCTTGCTTTTTAAAATTCATCAAGTATAAAATTAACATCTAATTATTAAACCATATTTCCCCATAACTTGGCTCCAATTATTTCAATTTTTAATTCTGGAAATAATTTATAAAATTTTTCATCAAAACATTTATTTATTGGATTCAAATCATAATCTGGATCCTTAGAAAATTTAATTAAATTATTTTGGAAATGTTCCCAAATCAAAACATAAACTTAACATTATGCTAAACTATTGATTTTTAGTTCTTTGATAATCTAATTTGCTAATGAACAATAACTTTTAAGCCCTTAATATAGTAATATTAATGAATTTTCATATTCTCCTTCATAATTTGACTTTAATTTATCAAAATTCATCAATCTAAAATTCCTTACAAAATCTGAATCTATATTATAATTCTCAATTTATTTATATGAATTATTTTTATTTGCTATTAAAGAGCATTAAAAAACTGAACTTATATTATTAAGTAAAATGTCTTCAAATTACATTATTTGAGGTGGTATAGATTTACTTAGAATTTGTATTACTTTCTTACTAAAAAAATAATATACATTAAAGTTACCTGTTTTTTTTAAAATTGTATGGAAATTTTATGAAGATTTCTCTCAATTATTTTAATAATTCTTCATCTGCATATAACTCAATATCTTCTATTAAAAATTTTAAACAACTAATTAAAGATCTTTATCTATTGGATTAAGCTCCTCCCATTTATTTTATTAATGAATTTTTTGTATTCTAATTCAGAAGTCGATACTTTAATTTATAGAATAGTGATTTAAATATGGAATATAATATATATATAAGAGAGATCAATTATTAATCTTTCTCCAACCATCTTTTTGAATTGAAGCTTTAATCGTCAATAATTTCGCATTTAATGGAGAAAGTGAAGATGGAATAGATTCTGGTAAGAATTTCTCATCTTCAGATTATAAATAATTCAATTCAATAAATATTATGATATCTCGAATGAAATCAAGATCGTTTTAAAACTATCCATTTATTTATGCTTCAATTATGGACTATTGCATTAAAAGTTTAAATTCTAAAATTGCTAAACGAGATAATTAGCCCAATCTAATAATTCCAATAATTTAGGGAATTTTGAAATCCAGATCTTCTTTATTACATCTTAATAATGTACAAAATTAGTTTGAATATTTAGAAAAGTCAATATTATTCTATTCAAGTCTTTTGGTTATTTTCCATTAAATTTAATTTATTAAAGGATGAGTACTTACCCGATATTTATTCATTTATTAAAATTATTCATAAAATAAATAGTAAAAATAATATATAATAATTTTGAAATTTGTTTATTAATTGAAAATAATATGATTCTTAAATAAATCAATCAAAGTATTGATATTTTTTTTTGAAAGAATTGATGTTTTAAATATTTTTTTTAACAACTTTTTTTAATGATTCTTAAAATTTAGTCATTTTTTCTTATTCTTCAGTTTATTTGATTTTTGCAAAACGATAAAAGAAAATACTATTTCTTTCAGCATTTCTAGTAATATGACTTTCATCCATATCTAATAAACTGGTAATTGCAGAATCATTCTAAACTTACCACATTTAATCCTATTTTGATATAAAGGATCTTCTATTCTTATAAAATTTATTTGTATTTATACCGGGTTTTCAGGTTTGACTGGAGAAAATAAAGCAGTCAATTCCATTAAAATTCTTGAACGTCTTTACATTTTTTCACTTATGTCTTGATTTTAATTATTTTTTTTATTTCCGGTATATTTTTATTCTAGATAATATTGTTTTAAATATTTTCTTGGAACAATATCATCAAAAGCTTCTAGTTCTGTAACTAAAGATTTAATTTAAGGAGGTTATTATTTTTCAAAATAATCTGCTAATTCATAATAAATTTCATTATGTCTTCTTAATTAATATATTGGAGTATTATATTTTCTATTATCATCTCTAGTTAATGATCTTAATTTAAGAATTAATTATTATCTTGAAAGATCAGTAAAATTACATTTTTCTTCTGTATTTCTATGAGTTTCTGCTAATTTATTGTACAATTGATATAAATCTTCATTAGGTTATTATCTCAAGCCTAAATTAATATCTTTACTTATTCTTTCAAATTCACATTAATCTTTTAATTTAACTTTTCCATCTAATTACCATCCATTGTATTATTTTATTGGATCATAATTTTGTTTAAATATTTTATAACCAGGAGGTCCAAAATCACTTTAAGTTGTATCTAATTTACAATGTTAAGCTTAACAATATTTAAGTGCTTTTTTCTTATCTAAACCAGCTCTTCTTAATTTAGCAAATAAAGTAGCATTTTCTTAATTTTCTTCAGTAAATTTACGTCTTGGAATAAACCTTTAACAATCTCTAAATAAACCACTAGTAATTTTATTAGGTTTTTCAAATGGAGATGAACTAAATGCTGTATCTCTCATTTTTTGTTAAAATATAATAATTTATATATATATATAATTAGAATTAACAATCATGAATTTTAGAAATCTCTTCCAAATAAAGTTCCATCAAATTTACAATTAATTCTACCTATAACTTTTGTAACTACTTTATCTAGTTTTTCTTAAAATTATTAATTTTTTCTTTATTCTTCATTTGGTTAAAATTTTGAAAATCTATAACTTAAAGCACTTAATCTTCTTCTAGCACTTGCACTTCCTTCTTCAATATTTAATAATTCCTTTTATTCTTTTAATTCTTTTTAATCGGATATATTTGGCAGCTCTAAACGATGTTTTTCTTCTCTTGGATTAAATTGATCTAACATCTTCATAGCTACCTAATAATACTATTTCAATTGAAGGATCATTTGGACTTCTTGCTTCTCTATAAGTTTCAATTAACTCATGCAATGCTTTTAATCTTTATTTTAATCCTTTCTCTTCATCTGTTCTTTTTATACCTGGTCTTTAGACTCTAGGTTCGATTCTATATTATTCTCTAAATTATTTTGGAATTATATCATCAAAGGATTCTGTTTCAGTTATTAATGTTCTAGATAATGGTTTTATTTATTCATAATAATCTGCTAATTCAAAATAATGATCTTTTCCGTTTCCCATTTGAAATTATGGAAGCTTCACTTATTTACTGGAATTACTTAATCCTATAAAATAATCTTTAAGTCTTTCAAATTTTTTCTATTCTTCTTAATTTCTATATTACATTAATCCATCATCTCCTTTTGCTTTTTAATAATTTTCAAAATTTCTCTCTTTCAATTTTCCAACCATTTACCAACCTCTTATAATTTTTTATCTATCAAGAGAAGTTTCAAATATTTTATAATTTGGAGGACCATGTCTTCCTTATGAAGCATCAATTTTACAATGATCTGCCAAACAATACTTTAGTGCTTTATCTTTAACTAATCCAAATCTTCGAAGTTTAGAATACATCATAGCGTCATCCTCATTTGGTTAAGGAGATCTCTCTTTAGGTTAGAATCTCACACATTACCTGAATAATCCTATTTCACTTGGAGAATTTTATTAACCATCAAACCTTACATGTTTCATTTATCAAATATTATAATCATTTATCTATACTCAAATCTAATTTTTTATAAAAAAAACCATTCAGTTTATTTCCTAAATCTATTTCCCTTCTTATTAAATACTATTATTTATTTTATACACCATATTTATTTTACTATATCTTTCAAAAGACATTCCTTATCTAACTCAACTTAAAACTATTATCCTCTTATAAATTGAATTTATAAATTCAATCCTATATATAATTAATAATAATATCTATTTCAAACAAAAAATATAAAAAATAAATTATTTAATACATTTAGATTCTTCATCATTTAAAATTATTAACATTATTAAAATTATTCTCTTTTCTATTATCTTTTTGTAACATAAATCCAATTATAAAATATTAATTCCCATATTTTATATCATTAACCCTCATTTTATCAATTCTTGCAAGAAATTTCTTTTTTATATGATTATTCGAATATATTATTAAATATAAACTTCAAAATTTAAGTAACTTCTTAACTTTTTTTAATTATAGCTTAGTATTCATTAAAGAGATTCCATATAACAACTAATTGAGCGTATAATTAATTCTATTATTAATTCTTTAGAGAAATTCTAAAATAAATACATGAGCTTTTTCTTTTGAATTTAACTTTCTATATTAAAGGTTTAAAGAATTTGAAGAAAATTAACTAAATTTAAAAACCTAGTCAGGTTTATGTTATTTAATTAACTGAACAATCTCTTATTAACATTATTATTCTCCCAAAAGACAATAATTTGAATTTAAAACTATTTTTAAGTAATTGATTTTAAATATTAATAAGCTTATCTGATTCTTCATCAAATTTTAGTAGGTTATTCAACTTTTATGTTAATTTACTATAGCAATTATTATCTTAAATAATTTGTTTTTTAAATTATGGGTTGTTTATTAAAATGGTTGTTTTTTAGTTGAGTTAGATATGAATTCTATAATCATAGATAAAAAATAATGGAATATTATCACACCCTTTAAAATTTGAGTATATAACTGGGAATGTAACACTTTGATGTATTAATTGATCATAAACAAGTTTAAAATTACTCTAAGAATATCAATGAACCAAAATTTTGATTTAATTGAGAAGTTATTTGATTAAATTATTTCCATAAAATATTTCCTTTTTTTTACTTAATAACAAATATATACATAGATTTTTAAATGATCAAATATTAAATCTATTATAATGGATAAATTATGTCTTGATGGTAAAATTTTATTTATGGAAGTGTAGTTTCATATGTGTCTTTATATATTTGTATAATTTTGTTAAGATAGCAAAAGCATTACTAAGTTTGGTTAATGGTAATTTTTCTTTGTTTTAAAAATTAAATAATTATTAATAGATCATTTGTTATTTTAAGATAATTGTGATTATTGTTAATTGATATGATTTTAATTTGTGTTATCTAATAGTGTTAAGATTGAAATTAATAAATAAGTAATTATATTAAATATATAAATAATGATAAAAATTTTCGTTTGATTATTTTTAAATAAAGGCGCGAGGGTTTCCCCTCACTAGCAGAAATTGAGCGATAAAGCCTTTCCAAACGGAAAGTTTTGGAGCCTCACTGACGCCGGTTGTGCGATGGCCAGCTTAACCCCACACTGCTAATCTACTTGATCATCAGCAGTGCTCGCCAGGTAAGTAAATTAACTTAACTTTAAAAATTACTTATATATTAAAAATAAAAATGATATTTTATGGGTTTGATTTTATTATATAAATTTATAAGTAAAATATGAAATTATATAAAAATTAATTTTATCATAGTTATTCAATAATATATTATATATCTAATCATTTATTTTCATATTAACCATTTCAAATTCTCAGAGATTCATTTAGATAAGACTAATGATTAATGTTATAATTAATTATTTTAAAAATGAAACTATCTAAATCAAAAAACTTAATACATCAAAAGTTAACTTTCCATGTTTTAAGACTTATAATTTCATACTCAAATTTGCAAGAATGAAAAATTTATAAAGAACATTAAATTAATAAATAATACTAAGAAATCAACTAATTATAAAAGAAATGTTGATATTAATAAAAATATTTAAAGGATAAACACTACTGTTTATTTTTAAATAAAATTGAAGTTTATGAACTATATTTAATATCACAATGTTCATCACTCAAAATAAATTGGCTCCTAATTATATATATATATTGATATTCAAAGGATGCCAAATCTTATTGAAAATTATAGATTGTATTAGAAATATACAATAAATAATTAGTTATCTAATCTATAATATATTAAAATAATGTTTTCAGTCTGAAAACATACTATTTTTTTAGATTACCAAAAAGATTTTTATGCCTATCTTTGTATCAAGAAAAAAGCAGACTAGAATATCTATGGGAATAATATGGATTTATTTTATACTTTAATTTCTTTATCCTTTAAGTAGTTTGACTATCAGAGTTATAAGGGTTGGAATATTATTTAGATAAAGATCTTAATATTACAAAATCAAAGAAGATATTAACTTAGTTATAATCTAAAATAAGTCTTATTATGTTTAAAATAAAGGTATTTTACAGAATAACTATTATAATTTTTTCAATGATATATTCTATTCTGATATTTATCAAAATATTTAACTAATTGAATAAAAAACTTTCTTATAAATTATACAGAGCTGAATTAAACCTTAAATAATATGAAAAATTTATCAATCATTATTGAGATTTATCTGTAAATAAAAAGTAGGATAAAAAAGAAAATAAACAATATTATAAAGATTATGATGTCTGAATGAATATGGTGATCATAAATCGTAGTAAGATTGAAAAGGAATTAGATTTTATTGATCCATCAAATAATATTAATTAATATATTTATATTTTAATGAAATCGATATCATAATAGACACGATCTTTGATTCATAAATAACAAGACTTGGGATTAATAGATTCTAGAATTTCTTAATTAAAATAGTAATTATAATTGTAAGAATCAAACAATCATATTATTGAATTCAAGGTTAATAAAATTTTGGAAACTAAAAAGAACGCATCTAAAGATTAATCTGATGTATTATCTGTACTTTATTTATCTAGTATAGTAGAAGATTAGAAAACCTTAATTAAGAATAGCAAAACAGAAACAGTAAAATTAAGTTATTGAAACATTTAAAAGAGGAAGATTCAATAAGAAGAAAAAGAGATTTAGATGAAGAGAAACGACTTGAATAAGAAGTAATGAAAGAACGATCAATGCTATATTAATTGCAATACAAACATAGTTAAAATGAAGAACTTTAACAAAAATAATAGTAATTCTAAAAGGTAAATTTTACCAGATATAATTTAACAGATTTAAGAATAGAAATTCAGAATGAAATAAAANATAATATATTAAAATAATGTTTTCAGTCTGAAAACATACTATTTTTTTAGATTACCAAAAAGATTTTTATGCCTATCTTTGTATCAAGAAAAAAGCAGACTAGAATATCTATGGGAATAATATGGATTTATTTTATACTTTAATTTCTTTATCCTTTAAGTAGTTTGACTATCAGAGTTATAAGGGTTGGAATATTATTTAGATAAAGATCTTAATATTACAAAATCAAAGAAGATATTAACTTAGTTATAATCTAAAATAAGTCTTATTATGTTTAAAATAAAGGTATTTTACAGAATAACTATTATAATTTTTTCAATGATATATTCTATTCTGATATTTATCAAAATATTTAACTAATTGAATAAAAAACTTTCTTATAAATTATACAGAGCTGAATTAAACCTTAAATAATATGAAAAATTTATCAATCATTATTGAGATTTATCTGTAAATAAAAAGTAGGATAAAAAAGAAAATAAACAATATTATAAAGATTATGATGTCTGAATGAATATGGTGATCATAAATCGTAGTAAGATTGAAAAGGAATTAGATTTTATTGATCCATCAAATAATATTAATTAATATATTTATATTTTAATGAAATCGATATCATAATAGACACGATCTTTGATTCATAAATAACAAGACTTGGGATTAATAGATTCTAGAATTTCTTAATTAAAATAGTAATTATAATTGTAAGAATCAAACAATCATATTATTGAATTCAAGGTTAATAAAATTTTGGAAACTAAAAAGAACGCATCTAAAGATTAATCTGATGTATTATCTGTACTTTATTTATCTAGTATAGTAGAAGATTAGAAAACCTTAATTAAGAATAGCAAAACAGAAACAGTAAAATTAAGTTATTGAAACATTTAAAAGAGGAAGATTCAATAAGAAGAAAAAGAGATTTAGATGAAGAGAAACGACTTGAATAAGAAGTAATGAAAGAACGATCAATGCTATATTAATTGCAATACAAACATAGTTAAAATGAAGAACTTTAACAAAAATAATAGTAATTCTAAAAGGTAAATTTTACCAGATATAATTTAACAGATTTAAGAATAGAAATTCAGAATGAAATAAAAATTAGATTTGAGAAGAATAGAAAAAATTGAAAACGTTAGAAATTCATAAATAAAGAAGAAAGTAGAACTTTCAGTTAAATTTGATTTGTAATAATAGGAATATTAATAAAAAATTGAAGAAGAATAATAGTTATTAAAGTAATTATTAGATAAAATATAATAGAAAATTATCATTCTCATAATTGAGATTTTAAGCTCTTAAAGATGATCTTGATTTGGCTTAGAAGATATCTATCAGAGATTATACAAACTCTGCAACAAATTAAGGTTTTGCAAAACAACCATTTGATTAGGCTAAAGTCTAAAAAACTATTTTAACTAGTCCTTATGCTTAAATACCATCTATATTAAATTAAAAGTATGCTTCTCTATATAATATAGGGATGTAGATTAATTGAATTTGCTATCTAAATTATTGAAACCTTCTTTCAAAGATCAATAATAAACGACTGAAAGATTAATCAAGAAAAAAAATTAAACCCATTTTAATACTCAACTTTCTGATAGAACACATACAAAAGAAAATTCATCTAAATTTGATACAGAAACTAGTTAAACTCAAAAAACTAAATTCTAATTTATTAAGAAATAAAATAATTAATAGAATGCTTCTCGTAAAGCATCCAGTAATATTAATGAAAATTAAGATACAGATAAAATTTTAAATTAGGATATCTAATCAAATAATTAAAATAATCAAAAAGTTGAAGAAGATAATAAAGAAAATTAATAAAAAAATAATTATGAATAAGAAAATTATGAAGAAGATAATTCTAATGAAGATAATTATAAGGATGATAATTATGAAGATGATAATTAAAATTAATAGTAAAATAAAGTTGAATTACATGATTAAACTTAGGAAAAAAATTAATAAAATCAAGAAGAATTTTAAGATGAAGAATAATATCCAGCTGATGATGATTATGAAGAATAATGATTTTTATCTAATTTATGTTTTTAAAATGTGTACTGAATAAAGTACTGAGATTGACTTTATTGGGATTATAATTATAATTACTTATTCACTTATTTCCAATATAAATTAATTAAAAACTAAATAAAATGGGATGTTCTTTATAAAAACAGAAAAAATTCGAAACAATCAGCAAACGTTATTCAACAAATGCAAATACTTGTTGTATCTTCTTTTTTTATTATGTTAAGTAACTCCTGATTAAAGAAAGAGTCTAGAAGTTTATAATCCTACTCTTGGAAAAATTGTTTAAGTTCCAATTCTTGTACCTGCTTCTCAAAGCAATATTATGAAAAGAAGAAGTACATAAGCTATATCTGGGATATGAAACTTCTAGATTTTTGATTTATATAGATATATTTGTATTAGATATTTATTGAATCATTCTTTCTTATTTTTGAATCTAATTCTTTAAAGTTTATATCTACAATTTATTGTTTAATATCCAACATCTGATCATTTTATAAAACAAACTATGATAATTAAAATTATTATATTATTTAAAATTGAACATAAATACCATAATAATGATCTATTATGATTTTAATAAGGCAACAAATCATAATCCTTAATTTTAATTAAATGGATTATTATTCACAAAATCAGATTTTAACTTAATTAAATAACTATAAGATACAAGGTTTCATTAACGAAATATTAAAATCTGTTATCTTGTATTAATCATTATATATCGTTAACCAAAAGTACAGAAATAATTATAGTTCAAAGTCCTTAGAAACATGAAAATCTTAATGAGCCATTTTTGTATTAAATTTTATATGCGAGTCATCAAAAATATATCCTTTTTTTGTTTCATTAAAATTGATATAAAAAAGCCACAGAAACATAAAATCAATTATTTATTTTTAAAACAAATAACATTTTATAATCCATTATTTTTTAATATAAATTAAAATTCATTTAGTCCTAAAACCTTTTTTATTTAGTAAAAAAATAAATTTTTTAATTGTGGGCTTAATTTACATGCTTAAAATATCAAATCCAATCAATAAACAACAAAATTTGTTACAAATAAATAGATTAATAAATTAAAATAAGTCAAAACGAATTAAAAGTAACAATTTTTTATTTTAGATTGGCGCATAGTTCTTTCAGTTGATGTGAACATTTTTTACCTTAACACTCCAGCTATCCTTATAAGATAATGAAATTTAGATTCATTTCATTCTTTAGGCAATATATAATCAAAATTATAATATTTTTTTCAAAGATCTTATTCAAATACTAGTATGATTAATATGAAAGTTAGATTTTTAAACTTCTTTTGTATATATCTAAATTATTAAATAATTTTATTAGAACTACTAAACTTGTTTTTTAATTGATTGGCGTAATTTCGTCATTCTATTTATATTATTTTCGTTATATCAAATATTTAGATATTTAATGATTTTATACACTTTGAAATTCTTTATGATGTTGTTTCTGGAATACAACAATAAGATAAGCTAAACCTTTAAATTTTTCATAATAATTGGAATAGTTTATGAAGATTCTAGTAGTTGAAAGTAATAATTACATTTTTAAAAAGAAAAATATCTTTAATTCGAAAATTTGATATTTCTCTAATTGTTTATAAATTTCAATTATTATAACGATTATATCTGAATAATAAGCTTAAAAATTACGAAATAATTTGACCTTCTTAAATTTATAATACAAATAAACAAATTAAATTTATGTGGGAATTCAAAGATATTTTCCACCATTACAAAATAAGAAAATTTTTTAAATCAATTAAAGATAGAGCTTTTTGGTTTATATTTTGATAAATGAATAATGTAGACCAATAATTATATAATTAATATCTAATTTAAGGTTTTGATACAGTATTATGGGTATCCAATTTAAATTGCAGGAAAAAAGTGGTTAACTTTTAAAAATGGTAAATTATATAATTGATGAATTCTTTGTTATTTTTGATATTGTTTAGTAGTATATTAAGCAAGTGAAAATTTTTAAATTCATCATATTTCCCATTTTTTCGAATGTATCATTTTATTGTTTTAATGATAAATAGGATAAGGATTGTAGTAAAATAAATGAATAGGAAGAGTTAAAAATTAGAGTCTTTTTTTTTTTAATAAAAAAATAAGAATAAAGCAGAGCAATAGTTAAGCTATTAAAATTAGATGTCAATAATTAAATTGATAATTTTATAATATAATCAGGAACTTAAATTGTAGTTTTAAAGATGGGTAAAATGATTCTAGAGTATTTGGAAGGAAATCGAATTTATGTATGTAAAAAATGCCATATACATTTATCAAATTATGAGAGTAGAATATCGAAGGTATGATAAAAAATTTGATTCTAGAATTTTAGAGGTGGAAGTGGTTAAGCTTTTTTATTAGATAGAGGGTAGTTTATTTGATTATAAAGAATAAATTATCATCTTGGTCAGCTAGAAGATAAAGATTTGATGACAGGAAAGCATACGATTTAAAATTTGAGTTGTAATGGTTGTAATCAAGTAATTGGATGGAAATATGTATAATAATGGAATTAATAAATTGATTAGGTTAAAGCATATAGAGAGAGTGAGAAATATAAGGAGGGAAAGATAATAATAGAAAGAAATTTCTTAAAAAGAATAAAATGGAACTGAATCTATTAAAATATTATAAATAATGATAATAGTTCTAAAAGATCTGTTGTATGAATAAGTGATTTAGAGATAAAAAAGAAGATGATAATTAAAAGTTGAATTATTTATATATAATTAAAAATTACGTTAAAAGGTGGATGTTTGAGAAGATTTTGAGTCATTAAATGAAGAAATAAGAAGAGTGTCTATATAAATTACATTAATAGAATATGAATCGGAGAGTTGTAACAGAAATTGACGATGTAGAATAAGATCTAAGAACATTGAAAGATATATCAAATATAAAAGTTAATTTGAAGTTGCCTTAGATGTTAACGTAACCATTTAGAAAAAATAAAGAGGAACATGTCAAATCTATTTATTTAGAGAAATTTGAGAATCAATTATAATAAATACAGCAATAGGCAATTAAAAATTAAATACTACTTAAAATAGAAAAAAACAGTGCTAAATCAGTTTTTATGAAAGCATAGTCTGAAGTATTAGATTATTCTAAATTAACATATGTAAATTTGAAAGTTGTTGGAAGTGGATCATTTGGAGTTGTACATAAAGTAAATCGATTTTAAATAAAAGGCTAAAGTAAATGAAACAGGAGAAATAGTTGCAATCAAAAAGGTTCTATAGGATCGAAGATATAAAAATAGAGAATTATCGATATTGTAAGAATTGGATCATGTAAATGTATTGAAGATGAAACATGCTTTCTATACTCCTGCAACTAATTAAGATGAAAATTATCTTAATGTTGTAATGGAATACTTTCCTGACACACTTTATTCATTGAACAAATCATTTATCAAAGATTTCAACAAGATGCCAGATATTTTAATAAAACTTTTTAGTTATTAATTATTAAGATCTATTGCGTATCTCTCTTTATATTCTTAGATATATTTCATTATTAGGAATATGTCATCGAGATATCAAACCACATAATGTTTTAATTAATCCTGAATCTAACCAATTGTAATTATGCGATTTTGGAAGTGCAAAAAAGTTGATTAAAGGTGAACCAAATATAGCTTACATTTGTTCAAGATGCTATAGAGCTCCTGAATTGATTTTTGGATCAACTAATTATGATACATAAATAGACGTTTGGTCTGTAGGTTGTGTAATAGCAGAATTAATCAATGGAGAACCACTCTTTTTAGGAGATTCTGCAGTTGATTAAATGGTTGAAATTATTAAAGTACTTGGAACTCCTAGCAATGAATAGATATTCAACATGAATAAGGATTATGATGTACAATCTAATTAATTTGCTAAAATCAAAAAAAGAGATTGGAAGAAAGTATCAATTTTAATTTTAATTCAGGTCTTAAAAACCAAAGATAATTTGGCAATTGATTTAATTTCAAAATTACTTACATATTGTCCAAAGACTAGACTTACGCCATTTTAATCTTTGGCTCATCCTTATTTTGATGAATTAAGAGATATTAATTAGTTAAAGATTTTATAAAGTTAGATGAAGATAAGTATTCCATAACTCTTCAACTTCTCAAATGGTATGATTTTAATTCTTATTTTTTTAGAAGAGGTATGTAAAATGACTAAATAAGAAAAGCTTCAATTAATACCTGATTGGTATGAGATTTCATCTAAAATTATAAAAACAGAATGTTGAATAATAATGAATATATTTATTTATTATGAACGAACCCATTTTTCATTACTATGGTAATAAAGCAGGTGTTGAAGGAGCAGATTAAATTAAATAGGTCATAGATGATGCCACTAGAGGATCTGAATATTATAAAAGATAATAAGAAAAACGACAACAAGTTCTATAAAAAGTGAATAAGATGTAGATGGAATTAGAAAATTATAATAAAAATGAACAAAAAAAGAAGGAAATCAAAGAAATTATTTAGAATAAAGTCAAAGAATTTTAAATTAACACAGATAGAATTTGGGCGCATTTTGATATGGATATGTTTTATGTAGCTTGTGAACTGTTAGACAAGCCAGAACTTAAAGATAAACCAGTTGCTGTTGGTTAAAGCATTGTATCCACTGCAAATTATGTTGCAAGAAAATATGGTGTTAGATCTGCTATGCCAACTTTTGTTGCTAAAAAACTATGTCCAGATATAATCTTTATTCCTTGTCATTTCGAGAAATATAAAAGTGTCTCAAATGTATAGTTTTAATTTATAAATTACCATAGATATTTATGACTATCCTTAAAAAATATGATGATAATCTTGAATCTATGGGTTTAGATGAAGCTAATCTAGATCTCACATAATATATAAATAATTCATAAGAAGATCCAGCTATTCTTTGTGAAAACATTAGAAAAGACATATTCTTAGCAACTCAGTTAACTGCTAGTTGTGGAATTGGACCTAATAAAATGATTGCAAAACTTGCCTCGGAAATTAACAAACCTAATGGAATGCATGTTGTTTAATAAACTCCTACTGCTGTTCTTAATTTCTTAGAAAAATTACCTGTAAGAAAGATCCCTGGAATTGGTAATATCACTGAATAAATTTTAACTGGCTTAAACTTTAATACTTGTAAAGATGTTAGAGATAGAGCTGATTAACTCTACATTATATTTACTCCTAAAACTTTTGAATACATTTTTTATTCTTGTTGGGGTGTGGCAAGAAACTATCATGTAGAATTTGAAGATTAACATAGTATAAGTTGTCAAAGAACTTTCAGTAGCATTAGTACTCAAAGAGAATTTGAAGATAAAATTGATTATATTGCTGATAAACTAGCAGAAGAAATGTAATCTGAAGAAAAAGTAGGAAATCACCTTACTTTGATCATCAAAACAGCCAAATTTGAGATAAGAAACAAATCGTTACAACTTAATTAATATACTAATCAAGCCAAGTAAATCTCTATATATGGCAAACAACTTCTCAAGATTATGTAATTAGATGAACCAATTAGATTACTTGGATTAAAAATGAGTTCTTTGGCAAATGAAAAATAAATTTAAAAATAATCAATCTCTACTTATTTTAAAAGATAATATGAAAAATCAGTTGGTTAAGAGAATATTGCTTCTGTGAAAGGTTCAAAGTCTCATCAGATTTCTGAAGATAATGATAGTATAAATAAAGAACGTCTCTAATAACAAGAATTAAGTAAACCTGATATTATAAGTGATGATGAGGCTAGTAGCATTAGTAATTAAATCTTATCAGGAGTGAATAGTAAAAGCCATTAATCTTAAGCACAATAGTAGCAATATTTATAAAAACAGTAAGCTTAACCAAAATCTTTTCGTTGTCCTATTTGTAATAAAGAAATAGATTGTAAGGGAAATAATACTGTCTTGAATAAACATATAGACAGGTGTATAACTTAATAAAATGTCATAGTTGAATAATCAGATGAGTCAAATAGGAATTTTTCTGAATAAAAAAAGAAGGTTTCATCTAAAATTGAGAGTAAAGCTTAGAAGAGTTTAAACTTTTTTAAGAAATGAAGTCATTGATTTATCTATGTTTTGTAAAATTTCAATATAAATTTCATAATTTAGCGAAATATAATTTAAATCAAAAATTTTTTGTAAATGGATTGTTCTTTTAATTTTTTATGAGGCATTTTTGAATGTGTTCATCTGCAATCTTCTAATCAAAGTCTCTTAAGCATCCTTTACAGAATTTTTTTGCATTTAAAACTTAATTATATTTAGAAGAAACTTATGGACTTCTGTAGGTAGGTATTTCAGTTTTCATTTTATTAGTTTTAACAGGAGAGAATTAAGGTAACTTTTGTTTATTTTCTATAAAATAGTCAAATCCAACTCTTTTCAATTAAGAGTTGAAAGCATTTCTTTTTTGTTAAAAGACATCTTTACAAACTTTATAATGTTTAAGCAAACTATCTTTATTAAACTTTCTACCACAACCTTAAGGGCAAAGAATTAATTCTTCTGTTTATTCTTCAGCTTTCATAATATATTAAATAATTTAAATTATATAGTGAAGATAAAAGCTTAAATGTAAGAAAAAAAAGTATAAAAAGTATGAATAATAAATTTAATGAATCTAGAATAATAAGTCAATGTTGATAATTTTATTGTATAGGAGGAGTTCTAGGAATTTTAGGTCTGGAGGCAAAGGCTTGAGCAGATTATTATGGATGTTTTGAATTAGTATTAGTAATTTTATGATTAATATTGACATTAGGTAGAAGACTATCAGCCATAAATGGTCCTTCTATATAATGTTAGAATATAAATTTTACATCCAACAGGCATTTTTTCTAACTAAGATTCTCTTAATTATTCTTAATAGAGACTTCTTTACTGGTATTCTTTTTACATTATAGATTCCATTAATTAACGTTATTGTTCTGCTTATTCTGAATCAAGAGCAAATTCATTCCTTAATAATTCTTCTCCAATAGTTATATCATTATTTTCTAAATCATCTTCATCTTCATCATCAACTGGACATTCTTCATCATCTTCTAAATCATCAACATCATTATCTTCTTCTAATTATGATTGATCATAATCATCATCATTACTTTCTAATTATTCTATCATATATTAAATTTATTTTTTAAATCTTTCATCACTAATTGATAATAATTTAGGTAATTCTTAAGGTATATTTAATTGATAAGCATATTCTCTTAGATCTCTTCTACTAAACATAGAATAGAATGTTCCATTTGTAAAAGTTCTAATCTGATCATTTGGGTATTCAATCAATTAATATAAAACTTCAAAAGCTAATTCTTTATTATTTGATAAAGCATCTCGACCTCTTGAACTTAATGATAAATTCATAATCAAAGCAGTAATATATTCATATGTATATTCACTTAAATTGAATTTTTCCTACTCTTTAAATATTAATTTATACTCTTTTTAGAATGCTTAAGGCCACTTAAATAATGTCATTATCAAGCATCCAAATTTGACTTTGCTTTCGAAGTGATAATTTTTATAAAGTACCGATTGCATTCTTTCTTTTAATTGAATCAATTTAATCTTTTTTTATTAATTCAATAAGCAATTTAATTAATTGAGGGTTATTTGTTAAATAAGTTCTTCCATCATAATCAGATGCTAATGCATTCATTAATTTTAAACTTTGGCATTAAATAACCAAAGGAGATTTCATCATTAAATATTAAGCTAATGCTATATTTCTTTAATGAGCTCCAATAAGATCATGTGTTGAATATGCAACAACTACTGATCTTCTTTCTAGTGCACTTCTTGCCCTTGTTATTCTCCATCTTAATGCTTATATAACTGTTGCAACCAAAACTGGATTATTGTTTTTTGTGAATAACTAAATAATCTTCTCATAATTTAATGGAATGTACTCTTCTATTGATTATTAGATTGGAATCATTTCTATAATTTAAATTTATAAAAATACATTATTGATTAGTCAAATCTGAGAGATCATGATCAGGCTATGTTATTTTATCATATTAAGAGATATCTTATGATTTATTTATTAATTCATCTATGCTCTAACTTAAGAACCTATCACATAAACCTATTTTCTTTTTAAATTATTATAATAAATCTGGATTCTTCTTATTATTTTCAATATACTTTATCATTTCTTTCTCCATCTTTAACATGTCACCCGTAAATTAAAACCATTTTCTTTATGTTTCAATCTAATTTTATTGTGCTGTTTAATTTATTTCTTATATTGTTTACGCTTACTAATTATTCTTTTTTCTTAATTCATTATTCTCTTATTATAATTATCTGATATTTTCTGCAACTTTCTTTTATAATTCTTATTCTTAAATATTAGATGAACCTTATTTTGATAAAAACAATCTTTTTAATATACTTCCACTTTGCTCTTATCCATATATTGATTATATAAATTCTTTTAATCTTAATCTCAAATCATCTATCCATTCATTAGTAAATAGATGCTAAAAGGTTTGATGTTTTTCAGGATTTTTAACATAAGGTAATGCATAAAAAGGCAAAACTTCATTAGTTTTTGATAAATCACCTCCTTTGCTATCAAGATATGACTTAAATTGATTAATAGAGTTCTTATCAATAATTCCTTTCTTCATGAATACCGGGTGAATTGGGTATATAAGAAAATAAATTTAAGCATAAAATTCTAGCTTCCAAGAATCAGGATCTTGTCTCTATTATACAGGAATGTATCGACTCCATGATTCTAAAAACTTATCTCTTTCGCCTCTATCAAAATGCCCTAAGATTAAATGTTCTGTTTCGTTGCTTTATTCTGATGCAAATTAAGATTCTACCTTAAACTATTCCAACGTTTTAGTACAATTAATTCTCATCAAGTAATCTTATACAATATTATTTAATTGTTCTGTCAAAGTTACATTTAAATCAACTAATTTATCAGCCTAATTTATTACAATGCATTACCTATTATATTATTACAGATTGAATCCTTTTTTGTGGAATATCATTTTTCCGATTCAAACCAGAATTTACTTTTGCTCGTACATCCTTCTACGACTAAGGTTTTTTATTGTTATTACTCATTATAACAGATATTATTAATTAATTTATGTANTTTTTTAAATCTTTCATCACTAATTGATAATAATTTAGGTAATTCTTAAGGTATATTTAATTGATAAGCATATTCTCTTAGATCTCTTCTACTAAACATAGAATAGAATGTTCCATTTGTAAAAGTTCTAATCTGATCATTTGGGTATTCAATCAATTAATATAAAACTTCAAAAGCTAATTCTTTATTATTTGATAAAGCATCTCGACCTCTTGAACTTAATGATAAATTCATAATCAAAGCAGTAATATATTCATATGTATATTCACTTAAATTGAATTTTTCCTACTCTTTAAATATTAATTTATACTCTTTTTAGAATGCTTAAGGCCACTTAAATAATGTCATTATCAAGCATCCAAATTTGACTTTGCTTTCGAAGTGATAATTTTTATAAAGTACCGATTGCATTCTTTCTTTTAATTGAATCAATTTAATCTTTTTTTATTAATTCAATAAGCAATTTAATTAATTGAGGGTTATTTGTTAAATAAGTTCTTCCATCATAATCAGATGCTAATGCATTCATTAATTTTAAACTTTGGCATTAAATAACCAAAGGAGATTTCATCATTAAATATTAAGCTAATGCTATATTTCTTTAATGAGCTCCAATAAGATCATGTGTTGAATATGCAACAACTACTGATCTTCTTTCTAGTGCACTTCTTGCCCTTGTTATTCTCCATCTTAATGCTTATATAACTGTTGCAACCAAAACTGGATTATTGTTTTTTGTGAATAACTAAATAATCTTCTCATAATTTAATGGAATGTACTCTTCTATTGATTATTAGATTGGAATCATTTCTATAATTTAAATTTATAAAAATACATTATTGATTAGTCAAATCTGAGAGATCATGATCAGGCTATGTTATTTTATCATATTAAGAGATATCTTATGATTTATTTATTAATTCATCTATGCTCTAACTTAAGAACCTATCACATAAACCTATTTTCTTTTTAAATTATTATAATAAATCTGGATTCTTCTTATTATTTTCAATATACTTTATCATTTCTTTCTCCATCTTTAACATGTCACCCGTAAATTAAAACCATTTTCTTTATGTTTCAATCTAATTTTATTGTGCTGTTTAATTTATTTCTTATATTGTTTACGCTTACTAATTATTCTTTTTTCTTAATTCATTATTCTCTTATTATAATTATCTGATATTTTCTGCAACTTTCTTTTATAATTCTTATTCTTAAATATTAGATGAACCTTATTTTGATAAAAACAATCTTTTTAATATACTTCCACTTTGCTCTTATCCATATATTGATTATATAAATTCTTTTAATCTTAATCTCAAATCATCTATCCATTCATTAGTAAATAGATGCTAAAAGGTTTGATGTTTTTCAGGATTTTTAACATAAGGTAATGCATAAAAAGGCAAAACTTCATTAGTTTTTGATAAATCACCTCCTTTGCTATCAAGATATGACTTAAATTGATTAATAGAGTTCTTATCAATAATTCCTTTCTTCATGAATACCGGGTGAATTGGGTATATAAGAAAATAAATTTAAGCATAAAATTCTAGCTTCCAAGAATCAGGATCTTGTCTCTATTATACAGGAATGTATCGACTCCATGATTCTAAAAACTTATCTCTTTCGCCTCTATCAAAATGCCCTAAGATTAAATGTTCTGTTTCGTTGCTTTATTCTGATGCAAATTAAGATTCTACCTTAAACTATTCCAACGTTTTAGTACAATTAATTCTCATCAAGTAATCTTATACAATATTATTTAATTGTTCTGTCAAAGTTACATTTAAATCAACTAATTTATCAGCCTAATTTATTACAATGCATTACCTATTATATTATTACAGATTGAATCCTTTTTTGTGGAATATCATTTTTCCGATTCAAACCAGAATTTACTTTTGCTCGTACATCCTTCTACGACTAAGGTTTTTTATTGTTATTACTCATTATAACAGATATTATTAATTAATTTATGTATATATTTATTTTTTTGATCTGTGCAATTGCATAAATTGAATATCGCAAAGATGATTTTGCTACCTCTTATTAATAATATTCCTTTAAATCTACATGATAACCTATGAAAAAAGCATCAGACCTTAACTTGATCAAATTTTGTTAAAAATATTTATACTTTTATTAGTCAGTGCACTCTTTTTGGATTGATAAAGTAAATGAGTAGAATTACATATTAAAAGTAAATGAGATCATTTGATATTTTTTTTGATGTTTAAGGAATAAGTTTCTAAACCTCCTGTAAAAATTAAGTCTATTTTTCAATTTACTTATTGGTATGGCAGGTTATTGCCTTTGATATTTTTTCAAGAATAATTGGATTTAAAATTCACACCTCTTTATATAGTCTAAAGAAGTACATCTTCAAATGTTGATTAGGTACTTTATGGGATGTTTATACAGGATAATAAAAAGCCAAATTAAATGGTCATAGTGATTAGGTAAATTCAGTTTGTTTCTCACCTGATGGTATTAGATTAGCATCTGGTTGTAATGATAACTCTATATGTTTATGGATAGTTACAAAGATTATTTTATCAAACGTTTAAACCTAAAATAATCTAATAGAATTTAGTATTTATTAATTATTATTTTTAGCAAACTCATATATGACCATTCTTCGCATATCCAAATCCCTTGTGTTTCTATCATAAAATACTCTCGTACTTAAAGGGAAATTCGTCAATCATTAAGGAGTAGATTTAAGATAATTATTGATATCAAAAGGCAGTACCTTTTTAGTGAACGATAAAGAAAAATTATAAAAGAATAAATGATTATCAATATATCAACAGAATAAATAAAATTTCAATCTTATCGTTTAACTCTTTAGTCTTGGAAGATTTGGTTTTTATTAGGCAAAGCATCTCTTACATAAAATGAACTTCACATGTATCATCAAATTATAAAATTATGAAAAATGAGATATTTAAATATTAAGTAAGCATGTGCATAATGAAAATTATGAATAACATGAATAGTATATATTTTTTAAATATTAAAGAAACAACAGAAAAAAATTAACTTGTGATTATAATTAATATTAATTAAACAGATGATAAGTAATAATGTATAACATTGGTTAGATTCATCACGTAGCTTAGGGGTAGAGCAAGCTGTCTCCAACGGCCATGTCCGAGTTCAAGTCTTCGGGGTGATGATTTTTTATTAATTAATTTTTTGGTACCAAAAATTATTTGTTAATAAAAATGAAGGCAATTACTTTATAAGATAGAAAATTCAAAAATATTTAATTCAATAAAATATGATGTCAGTTTACATAAATATAAACATTATAATAGATTTATTCAATTTCATATTATTTAAATTGATTTCTTTAATAGTATCCTATTTTCATAATTGATCAAAAATTCAAAAAAAAAACATTGTCTCTTTAATTGTTATGTATTAAATGATAAACATTTTTGTATTTACAATAGAAAAAAATAATTCACAAAAGTCTCCAAAAAATTTCTTTACAATTTTATAAAAATAATTACATAAATTTCATTCATTAATATTAATTGATTTAATAAAATAATTGAATTTTGAGATAAATTATGAATTAAGAAAATACTATGATTATGAATAATTTAAGCAAGGCAGCAGCCATCTTTATTTAAGGAGATGAATAAATTTGTAATATAGACAATTTCATTATTAAAAGAAGAAAAATTTGTTTTTTTACATTTAAACCTTAATAATTATTTAATTATCAACTTATATCCATTTCTGAAAAGCTATTTATCTACTGTTGAAACCTAAGAATTATTTTGGTATCTAAATGAGAAAGTAATAAGGAAAGTAGTTTTTGAATATACTCTAATTTAAAAATAGGGAGAGGTTTGTACCATTCCATCAAAGTCTAAACTCAATTAAAAAATTCAATAAAATGTTTTTACTGTTTAAACTGTTGATCTAAAATTTATTGGACAGTTTTACCCAACCATTGTAATAATAAAGGATTCATTAACTTTAGGCAACTTTACAGTGATTACTTTTAAAAATATAAAATTGGTTTTAAATAATAGTTTTCAAGTGAAAGACTTAATATATTTCTAAACAAAATCCTTAGAAATACAAGATTGTATTTTAACTGCAATTAAAAATATAGACATACTTGTAGCCTTATTTTAACTTGATAGTTCGTCTTTGAATATCATTAATTTAATAATAGAAAACTTAATATGTGATGGGGATATATTTAAATTGAGATCATCTGTTTAGTTAAAAGTTCATAATTTAAATATAAACAATTCACATTTTTTAGGAGGTGCAATATTTCGTAACATAGGCAGCAAACTCTTCGACACTGTGAATATTCATATGAAATCTATAAATATCTCTAATACAACATTCGAAAGATCAGCTTTTATGGTAATAGGCGAAATGTCAACCACTTTCAATCCCAATGTATTGATTCAAGAAGTTATGTTAAATGCAGTTACAGTTAAATAAAGTTAATGGTTTAGAATTCTAGTGGCATCAGAGTTTAAACTTTAGGGTTTAATTATCTTAGATAGTATTATTTAGTTAAACTCATAACTTTATTATTCCAAAACCTTTGAATTATAGGATACATATATAAACAATACAAATATTTCGAATAGTACTATTTTTAGTATTGAAGTTGAAGAAGAGGAAACTTAACTTAATAATCTATCAATTATTAATTGCACAATTAAAAATGTTTATTAAATAATTTGTTTTTTTGTAAAACATTAGAATTATATTAATGCTCTGAAGTATTAAAAAGGTCAGAGTTTAAGTAAATATATTAGGTTTTTCAAAATAATTATTATTTTTATGTATTAATCTTTTTTTATATATTCTTATCTATAGAATTGTAAATCATTTCTCTTATTCCCTTAAATGCTCTAAAACATCTGACCGACAATTTGGACATTTCGTACTACTTTAAAGCCAAATTTCAACACAAGATTTGTGATATATATGTTTGCAAGGTAGCTGTATAATTAGTTCATCTATTTATATAAAAATTTAGTACCTTTTTAGAATTAGTTACAGCATATACTACATAGTCTGTTTGATTTCCCCATTTTCATCTTCTTCAATTTTTATAAATATTACTTTGGTACTCCATGATCCTTTTAAAAAATCTTCTCAACATCATACTGCCACAGCTAAAGCTATAGTTCCTAAATTTGCAATATTTGTTATTATATACTTATATTTCCTATCTCAGTTAATTAGCGACTAATAATTAAAAGCTTTATTACCTTCATCCCATCTTCTTGATATAGCTTCATCAATTCCAAATTATTCAGATTATTATCCCTCTAAAATTAATTCATTTGTATACCACTTCTATCTTCTACTATTTAAATCATTGTATATTTATTTGTTCCTTTATTTTAATAGTTTTTTTCTGTTATTATAATTAATAATCAATAAAATGTCAAAATAATATAATTATAAATAAAATAACTAAACAAAAAGTAGCTATTTCCATGGTCTAATCATATACGAATGTTTATTTTAGGAAATGTTGGAAAAAATTTAAATTTGCTCTTCTTTTCTTATTAAATTAAAGTCTTTTTTATTAATTTTTAAATCTTATTCTTTAAGAATAATTAATTCATGTATTAAAATTATTTAAAAATTAAATAGTTATTTTTTTGATCAATTCGATTTTCAAATAAAATTGTTTTATATATATTATTGCAATTTCATTAGTTTGTTTAATGGAATTGGGAAAAAAAGTTATTAAAGAAATATAAAAATTATTTAAATGAATAAAAAGTGAATAATACATTTGATTTTTATATTTCTTAATTAAAATAGTTCTAAAGAATTTGAAAATTATTGATCTCAGGGTTTGGTCTGATAAAATTTAATTTNTTAGAAATACAAGATTGTATTTTAACTGCAATTAAAAATATAGACATACTTGTAGCCTTATTTTAACTTGATAGTTCGTCTTTGAATATCATTAATTTAATAATAGAAAACTTAATATGTGATGGGGATATATTTAAATTGAGATCATCTGTTTAGTTAAAAGTTCATAATTTAAATATAAACAATTCACATTTTTTAGGAGGTGCAATATTTCGTAACATAGGCAGCAAACTCTTCGACACTGTGAATATTCATATGAAATCTATAAATATCTCTAATACAACATTCGAAAGATCAGCTTTTATGGTAATAGGCGAAATGTCAACCACTTTCAATCCCAATGTATTGATTCAAGAAGTTATGTTAAATGCAGTTACAGTTAAATAAAGTTAATGGTTTAGAATTCTAGTGGCATCAGAGTTTAAACTTTAGGGTTTAATTATCTTAGATAGTATTATTTAGTTAAACTCATAACTTTATTATTCCAAAACCTTTGAATTATAGGATACATATATAAACAATACAAATATTTCGAATAGTACTATTTTTAGTATTGAAGTTGAAGAAGAGGAAACTTAACTTAATAATCTATCAATTATTAATTGCACAATTAAAAATGTTTATTAAATAATTTGTTTTTTTGTAAAACATTAGAATTATATTAATGCTCTGAAGTATTAAAAAGGTCAGAGTTTAAGTAAATATATTAGGTTTTTCAAAATAATTATTATTTTTATGTATTAATCTTTTTTTATATATTCTTATCTATAGAATTGTAAATCATTTCTCTTATTCCCTTAAATGCTCTAAAACATCTGACCGACAATTTGGACATTTCGTACTACTTTAAAGCCAAATTTCAACACAAGATTTGTGATATATATGTTTGCAAGGTAGCTGTATAATTAGTTCATCTATTTATATAAAAATTTAGTACCTTTTTAGAATTAGTTACAGCATATACTACATAGTCTGTTTGATTTCCCCATTTTCATCTTCTTCAATTTTTATAAATATTACTTTGGTACTCCATGATCCTTTTAAAAAATCTTCTCAACATCATACTGCCACAGCTAAAGCTATAGTTCCTAAATTTGCAATATTTGTTATTATATACTTATATTTCCTATCTCAGTTAATTAGCGACTAATAATTAAAAGCTTTATTACCTTCATCCCATCTTCTTGATATAGCTTCATCAATTCCAAATTATTCAGATTATTATCCCTCTAAAATTAATTCATTTGTATACCACTTCTATCTTCTACTATTTAAATCATTGTATATTTATTTGTTCCTTTATTTTAATAGTTTTTTTCTGTTATTATAATTAATAATCAATAAAATGTCAAAATAATATAATTATAAATAAAATAACTAAACAAAAAGTAGCTATTTCCATGGTCTAATCATATACGAATGTTTATTTTAGGAAATGTTGGAAAAAATTTAAATTTGCTCTTCTTTTCTTATTAAATTAAAGTCTTTTTTATTAATTTTTAAATCTTATTCTTTAAGAATAATTAATTCATGTATTAAAATTATTTAAAAATTAAATAGTTATTTTTTTGATCAATTCGATTTTCAAATAAAATTGTTTTATATATATTATTGCAATTTCATTAGTTTGTTTAATGGAATTGGGAAAAAAAGTTATTAAAGAAATATAAAAATTATTTAAATGAATAAAAAGTGAATAATACATTTGATTTTTATATTTCTTAATTAAAATAGTTCTAAAGAATTTGAAAATTATTGATCTCAGGGTTTGGTCTGATAAAATTTAATTTGAATCAATACATAATGATGATTCAATATTTAATTAATTCATTACAATAAACTATAAATTTGGAAAAATAAGCCAAATTAAATTAATATTATCTTTTCTCAATAATGTAGGTGCTAATCAAACAAAAATTATTATTGCTATGAATGTTAGTACTGTAAAACTACTAGCATCATAAGAAGCATAAATAATAAATTACTATCTTAGAGTAATTATAAACATAATAGAATAATAATATATCTAACTGTTTCTCTATAATGTGGAGGTTAAAGGATAAGAAAGGTATGAAACGATTATTAAAGTTTTATATAGCTTTCAATTTGATTAATTTAGAACTTGATCTTATTTTTTTGGATTTTTGATAACAAATGTTTTTATTGTATTTGCTTATCAATTTGGAGTGGAAATCGTTTGGTAACCAATTGGAATGACATTAATTTTTGTTTCTTCTTTAACTTATTATACATTTAAGAATTAGACACCTTTTCATGATGTATTCCATATTTCTCTAATTGACTCAATTTATATTTTTTTATTCCAACAATGATAATAATGCCTATTCTGATGGGGATACATTGGTCTTATGTACTTTCAATATTTTTATTCATGATGTTCATAATTGGTTAGGAGTACTTTTTTATTTGGAAAACAAATATGATAATTGGTGATGAAGTAAGAAGATTCGTAAACTCTAAAACTAAATTTATGAATTGATGGCTGAGGAATTATGATGTGGATTGATGCAATTAGATAACGAAAGTAAGCAATATTATTATTTTTGAATAGAGATGGATAAGATATAGCTAATGAATATATAAGACATAAATTAAGATAGAAGATGTCAAACAATGAATAGGTATGAGTTTATTCGTATCTTTGAATATATTTACCAATCTCTTAATATCTTTTAAGTTTGAAGAATTGGTTTATATTATTAGTTTTGGAATTATTAAGTTTCATTGGTTTAAAGGTGACAATTTAAATCTTTTTATTTAAAATAAAAAGGACATTGTCTTAAGTAAGAAAATAAAATAATTTATTAGAATAATTATGGATCAAGCAACACAAGATTTACAAGAAAATTGGATAGAGGTATATAGATGTCCTATTTTGTAAGCAAGTCGAAACATTTGAAGAATTAAATTTAAGCAAAGATTTACTAAGAGGCATCTTTTCTTATGGTTTTGAAAGACCCTCAGCCATTTAATAGAAAGCAATCAAACCTATCATCTTAGGAAAGGATGTATTGGCACAAGCATAATCAGGTATTAATCTATGATTTAAATATCTCATAGGAACTGGAAAAACTGGTACATTCACCGTTGGTGCTTTATAAAGAATTGATCCAAACCAAAGAAAGACCTAAGTCATCATTCTAGCTCCTGTTAGAGAATTGGCAAAGCAAATTTATGATGTGGTTAAAGGAATTGGGCAATACTTAAACATTGAAGCTTTCTGTTGCATTGGTGGTACCTCAACACAGGAAACCAGAGAAAAATGTAAATAAGGAGTCCACATCATTATTGCTACTCCAGGTAGATTGATCGATATGATGAAAAATAAATATTTGGATGCCACTTTTATGAGATTGCTTGTTGTTGATGAGGCTGACTAAATGTTAGATCAAGGTTTTAGTGATAACTTTGCAGAAATCTTAAAAATGGTACCAGGAGATATTTAAATTGGTATTCTTCATTATTAACTTTTTGTTAGCATTATTTAGTGCTACTTTCCCATAAGAAATTATTGAATTAAGTAAATAGTTCTTGAGAGATGGAACAGCTAAGATTCTTGTTAAGAAAGAATAATTAACATTAGAAGGTATTAGATAATTCTACATTGCCATCTAACAAGAAGATTAAAAGTTCAGAGTTTTGGTTGAATTATATAAGAATCTTACAGTTTCTTAATCAATCTTATTCTGCAACTCCAAAAAGACAGTTGATGATTTGTATGATAAATTAACTGCTGAAGGATTTACTGTTAGTAAAATCCACAGTCAAATGGAGCAAAAAGAAAGAGAATAAGTAAATATTTATATTTAATTTAGGTTATGCAAGAATTCAAAAAGGGAGCTGCTAGAATCCTTGTTTCAACAGATCTTATGGGTAGAGGAATAGATGTCTAATAATTGTCATTAGTCATCAATTACGAATTCCCAAGATTAAAGGAACAATATATTCATAGGTATTTTAATTTATTTAATATATTCAGAGTAGGAAGAGCTGGTAGATATGGAAGAAAGGGTGTGGCAATTAATATGGTAGCACAACAAGAAGCTAATCTCTTGTTAGAAGTTGAAAAATATTACAACACTAAAATTGATGAAATGCCCAAAGATCTAGCTGAAGTAGAAAAAGAATTAAGTTGAAACATGGAGTATTTGTTAAAAAAAAGTATAAATGTCAAATTAAATTAATTTCTTCATTTTTCGTTGGTTTTAATTCTTCAAAATTTTGTTTTTATATTATTAATGATAGAATAACCCAATCAGAAAGCTTTCTAAATTATAATATGATAGAATAAGATTTTTCATTATAATATGGATTATGCTGATTAATAGTAGGAACAATAATTACAATTTTAGATATATTAATTTATAAAGATGTTACAATAGCTAGTCTAGTTAATTGTTCATAATGGAAAATAACAGAATAGCTAAGATACTAAAAATGTTAGATTTCTGTCAGAAAATGATATTGTCTAGATTTCTTAACAAAACTAGCCAATTACTTCAGAATCTAATGAAGATGATAACGATAGTTTTTCAGTGATTATCCTTATTATTTGTCTGTTTCTATTGATATGTGTTTGTGGAACAATAGTTGAGGTGAGTAGAAGGAAAAAAGTTAAAAAAGAAAATGAACATAAATTATTGCAAGAAAAGCGTTTGTCCCTACAAGCTAATATAGGAATGCTCAATAAAATCTAAGATTAGATGCAATTTTCTATATGGAAGTTGACCAGCTTCAATTATAAAAATTTCTCTACTCAAAAAATACTGAAATTCGAATCCTTCTTTACTTCCCATAATTAATTAGAACTTTAAATAAATGTGGAATAAGCCAAAGAATCTTGGTCAGCCGAGGGACACATTTCTACTAACTCAGAATAAGAAATTTAAATTCATTTGAGGACTAGCCTTGATTATGAATTATTAGAGAGGAATGAAAAAGGTGATCATCATTTATATTTACTTCAATAATTTAAAGGGGTATATAATTAAGAAAAAAATAAGTTTATTGGTTCTTGGAGTGTCTATGGAAGTTAAGAACTCAATAATTTAAATTTTTTTGGCGAATTTGAATTAACAAGAGTACTTGTGTGATTCAATATTTTTATTTAACAAATTCTGTATTAATTTTCTAAAACTATTCATACATTATTATTTCCTTAAATTCTATATTTAGAAATACAAACTCAAACATTTATGAAATATTCTATCCTACCAAATTTAAGTAAAGGATTCTTTGTTGTGTTTTTTACCTAAATATTTATGTTGCCTATCTCTCATCAGGAAAAGAAAACATCAAGTAAAAATTTTGAATATTATTTTATATATGGAATAATGAGCAAAAATTTTAAATTATATAATTTAGTTTCTAAATTTAACTAAAATAATATTTTATGAATCATTATTCAATATATTGATTCAAAAGGAGTATTTATTTTTCTTTTAGAGTTCATTAATGAAATATTACAACTCCAATTATTAAGATCGTAAACTTAAAAATCTAATTGAAATATAGCTCCATTTTTGGCATAAATACATGGTTGATCAAAGTTTGATTAATTCATATTTTACTTATAATAAAGATATTTAAAAGTTTCAGCAATAAATCCTGCGTGACTTAATACAAGAATGTTAATCATTCCGGAGCTCTTTGAATATGAACTAAACTATTAAACTGAAGGGTTGTATAGGTTATTTATATCTATTTGTTATCCTGATTAATACTTTGATGAAAACTATTGTTATATAATTAATTACAAATTAATAAGATTTTTTATATATTTAATCTCTAATAAGTTGATGTATAAAGGATTCAACTCTTTCCTAAGTTTCAACATTAAGTTATGGAGATTATTTTGGTTTAGAAAGTACGAAAGCATCCTAATAAGATTTTAACATTTCTTCCTTCATTCCAATCTCCCTTAACAATGGTGTATATGTGATAACTCTCGGTTTTTCATTTAACTAATTTTCGATGTGAGAATAAGATTCTATACATCTATTGTTAATATTTTAAGTACCTTTTATAGTCACTTGTATAAACCTAATTAAATTTAACAGATTGTAACAGGGTTCCAGTTCTCTTGGATTGCACAATACCTAGTCCACTCAAACCAAATTCGTTCTTGCCAGAAACAATCTTTAAACTCTAATACATTGATTGACCATGTCGAATAAGAAAAACTCTTAATAACTGCATATCCAAATATTTTTTATTTATTATTTTGGACATGATATAAATATGTTATATTAAATGATGATTAGTAAATGGAATCAGTTTTAGTAAAGAGAGTATTATTTTGGTCTTCTGATATGGAGATAGAAATTATCTTATGTTTTGATGCAAAATTTTGTTTATGTTTTTTGTTTTTCATTCTTTTCGGAAAACTCTCTTTTTGGGCTGGAAGGTCCATATTGAGATGTTTATTAACTCATATTAAAGGATTTGTCTTTTTAATACTGTCTTATACGAATTGTTTTTGTTGTTCTATAAGTTTGAGAAGAAGTTGGATTGCTGTTAATATTATTGTTGCATTAATTATTATTAACTCCATCAACAAATGAATTACTTAACTTTTCATTTTCACATTCATGATTTTAGAGTTAATAACTATTTAAGAATTGATTGTCTACAAATTTATTTTATTTTTAAATACTCTTATTGAAGCAATTAGTATTATCAACTATCTTAATATGATTATCAAATGAATATGAAGTTTTTTTAGATGAGTTCTATTTAATTTCACCCACAAATTTTCCTTATTCCCAATTTCCCTTGAGTACCTTTCCATCGGTATAATGCATTTCACCATATCCATGTTTATAATCATTAAAAAAGATGCCACGATATTCATTTCCATTTGTCCATTTATAAACTCCATATCCATTTTTCTTATCTTCATTATATTCCCCTTGATATTGATCCGTTGGAGATTCTTCTCTTCTTTTCCAAATTCCTTTTCCACATCTTAGACCTTCCTTAAAATAACCTTAGAACTGTGCCCCATTACTCCAATAATATTCTCCATATCCATGAGGTTTACCATTCAAATAGTTCCCTTAATATCTGTCTCCATTACTAAAATATTCTTAACCTTCTCCATTCTTAAGCCACTCTTTAAAATTTCCAACATACCTATCTCCATTACTGTGTATATGTTCTCCATAACCACATGCTACATTATTCATCCATTCCCCTTAATATTGTTCTCCTTTTAAACCATACCATATTCCTTCTATTTATTTTATTTAATACCTTAACCCTCTTTATTACCTTAATTCCATTATCCTTCATAAACTTCTCCATTAGCCCAAGTAAATTTACCTTCTCCATGTGGCTTTCCTCCTACATAATTTCCCTCATATTAAGATCCATTAGCCAGTAATTCCCAACCATAACCTTATTTCTGATCATCTTACCATTGTCCTTCGTATTTCCGTCCATTTTATTATAAAAGTATACCTATCTCATAGAGATCTTCATTTAACCTTTTCCATGTCTCAGATTATTTTCAAATTGACCATAATAAATATAATTATTAGAGATTGCTAATTTAGCATTAACCTACTAAAGAGCAAGGAAATGGTAATCTTCAAAATGTGGCTCATAAAATTTTATCTGATCCAAAACTGCTTAAAAATTCATTATTAATAATTATAAAATCATTTTACAAGACATCAATAATATAGTCTTTCGTATTACAAATTATTTTCAAGTATTATTCTCAATTTACTTACATTCATTTTATCTTCTAATAAAGATCAAAAACCTAATATTAAATATTGATATTTAATCTTTATTAAAACTTATCTAATCAGAATTAAATTCATGTAAAATCATCATCATCAATCAATTTATGAAATAAGGTTTAAAATTTTATCTAAAATCTTCCTATTTATTGAATTAATATCTAATGATTCATTCTTTTATATGTACTTTCTATAAAATAATTAAACATTTAAAAACAAAGACATCAGTATTACTTAAACGAAATTTAATGCAATATAATATGTTTTTAATTATCTAAATAAGTCAGAAAATTATTATGTTATAAATTTAAATTAATTAAGTAATATCATAAAATTAAAAAGTATTTGATCAGTGTTTTTATGGGATCGTTTTCTTAGAATTGTTTGAGTAAAGAAAGCTATGATAAAATATATATATATTAATTTCCCATGATGTACAGTAATTGATTTAGTCAATATGTTAAGTTATGAGGGAAACATTGTAAATAATAGATTCCAGGGATAAGGATAATATCTTAAGAATAAAAATTTGATTTACTAAGGAGAATTGGAAAATAAAGAGATGCATAGTTATGAGAAGAATACATGAAGGATGGATCAATTTATTGTGGAAATTTCAGTAGTGAGATGAGAGAAGGAGACGGAGTATAATGGTTCTAAGTATGAATTTTGATAAAAATAGATATTAAGGATGGTTCAAATTTGATAAGATATGGATAAGGGAAGATGTTTTGAAGTGATGGTAGTTATATTACTAGTGTAATTTGAAAACTATGATATAAAATGGATACAATTTATATACTTATCGAGATGAAAATTATATTAGGTATATTTAATAGTTGAAAATGATGTAGTTTTGAACGGAAAGTGTAATGGAAATGGAAGTTTGATGAGATATAATGAATATGAGGAGGAAAAGTTTTATAAGAATTGATTATAATAAGTTTTATATACTAATAATGGGTTAAATATTTTAGAAGCATGCAACTTAATTTGATCCTTCTTTGATAGTAAAATTGAAAAGTATAACAATGAGAGAACTGTTTGATTGTGTGGATACAATAGACAAATACTATCCATAGAATTGTTATTTGAATTTGGAATAATTCGATGATATTTTTGCAACATTAACTGATAATTGCATAGATCTTTTCCATAGATTAGCAGATTAAACAGGAGATGATGGAAAGTTATCAGTTCATACTTTTGAAGCATTGGCAGCATTTGCAATATTTAGTGGTGAGAGTTTTGAAACAAAATGTATGTTTGTATTTAGGTTGTTTGATTTTGATTTATCAAATACTTTAGAAGAACAAGAGATGGTAAGTACATTATAATGTGCAGTGAGAGCAATGTGTAAGATAGCTGGATTGGTGATTCCAAGTGTTAGTATGTTAGAGAAATTGGGTTATGTTTGTTTTTAGATGATGGATGAAGATAAAAATAAACATGTTGATTTCGAAGAGTTTTATGAATGGACAGTGCAATATGATGAGTTATAGGAATTTATGTTATTATATTCTGGAACTTAAACATATTAGTATGCATTAAAAAGAATGGTGAATGCTATGGATGAATCTGAATAACAATTTAATAGATGGTTAAGAGAATGTAAAGCACCATAAGTACCAGCTATAAAGTTATAATAAAATCTATATGAACTTTATAAAGGAATTGATTAATTATCAATTGATACTCTTTTCTATATGATAATCGAATATACATTGAGATCTAAAAGTATTGGTTAAGAAGAGAGTTCTTAATAATAAAAAGATCTATGGGCTTGGAAAGCTGATCATAAGAAAAATTAACATCTTTTATTAAATATTACAATAAAAAAGAGCGATTATCTTGACATTATAAGAGCTTGGAATGTTTATTCAATTACAGATGTTAATCATTTATCTATTATTAATATTAAAGATCTCAAATTACTTATTTGGCTTTATGAAGATGAAGAACCTGATTATTTTAGAATCAATCAAGAAATGTAGACTATTGATACTAATCATAATAATATAATCGAAAGATGTGAGTGGATGCAATATTTATGTTCTGAAGAATCTATGCAAAGAAGATAAACACCATAAGTCTTAATGAAGAAGGTTTTTGATAACTATGATGAAGAATAGTGTGGGTTAATTCCAATTATTAACATAGATAAACTACTAAGAGATACATTTAAATAATAAATGAAAAAAATGAAAGATTTCAAAAGTATTCAAAGTGTTAATAGTTTGATACAATAATTGAAGATGGAATTCATGAAATAAGTTAAAAAGAATAATCAATCTCATTTTGATTGGCCATCCTATTATCAATTCTTAGTTGAAGCTACTAAAACACATTCATCACTTAATAAATTGTTGAATTTAAATCGTGATTGACTCTATTTTATTTACATTTTATATATATATTTATTATTTATTATGCTATTTGATCAAAACAAAACAGATCAATTAAAGCTTAATCCCAAATATTAAAATCTCTTAAAATGGGGAATCGATAATGGAGTCATCATTAAAGATGTAGATATGCCAGCAGCCTTTGGAGATTTAACTGGAGTTGTTGCTACTAAAGATATTCCTCCTAATACAGTATTTTAACATTATTATTAATACTCAAGGCTATTATTTGTGTACCATAACCCTTAATAATATCCTAAGAAAAATGTAAAATTAGCTCCTTATCTATTGTCTATGATAAACATCCAGAATTATTTGATGAAAATGAAACATCAGATGCTGAATTCAATATCCTAAGTATCATTGAATATTTATTTAGTTTTTTATTTGTACAATGAAAAGAAAAAAGGTGAACACTCATTCTATCATCCATATATTTAAGCTATATAATCCAATAATACTTTAATAGATTGGTCTACAGAAGAACTAACTTATATTGAAGATCCAATTATTCTTGATGAATTTGCCATTGTTCGTGATGACCTCAAAGAATTATGGAACTAAGCCAAAAATATCTTTAGTGAATTTGTACAAGTCTTTGGAGAAACTAGACCTACAGATAAGGAAGATTTTTATTGGGCTGCTTAAAGTGTTATGAGTAGATGTTTTGGTTGGTCATTGAAATCTACTAGTATGATTCCTATAGCTGACTTTCTCAATCATTCTAATAAAGCTTGTACACATTATATAGTTCATTCCAAAATTGAAAAACTTGAATAAGAAAGAATAATTGCGGAATAAAAAAAAAACAATAATCAAAATATATAAAGCGATTTTGAAGATCTAGAAAAATTAGAAGAATAATTAACAAAATTAGTCTAAGATTAATATAAATTTAAGGCAAATAAAATCAATTTAGATATTCTTAATATACCATAAGATTAATCTTAACTAAAAAAATTTGTTGATTTAAAGAAGAATTATATTTTATCAAATTAGCAATTTCTTAATCAAAATCAATTAAAAGATATTGATAATCTTGATAATATTTCAAATTCAGATAAAAGAGCCATGATCAATTGGATCAATTATGAACAAATTATATAAAACCCATAAATCAACTTATGGGATTTAGGATTTGTTACTTCTTCAGATAGTGAAGATAATGATTCAGATGAAGAAGTTGAAACAGCCAGAAACAAATAATTTGAAACTTTGAAAATTAAAGAATTATCTGATTGGAAAATTAAATTTTAAGAAAAAAAACTTTAGAGAGCTCAGAAAATTGATAAAACTTAATAAGATATTAAATAACAATAGCTTAATTAAACAGAGTCTTAAAATTTAGATGAAAATAATAGATAGAGTCAGGAAGATACAAAAAATTAAAAAGAAACTGAAAGCATTTTGACAATCTGTTTAAATAATGGTATTTTTTGAAAATAATGTTAGAAAAGAAAAACTTAGTAACAATCAAAGGTTTGCCTCCTGAATAGATCTAAGCTTTGAAATAAAGATAATAATAAATGATGGAGGTTCAACAATAACAAATTGAACCACTTATTTAGGAATAAAAATAATAGTAGGAATAAGAAACTGAAAGTGATAGCAGTGAAGAGTCAAAATGGGATTGGCTAGAAGAAAATGATAAAGATGCTTATTTTTGTATTACAACAACAGAACCTATAAAAAAATATGAATAAGTTACTGTTTCGTATGGAAGAAGAACTAATAGATTCTTACTTAGCTGGTATGGCTTTACATTACCTGAGAATAAATATAGCTCCTTTAATTTTAGGGTATAAAGTTGGTTCTAAAAAAGTTATGGCTTAATACAGATATTTGTAAAGAGAAGATTACAAGTCAGAAATAGATTTTTGACACAATCACCATTAATAAGTTGATTTGCTCAGAGGAATGGGATACAGGTAAAATCAAATTTAATGGACATGAAATACCTATTTCATCTATTACTAAAGAATTTAGAATCAAAAAGAATAAATTAAATATGGATTTGCTCATGTATTTGAGATTATACCTTCTGCTCTATCAAGTCTAAGAAAAAGATGTCTTAATCACTATACCTGTATCATTAGATTATGAAATTTTTGTAATGCAATTTTGTATCTAATTGTTACAACATTATCTAAATTCCTATTCTTAAGAATTGGCTTAAGATATAAAAGAATTAGATTCTTAAATATCTTTCTCAAGAAGATTTGCAGTAAAAATTATTTTGAAAGTTAGCTCTACATTAATAAAGAACGAAAAGAGATACTCATCAATTAGATTATGATTTTATTAGATGCAATCATTATCTTAAAAAATTACAAAGAAAGCAATGATTTGAAATAGTCTTACATATAAGAGATACGTTATAATGTCTATTATAAAATGGAAATTTTACGAAGCTTAAAAGTATATCTCAAATCAATTCATGAATTTCTATGATTAATTATGGGTTAATTAGTGAATTTATATCATTATTTTTATTCATATGTTTTTTACTTAGAAAATAGTCAAGTTTGTTATTTTACCTTACAAAAATGGTATCCAGAATATTAAATAAATGCTTTAGCACTTCCAATTAAATTCAACTTGTAAATTGGAGCAAATATGGTTGGAAATAGTTAGGAACATGAAGTTTGCATTAATAATAAATAAATTGTGAATAATCATTGCTGTGTTGTGCTCAATAAAGAAGAAATAGAACTTATAGTCTTAGATGGCCCAGTTTTCTATAAAAATGCAGAGGGAGATTTTGAAAAATTGGCAAAGGATTCTGTTCTTAGGTACAATGATTCGTTAAATTAGTTTAAATATTGAATCCGCGGATTTTTTAATTCGATTAGGGTAAACTATAGAAGCTAAAGTTCTAGTTACTGATTGTATACAATAACCATCTATTCCAAAGTAATTGGCTTAAAAGGAACATCATACAAAAGAATCTAAAAATGAATCCTCATAATTTAATTTGTAAGATAGACTTTCTACTATTGAGGTAAAAGTAGTTGAAAGTTTATATACTTCTCCATAAAGTGAATTAAAATATCACAAATTTACTGAAGATTAAGAATAGAATGATAAAGAATTAATTTAACATGAAATTATTGATTCAGTTTCAATTAATTAAGATTAATCAAATAAAAAATAAAATCATTAAGAAAATGATTAGAAAATAAATAATAAACCAGCAAAGTAGAATAAATCTAATTAAAGAACAGATTTATAATAATTAAATGATTATGAGTAATAAAGTGAGACATTATCTCATGGTACTCCTGATTTTTATAATAAAAACTCAAAAGATAAGAAAGGAATATAGAATAAAACTAAATAAAAGAAGAGCAAATAATCTACCATAGATTACTTAATTATGCCATAAAGGAAGGATAGAGAAAGTTCTCCAAAAAATAAAAGTTATCATAAATTAACAAAAGATATAAAAAAAGAAAGCAATAGGATGAGTTAAAGAAAATGTAGCAGATGGAAGTTGAATGTAGCGTTTTCAGGATTCCATCCAAATAGAGAGGAATAATAGTTTTTATTAATTCAGAACATACAAATATGTTTAGAAGATTATACATTTAATATGTTAATTATGGAAGATAATGTTTAATTAAGATCAATTAAATTATTGATTGCTTTAGCCAAAGGAATTCCAATTGTTTCTAGAGATTGGTTAACTAGATCAATAAACTAATATGAAATTCTTGATCATAATTAGTATTACGTCAAATTTTCAACAGAGTTTTGTTAAGAATACGATTTTGAATTTAAATAATATTAAAAAAGACTCTAAAATTGGTAAATTATATAAATTAATATGGATAGTAGGTCAGCTAAAATTCTGCCTCTAAATGATATTATAATATTTGTTCCAAAAAAAATGATCTACCACATTGAACATTTCGAATTAGAATATTTAATAGATACTTTAGGTGGCAAATTCGTATATTAGGTACATGATGAAAAGGCTAAAATCTATATGTTAATACCAAAAGATTAAACTAAAATTGTAGGATATGACCATTACTTATAAAGTCCGATTGAATGTTTATTCAAGAGTGCATTAAAATATAAAAATCTCCTTTGATAATTTTATAGTATATATGTTATTATTATATTTGATACTCAAATCTATTAGTGCCTCTTTACTTTAAGATTTAAACACAATTTATGAAAATCTTAGATACCAATCATAATATTTAATTACTCAAACACCAAAAAATATGATAGATTCAACATTTGGATTTAAGCCTGAGTTATTGGATTTATAAACTCAATACATTGATGAAGATGAAAATGATTTTGGAGATGAAGTTAGTAATGAAGATTTTTAAAAAAACCTAATTAGAAAAGCAGATAATGTATTAAACCTATTTTAAAGAAAGAGAATTTTGGATTAAGATCAATCAGATTAATAAACTAATTAAACCACAATCATTGTTGATGAATATTATAAGTAAGGTCCTTTACATCCAATTTATTGTGGTTTAGGATAATCAATTTTGTTGAATGTTACCCAATTTTATTGTTCTAAAAAGAGAGCAACTAAAAATTAATATGATTTAGAGGCAAACTCAAGTTAGTGTGAAAAAAGATATAGATTATCTTATGGATGTTTATGTCCTCCTGACTTTTATGATTTGTAATGTCTTAAATGGAATCAAATAATTTGTGAAATGAATTAACCAACTTAAGATTGTTAAACTCCTGTTGATGAAAACTATTATAATTAAAATATTGATGGTAATCCACCTTGTTTTGAACTATAAAATGAATAATCAGTTGAAGTAAGTATTTGATATATTTTATAAGAATATTAGAGTAGTTTGTAGAAATTTCGATTAATCGATACTACATCCTTCTGTATAATCTTATGAAGAAAGTTTTGAAGTAATTTGGAGTAATTATTCAAGAGGAATTAGTGCATTATCATAATAAATGTATAAACATTCTCTACCTAATCCTTAAAATCCTAATGATCCTTAATTTTATATTTAGTTTGCCCTTTCTGAAGAGGAAGAGAGATAAATTTATAAATATGATCATTAGCCATTATTTCTTGATACCGTAAATTTGAAAAGTTCTCTTTAGTTTACTCTTAAGCCTTATATCACTTATATTAATTGGACCAATTTAGCAGCTTCAAAATCAACTCTTATTGAATAAAATCTCACTCATAATCAGGTTCTAGGAAATTAATATATAAGTGTTAAATTAAATAATTAAAACATGGAATCTCTATTTGGTAGATATTCATTAGAAATTGGACTTATTATTAATATAACACATTATTTTTCAATATACAAATATGCTAATTAAGCTAAAAATCAAGATCATTTGATTTATAAACCATAATTTGAGCCAACAATATTATTTTTTGAAGATTTCTCTTATAATGGTATTTTTACAATATATTTTAAGAACCTAAGTTAGATACTTCATTAAACAAAAGTTTTTCGATTGAAATAGTTGCAATTATATTATTTATTTTGGTTAGTTTTTGTATATTTCTAAAATATCGATTTTTTTTGCATTTATTTCGAAAAAGCAAAGTTAATTAGGAATAGAATTAAACAAATCAAAGTCCGAGAAGCAATAAAAAGTAATGAAGATATTGATGAATAAAATTTATAAAATTAAAGTTTAAGATGATTTAATTCCCTTAAATAATAATATTATTTAATTTAATGATAATATTATTTACCTTCATTACGTATTCATATTCTCGATGTGCATTTTCTGTAGAATGTTAAGGAAATAATTGTGATCCATTAGAGGTTGATACAGAGCCTTTTATTGCAAGAGTTTCATAATGTCCTCATATGGATGGACAAATGGTTTGTTGTAACAAGAATTAAGATGATTAAATGCAACGAAATTTTCAAGCAATTGATGCCTCTTTTGGTAATGCTGGTGGTGGATGTGATATGTATCATATTTCTATAAAATTTTTAGTTGTGCTTATAATTTAAAGAAGTTTTGGTGTGAGTATACTTGCAGTCCTAATTAAAGCAATTTCCTAACTACTAATGGATATACAAATATGAAAGACCCATTAAATCCTAAAAATATACTTAAAGTTTAATTAGTTGAAATAAAAGTGAAACCATAAGTGGCTTGTGTAAATATTTTTAATAATCTATATAGGACATGTGGTCATCTTGTAAAAGAACACAATTTGCTTCTTAAGTAACTGCGATGAAAACTCCAGGAGGATTCTTTAATTTTCAAGGAGAATAAGCAGTGTATATTTATTCATTAATACATTAGGGGATAAGCAAAACAATTTATATCAGTAAAATTTGTGGATAATGATGAAGAAACTATAAATTTTGATTTTGTTCCTGATTGTCAATATGAATATCCACCAGATCCTGATGGAAAAATTGTCACACCAGATGGATTTGTAATATCTTAAAAATGTTCATGCAATAATTGCGATCTTATGTGCCATGATGAGGAAATACTTTATTAAGCTACTGGTGTATTTGAAGGCTTCAATGGATACTTGGTCTTATGGGTATGGGCAGGTGCACTTTTAATTGCAGCATCAATAACTGGATTTAGACTATATAAATAAAAAACTAACAATGAAATCTTTATAGATCCTATTTGATTTAATTTTTTATTGATGTTAATTTGTATAAAAAAATTGTTTAAACTTAAAAGTTTTATATTATGATTGTTTTTTTATATTTAGTCTTTACTACTATCATTTATCAATTATAGAATTGTCAATAATCAAAAACAATTTATTCATACTTGTTTAAATATGATAAAAAATATAAATCATATTTTATGTATAATACTTATTTTAGTATTGAAATTTAGGTTTGAGTAAATTTACTCTACACAGTTCTGAAATTCCTAAAATTATCTGAATGATTTTTATAATTAATTCAAATAAGTTTAAGTTAAAAAAAATGAAAATAAGAATTAAGACACTAAATACCTTGAATAAAGTCCATTAAAATAATTAAAAATAAATTAGGTAAATTTTAATTAGTTATTGATATTTTTAGGTATTACACTTAAATATAGACTATAAAAATAAGAAAGGAGAGTCTTATTAGATCACTATTGTTTATCCTCCCATTTAATTCTTCTTCCATTTTCCCATAAGCCATATTTAATTGATCCATCAGCCAATATATATTTGCCTCTTCCATGCTATTTTCCATCAACCCATTCACCTTCAAACATTCTCCCATCTGGCCAAAAATATTTACCTTTTCCATGCTTTTTATCGTCCTAATACTCACCATGGTAAGCTCTTCCATCAGCCCATTAATAAACACCATAACCATGCATTTTATTTTATCTCCAATTACCTTAATATTTTCTTCCATCAGCCCAAGCATATTCACCCTAATTATTATTAATATTATTACATATCCATTAATTTTATTATCAAACCATATTCCTTCAAACCTGCTTCCATCTGGCCAAATATATAAACCTTTCCCTTGTTTCTTTCCTTAAAAATATTCTCCATCATAACTTGAATTATCAATCCCTACATTTAAAAATATAATAACATTTTTCTTGCCCTTATCCATGTTAAAAATCATTTTACCAAAATCCTTCATAAACAGCTCCATTTGATTATCTATATACACCAAATCCATTTGCCTTATCATTATCCCATAAACCTATATATGTATCTCCATCTGCATGATAAAATGTTCCTTTCCCACATGCCTTATTATTTACCCATTATCCTTCATATTTTGCTCCATCTGGCCAAATTTAAATTCCTTCTCCATCTCTTTTATTTCCCACCCATTCTCCATCATATGAAGCACCACTTTTAAATTGATATTTTGGTCTTTTTTCACGATTAGTATTATTAGCATTAACATCTGTTTCATAATAAAATTCAACTACCTGCATATTCCTCTGAATTGAAATATTTATAAGCATTTCTTTTTTTATTGCTTTAACTCGATATTTGATCATCACATTTTTAATCCTTATTGCTTGACTTCATTTTTTTAAAATTCAATCTAGCTTTGTGACCTTTCCATTATTTTTATATTGTAATTGCCATCTAGCAAATTAATTATTCTTCTTATTGCTTTTTAAGTATTGATTCTTTATTGTCCTTTATTTAATTATTATTAGTTCCATTCTAATATTTCTATATGCATCTGTACTTTTATTGATTTATTTGAGCCTTAAGATGGTTAAGACATTACTGAAATACCATTTTTATTACTTTCTGTTTTTTTAGTTATATTTACTTCATNTTGTTTATCCTCCCATTTAATTCTTCTTCCATTTTCCCATAAGCCATATTTAATTGATCCATCAGCCAATATATATTTGCCTCTTCCATGCTATTTTCCATCAACCCATTCACCTTCAAACATTCTCCCATCTGGCCAAAAATATTTACCTTTTCCATGCTTTTTATCGTCCTAATACTCACCATGGTAAGCTCTTCCATCAGCCCATTAATAAACACCATAACCATGCATTTTATTTTATCTCCAATTACCTTAATATTTTCTTCCATCAGCCCAAGCATATTCACCCTAATTATTATTAATATTATTACATATCCATTAATTTTATTATCAAACCATATTCCTTCAAACCTGCTTCCATCTGGCCAAATATATAAACCTTTCCCTTGTTTCTTTCCTTAAAAATATTCTCCATCATAACTTGAATTATCAATCCCTACATTTAAAAATATAATAACATTTTTCTTGCCCTTATCCATGTTAAAAATCATTTTACCAAAATCCTTCATAAACAGCTCCATTTGATTATCTATATACACCAAATCCATTTGCCTTATCATTATCCCATAAACCTATATATGTATCTCCATCTGCATGATAAAATGTTCCTTTCCCACATGCCTTATTATTTACCCATTATCCTTCATATTTTGCTCCATCTGGCCAAATTTAAATTCCTTCTCCATCTCTTTTATTTCCCACCCATTCTCCATCATATGAAGCACCACTTTTAAATTGATATTTTGGTCTTTTTTCACGATTAGTATTATTAGCATTAACATCTGTTTCATAATAAAATTCAACTACCTGCATATTCCTCTGAATTGAAATATTTATAAGCATTTCTTTTTTTATTGCTTTAACTCGATATTTGATCATCACATTTTTAATCCTTATTGCTTGACTTCATTTTTTTAAAATTCAATCTAGCTTTGTGACCTTTCCATTATTTTTATATTGTAATTGCCATCTAGCAAATTAATTATTCTTCTTATTGCTTTTTAAGTATTGATTCTTTATTGTCCTTTATTTAATTATTATTAGTTCCATTCTAATATTTCTATATGCATCTGTACTTTTATTGATTTATTTGAGCCTTAAGATGGTTAAGACATTACTGAAATACCATTTTTATTACTTTCTGTTTTTTTAGTTATATTTACTTCATATAATAATTCTTGTTTGTCTTTTTAACATTATCTACAATTTGAGCAGTTCGACCCCATATTTATTATTAATTTGTTTTATTGAATTTAAAAAATTGTTATGAAAATATAATATCATATTCTTTATGACATTTAAGATTGTACTGAAGCTGCCTATCATAAGAATTGTAATTAAAATAAAAATTATCTTCTTAACTATCTCTAGGTAACAAATTTCTATTTAATTTTATTATTCCAACTAAGTTTAAATTTGTATAAACATAGTTTAATTTAATTTTTGTTGATTTTTTCAAGAATAGATATCATATCCTATCGAATAATTTCTCAAATATTTTTGCCTTTTCGCTGAGTTTTTTTTTTTTTAAATTTATACAATTACAAAAAGCAGATTCCATTTTATTCAATTCAGATTTTCTCTCTTTTTTAAATAAATTTGAATCAGTTTTTTCCAGCCTTTTAAGCTTCTTCTCAAAATCTTTAGAAAAGATATAGTTTTAAAAAATAAGCATTTTTTACTAAAAATTGAATTAAACAATGTAAAATTTATAGTTTATTTAACTTTTAGTACTTTTAAAAATTAAAATTTTGCCATCATCTCTGTTGTAAAAACTACCAATAGCCATAATGACATTCATTATTTCTTGCAAGTTAGTGAATACGCTAATATAATAAAAAAATAGATAGTTTTCTGGATATTTGTATTTTTATTTAATTTAATTATAATAATAATGCTTAATAGAGGTTTACTTCACTCTCAGTCATTTTGATACATAAAAAATTTTTCTAAAAGAATTACTTTTGATAATAAATGGGTGCCACCTTTTTAAAGTATAGGAAAGTATCTAAACTTTGTTAAATAGTTTACTTTAAAAAAATATTTATATGCTCAGAAGTGATATTTATAATTTCATGATTGCTTTAGTAATGAATTTTTATTTAACAAACTTTAAGATAGAATATTGTAAAAATTTAACACTTGACTTAATTAAATTTTTAATTTTATCTTTTGAATTATCTAAAAAAAATAAGGCTCTCTTGAAAATAGGTGATAAAATTGATATTCTTATATCTTATATATTTTTGGTTAAATAAATTATTATATAATTTGAATTAAATGAATTGATTGATATTATTAGTTGATTTATATAAATTTTCATAAAATGAATGTGATAATCATTTCTGAAATTAAATTAGAGGTACGTTCACATTCGACTGCTGGATTAAATTCACTCAAATCGATTAATTTAATTTTTTTTGATTTTTTAGCTCTGTCCATAATAGATAATGCTTCAATATTAGTTAATCCTCCTACAACAGAAGGAGCAGATACTCCTGGACACCATGCACTATTTATGGAATCAACATCAAAAGACAAGAAAATATAATCAATATTATTATCCTCTTCAAATTCTGTTAAAACATTATTCATAGCACACAATCCTTAATTTTCAGCCTTTAGCCTTCTTATATCTTTTTCCAAGAAATAAACTTTACCGCCTTTGTTTAATACATATTTATAATGTTCATAAGAGCAAGTACATCCTTTAATTGCAAATTCCACAAATTTACTATTCTAAAATCGCTCTGTATCTTCAAGCATACTTCTAAAAGGAGATCCTGAGTGAGATTAATTTTAATTAATCAATGGTCTAACATCTAAATGAGAATCTATATTAATAACACCTAATTTTTTGGATTGCATTCCATCAACTAATCCTTTAAAATTTGGGTAGCTTTGATCATTACTACCACCAATAACAATTACTTTTGCTTAAGGTAATTAATAAAATATTTCACCAACATGTTAATATAGATACTCATGAGCATCTTCTAAAGATAATTGTTTAGGTACAGCTCCAACATGTATAATCTTTTATGATATGTTACATTCCTTAAGTTTTTATTTTAATGCTAGCATAATTTATTCATATGCATTTTCTCCTCCAGCTCTACCCTTATTTCTAATTGTGCCTTCGTCATAGGGAAAACCAAACAATACAACAATGTTCGGTTCATTTTTAAATTTAGGTAAGTCTTCCATTTGAAAATCAATTGAAATAGATGGTTTGCACTAAATAAAATCAACATCTTAATTCATAGAAAAATATATTAAAAATTTATCAATTTATATATCATTTATCTTTATAATTCTTATTGATTTCAGGAAATCAATCCTTAACTGCTCTTACAATATTTTCTACTATAATTAATATTCAAGCTTTTATTTTTATGGTATATCTGAAAACTCTCTTTAAGATTCTCCAATTGACAAAGGTTTAGAAACTTCATTATTATGTATACATATCACAAAAACTTCTTGTGATCTATTAAAGATCTCTTGTTTTGGATATGGCATTTCTTTCTGAAATTTAATTATGAGTTTTTTTTGTAACATCTTTTGAAAAGCTTATTATAAGTATACTTAGAATCTTTATACAATAGATTCATCAATTTTAGAAAATGTTCTTAATGATTAAATTTTTATCCATTCATTGACATTTAAATTTAAATAAAATCTTTGGATGATCTAATGTTATTATAATACTGCTAATGAATAATTATTCTCTTAATTGATCTTTATAAACTAATAGAACACTAATAGTTAAGGCAAGATATAACAAAACTAAAATGAATAGATATATTTATAATAAAAATACACATAGACTCATGATGGTATTCATACCAATCAAATTTTCTACATAAGTTTATTTAATTTTAAATCCTAATTATCTTGAAAAATAAAATCTTGTCATTGACAAACTTAAAGCGGAGATGATATTCAAAAAGATATCATAATATGAAGATTCTCAATATCTGTATTAAATTTGGATTTTAATCATATTTTCTGATGAAGTAACAAAAAGAGAAAACGCTGATTTATAGTCTAAACCATTAAATTTAAATTTGTAAACTGAATCCAATTGATATCCAATTAATGTGAAAGTTAATTTAGTATTTATTGGTTAAAATGTATCAAATTTGATAAAAAGTATAGTGTAATTTAGCTCTATTCATATGAACAGTTCTGGAATAGTCTGCTAAAGTAATTTAACATTATTATGTAATTGCTAAATTTAAAATTATAATCATAGACAATAGAATTTTTGTTATTTTAAATTTAAATTTAGAGAGTGGCTAATAAGTATATGGAGCTTAAGTAATTAACTCACCAGATTCTGTTGGAGTATTTAGAGGAATAGTAACAATTACTATTTGAGATGAAATCCGAGTAGAAGTACAATCTTCCTCATCTAATGAATATTTAACTGTATTAGCCCATTTAATATCATTAGGTAATGTTAATTTAATTTGAGAACCTGTTAAAATAGAATTTAATTTTTTAATTTATATTTTATAACACTCCCACTTTAATCAACTTTTTTATACACAACTTTTAACTGTAAAAACAGTAAGCATTCCATAATAAAAACAAGTCATAAATTAAGAGTATTGCTTGAATCAACTTCATCAGTATAACTAACTGATAAATTTATTAAAAGTATAGATTTATTTGATTTTGAAGGATGAATAAATTTAAAGGAAATTGTTTATTATTTATTAACATTTAAATTACTAACAATTATAAGATTACCTGATGAACTATGGGAACAAGCCAGTTTTGCAGGAAAGCATGGAATAGCACTATGAAAAGTCGCAAATTTTTGATTTTTAGGTAAGAGAATAATTAAGCTTGTAACACCCTCTGACTAAGGTTGTATCAAATATCTTAATTGACACATTTATTGGACCATCAAAAGCTATAGTTCCTCCTACACAGTAAATATTTTTTCAGAGCTCATTTTATTAATTGTTCAAGCTTCAATTGTTCTAAAGGTTAATGCTTTGAATGCTTTTTGAGGATACTACAGTTGTTGCAAAAAAAAATATTAATTTAAAAAAAGTGTAAAATTTGAATCTTATGAAAAAATAAATAGGATCTTAGTCTATTTAGAGTAAAGTGTTTTGAAATAAAGTTATGTATTATTGTTTTGGATCCTTAAATATCAATTCTTAAAAAATTATTGCTGTTAGAATGAGTAGAAGTTTATGTTAAATCAAATGGAAAATAGTATTGAGTGTTGAAATTAGGTGTTGTAATATTTTTTTATAAAGGATACGTTGAGTATGCAATAAAAGTTACAGGTATTAACAATCGGATATATCAAAGAGGATGTACGCAATAAATAATATAATATAATAAACATAATAAATATAATGAAGAATATTTATTTGAGATTATTTATTCAACTCACTTATTTTATAATGGTACTTATTATAAAAATAGTTAATGAGAATACAGAATACTTTTAGGTTTTATTTAGCATCCTCTTAACAATTTTATTATTGCCATTAAACAGATACATTTAAAATTATTCTGACCATTCAAAACTAATAAGCAAATCCTTATGGTAAGTCTTGAATCTTTTTTGCTTAGGTAGTGTTGATATGGGTTTGATAAATGATGGATTTCTGAGTAGATTTTAATATTTTTGGCTTGGTCTTACAATTCAGTTAGATGTTGATACAATATTACCAAATAAAATAGTTAGAGTAGGTTTTGTTGTTGTTGTTATTGCTTCAGTCAATCTTACTTCATTTTTTTTAATTCTTGATTCTTCATAAATTGGATTAATTTTTGGAGAAATACTTTATGCTCTTATTTTAATATATTAGTTATTTGCAGAAAAGGGTATGAAGAACTAACACAAAAAATTAAGCTCTAAAAAACGTAGTTCTCGTAGTTTAACTGATAAATTAGATAGCCCATAAGAATAAATTTTAGATGAAGATTCGAATCACGTTTAAATATTATCTTTAGGTTAATAATTACATCATTAATAATAATAACCTTAGAGAGAAGTATCTATTAGAGAATAAATCGAATATTAAAATAGTTTTTATAAAACTCTTTTCAATCAATTTCCTGAGGGTATAATAATCATTAATGATTAAAATAAAATTGAATATCATAATAATTAAGTGAGAACTTTGTTGGGTAGAAAACCTATTTCTGAAGATCTTATTCCCAAGCGACTTTATGAATTAAAAAATTATTCTTCTAAATTTTAATTTGGTGAGTAAGCATAATTTGATAAAATGTTTGCAGCATTAAATAAAAAATTAAAAAGTAATTCTCATGAATTTGAATAATAACTTAATGAAGAAAACTCTATAATAAAAGATTACTTTGTTCCAATGGATGAACAAACTTATTATAACTATTATGAATATGAATTAAGTAAAGCCGAAACATTAAGTCAAGAAATTGAAAAAGCTTTAATAGATCGAACTGGAATTCCATCACCTTATTAAAGATAATTATCTTGTCATTCTTAAAAAACACTGAAAGGGTAAGATAAAATTAAATTTGGGAGAGAAGTGAAAATGTTATGTATGATTGAGGAATCTAAAGAGGAAGAGGCTCAAAATGAAATGCATGAAGAATAGTCTGATGATGAAGACTCTGCTGGATTATTAATTTAAATAACTATTAAAGGTTATACATATGAAAATAAAAAAAATGTGCTTTTAATGATAAGAGATGTGACTCTATTTAATTAGTATAAAGTATTATAACAACAAAATTCAAATAAATCAAAAATGTTATCTTATGTTGCACATGAATTGAGAAATCCTTTAGGTGCCATATGTGCAATAAGTGCTCAATTATTATAGAAATACTCTTAGGATAAGGAAACAAGTATAAAGTAACAATATAATATAAATAATTAGGTACTTGAAACCATTAAAGAGTTCAGCTGAATCAATTTAGAGATTGGCTAATGATTTATTGGATTTAGCATAATTAAAGGCTGGAAAATTTAAGTTAACTTTTTAGGAATTTGCAATAAAAAATCTTATATTTGATGCAATAGCAATGATGACATTTACTGTAGGTGCAAAGAATTTATAATTAAGTTTAAAGTATGATAAAAAGATACCAAGTTTAATAAAATCTGATCAATAGAGAATTTAATAGATAATATTAAATTTAATAAATAATTCAACAAAATTTACAGAGTCAGGAGGTATAAAAGTGGAAGCTAAATTGTTATAGCCAAAATTGATTGAAATATCAGTGGAAGATACAGGAGTTGGTTTAAAGCCAGATGATATAAAGAAATTGTTTTAACCTTTTGGGAAATTAGAGGATTCGAAACATTTAAATACAAAAGGAGTAGGTTTGGGTTTGATGATAAGTAATGTGTTGGCATAGAAATTAAGCGGAGGAGATGTAGGATTATAAGTTGAATCGAAAGGATTGGGATAAGGAACTAGGTTTGTATTTAAGATATTAGATTAAAATGAGAGAAAGAGTTCAGTATACTGTTCTTAAGATACAAAATATTTTGGTAGGAAAGAGAGTAATTTATCAATAGTAAGAGTGTAGAAGAGAGATTAATTAACATTATAACCAATGAGTGCATCAATATTTAGAGCTAAGGTGATTAGTGAATAGAAAATAGAAGAAAATGAAAGTACGATTTATTAGTTCTAATGTGATGATGGCAATTTTTAAGAAGATCCTATATAAGAATCTTATGAGACTTGTACTTGTCCACGAATTTTAATAGTTGATGATGAACCAATAAATTTAATAACTTTGGGTTTTTTATTGTAGAATTTAAAGTTTAGATTTAAATAGGCAAAGAGTGGTCAGGAAGCTTTGGATTTCTTGAATGAATGGTAAGGTAATTGTTGTAAATGGATAAGATGTGTGATAATTGATATTTAGATGCCTTTGATGGATGGATATCAAACATCAAAATTAATAAGAATAATGGAGAATGAGAAACAAATAAATAAATGTACAATTATTGGTTGTAGTGGGTTTTCTGATGAGGAGACCAAAAAACAAGGATTTGAGAGTGGGATGGATTATTTCATTTCTAAGCCCGTCACTTAGGGAGAATTATAAACTGTATTAAATTAATGTTGTTGATTAAATATTTTTTGTGATTAAAAATAGCAATGTCTTATAACTTCAAAACCATACATCCTGTTATGCCTGCTAAGGATATGATAAATGTGATTTTATCTAAGACTCAAAGGAAAACACCAACAGTAGTCCATCCTGGATATGATATCTCTAGAATTAGAGGATTTTATATGAGAAAAGTGAAATTTACATAAGAAACTATTCACGAGAAGATTGATGCCATTTTGCAAGACTTTCCTAAAGTATTATATATGATTAAATATTATAGTTAGATGATATACATCCATTCTATGCAGATTTGATTAATGTTTTGTATGATAAGGATCATTATAAATTGGCATTGGGACATGTTCATGCATGCAGGAATGTCATTGATAATATAGCAAAAGATTATTGTAGATTACTAAAATATGGTGATTCTCTATACAGATGCAAAATGTTAAAGAGAGCAGCATTAGGTCGTATGTGTACCACACTTAAAAAATTGACCAGTTCTCTTAATTATTTAGATGAGGTTAGAAAACATTTATCAAGAATGCCAGCTATCAATCCCTTCGAAAGAACTCTATTGGTAACAGGATTTCCCAATGTAGGTAAGAGTAGTTTTGTAAATAATATTACTAATGCTAATTTGGATGTCCAACCATATCCATTCACAACTTAAAATCTTTATGTAGGACATACTGATTATAACTTTGTTCGTTGGTAAGTTATTGATACTCCAGGAGTCTTAGATCATTCATTAAGTGAAAGAAATCCTATTGAAATGTAAGCTATAACAGCACTTGCTCATTTAAAGGCTTGTATCATGTTTTTCTTAGATATCTCAGAAACATGTAGTTACTCTATCGATCAATAGATAACACTCTTTAAAGACTTGAAACCTCTCTTTAAAAATAAACCTTTATTATTAGTGATGACTAAAATTGATATCAAAAAATTTGAATAATTAGATCCAATTGATCAATAAAAATTATAAGATGTTATTCAATCTGAAAACGTATTCTAGTATCTTATATTTATAATCTTTAGCTCTTAATTAAGTAACAAATCTGGAGAAGGTATAGCAATAGTAAAAGAAAAAGCTTGTAATCTTTTAAATGAATGGAGATAAAATCTTAAACCTGAATAATTGACAGGTGGAAATCCTAATCTTTTAAGAGAAGAATCTATACTCTAGGGTGTGTATATAGCATAACCTAAAAGGGTTAATTAAAATAGAGTACCTGTAATTCCTTAAGTAATTGGAAAATTAAATAGACCAACTTTGAAAGATATTTAAGAATAAAATGGAGGAGCTGGAGTCTTTAATTTTCCATTATAAGGTATATTTAAATATATATAATATATTAGAACATTTTGTATTAGATAATCCAGATTGGAAATATGATGCTGTGCCTGAAATAATGGATGGTAAAAATATTGGAGATTTTGTTGATGCTGATATTTTATAAAGATTAGAGGAATTAGAAAGGGAAGAAGAAATGATGGATTAAGCTGAAATTGAAGATCCAGAAGAAGATGCTAGAGAATAAATGTTATTAAATACTAGAGATTAAGTTAATAAAAAAAGAGAAATGATTAAAGATGAACATCATATGAAAATGAAATAATAAGTTAAATTACATTAACCTAAATTGGAAGATGCAAAAGAAGATTTTGCTAAAAAAGGAATTGATACTACCTTTCTAGAATAAAGAGCATAAAAATTTGCAGCAAAAAAAGCATTACAAAAATAAAAAAGACAACAATAATCCTCTGATGATAGTGATGATAATGATATGGAACTTGAAGGAACATAAAGAAAAGGAAGAGGAGATGCCTTATCCAGAAGTAGAAGTAGACTTAGAGAAATTTCAAGAAGTAGAAGCAGAGGTAACAAAAAAGTTCTTACTGCTTAAGAATAAGTAAATTATAATTTTAAACTTTTAGGCTATGGAAAGAATGTCAAAGAAAATTTAAAGAAGAAGAAGAAATGAAGCCAAAGCTGGTGATGGTGATACTAAAATCGATTGTAAAATGCCTAAGCACTTATTTACTGGTAAAAGTGGTATTGGAAAATAATCAAGACGTTGAATTATTTGTTGTTAATAAATACAATATATTGTTAATTAATCAAATATATTCGTCATCATCCAAATTGTTTCTTTCCCTTGTTCTTCTTCTACTATCACTTTTTCTCTTTGATTTCGGAATTTGTGATATCATCTCACTTAAATTCTCTTTTATAAAACTCTTTTACTTAATCTATCCTATACTTTTGTTACTACCATAATTTTAATTCAAGAATTCCTAAAATATCTCTGATTCTGATTAATTAAAATCTTCCTCTTGTTTTTTATAATTTCTACTCTAATTTCTTGTACATCTCAAAACCTCTCTGCTATGATCATTTGTTTGAAGACATTCCCTTTAACTATAATTACTTTTAGTTGTTGTTGAAATATCCTTCTTAGAATAATTCATTTCTCTAGTTCTATCCAATCCTTATTATTAAGTACAAGGTGATCGAGATCTTTAACTAAATCCATTTTGAGAAGAACATTATGACAATATTTAGGTTTATTATGGTGTTATACTTCTTTTAGAAGAAGATCTATCTTAAAGTTTTATAGAATAATCAATCAATTGTTTAACTTTTGCAATATCCTTAAACTTTTTATTGTATTCTTCTAAACACAAACTTACTAATTCATAACATTTTATTGTTATTTAATTGATTTTTTTTTTAATAATTTAATCTTCTTCAATTATAAAATTGTTTAAATCTTATTTGCATTATACGACATACATATGTTTAAGTTTTTGTTCTTCTACCATCATTTATTCTTATTATTTCATTTGTCTATATTAAGCTGTCATTTATTTCTCAATAGGAGACACCGAAGTTTAATGGACTATTAATTTAGTCTTTAATTCATCTAATTTCTTAAATTGTTCTTCTTGATCCTTTTTTCTTTAATTTATTTATTTAACATAATCGTTATATGATTACTTTAAAGATTTACCTTCTTCTAACATTGGATTCATCAATTATTTTATCCCTTATGATGTTCCTATAATTTATGAACCAATTATTTTTATCTATTCAAACTTAATAATTTGTAATACCTATCCACTCATTTCCTTTAGTATTTAATTCGTATTGATTTTCATCATATCCTTAATGGTTCTTTTTGAAAGATCTTCTATTTTTTCACCATATTCACAAGTTGCCTTACCAAAGTCCTTAAAATTATAATAAGATTAGAACCTTCATCAATGCTTTATTGTATTTCAAACATTCTGTCATCAACTTTAAATTTGTTTGAAGTGACTCATAAATGCTTTGTATTTCATTATCACATAAAATTCGACTTTTTTATTAGTTCATTTATTATAAAATTAACTTCAACTTAAAGCTCAGTCAATTAATATTATACATCATTTTATAAATTAATATTATAATAATTATATAATGAAGAATTTATTAATAATCATTCGACTCAATATACTTTATTTCTAGAGATGAATTAATGTTTTATATTTATAATTTATATTACAAATATGGATGATGAAAAAAAAAAGAAAAAAGGAAACAAATTAGATTTAAATTTGTTACCTTCCTCAATGAAAGAACGTTATGCTGCTATGGGAATATTACCTAAACCATAAATACCAAAAGCTAACGTATAAGTTGATGTTTAAAGAATGAAACAGAAAAAGATTGAAAAAGAATAACCAATCGAACAAAAATTGGAAGGGATAGAAATTAAAGCAAGTGAAAAAAAATAGTTAGAAAAGTAAACTTAATTTCTAACATTAGAGTATTTTAAATGCTTAAAAAAAAAGATGTAGATTATTTCGATGCAAAAGATATTGATAAAATGCTTCGATTTTTAGGGGTTTCTCTTACGAAATCTGAAATAGATCTTATGTTGTGGGTAAACTAAATAATTTATTCTAAATATAGGAAGTTGATGAAAATCTTGATGGGAAAGTAAGTTGGACTGAATTTTTGAATATGTACAAAAAATGCACTATTGATAAAACAGGCTTAGAGCCTAAGAGTTTGTTTCATATGATTTAATTTTTAATGTATTTACCTCCAGATAGAAAAGACCCAAAAGTAACAGTTGAAGTATAAAAATAAATTTACAAAACAATAGGATACTTTGGAACTATTATATGTTAGATTTGGAAGATAAAGTTTAGATTCAGAAATTCATGCCATTTTTGGTGATGAGGAGAAAAATAAAGATGGTGAGGAAAAGGCAATTTCGTTTAGTGAATATATGGAAAAAATTAATGAAAGAGCAATCTAATAAAGAAAGCTCAGAAAAGAAGAATAAAAGCAACAATTCTAATACTTCAAAAAAGAAAAGCAAATTGAATGATTTCATTATTATTTGATATAATAATAGAAATGATCATTATTGAATTTATAAAACTATAATATTAAAATAACATAGAATTAGTAATAATTGAATTAGAAGTTTAGATTTTTTCAAAATATAAATATTTCCTATTTGTTTATCAGTTCTCCTTCTCAAAAAAAAGAATACTTATTTTTAGAGTAGTTTGAGATAATATTAAATCAAATCCCTTCTATGCTAAAATTAAATAGAAGTTCTATTTTGATAGAAAGAGAGATAAATTTAAATTAGTCAGACTATTTCTCACTTTTAAGTCAAAGAGTAATTTAAATTAAAATGATAAAGTGAATATTAATCACAATCTTATTAATAATAATTAAACTTCATCTTATTTGAATAGTAAGATTATTAAAATCACTTTTGAAAATCTTAAAAATTAATAAAATTTAATCATCTCTCATCTTTATAAAGAAATCATGAAAAAGTACTTATAAAAATATAAATCAAACTAATTTAAAAATTTTTCAAGACTTTTTAACAGAAGGTCTTCTGCTATGTTATTATAATTATTAAATCACTTATGGAGCTTTGTTATTAGTAATGGTTAAAGGTTTTTCATACTTTTTCTTTTCTAACATTTCTTTTATTTATTAACCTTCTAAAATTAAGCGACCCATTTAATTAATTTCCCTATTAGTCTTACTTAATAATGAATTTTCATGTGAAGTTAATTAAATTTTCGCTGCTAATCTATCACATTCCTATTAGAGCTGTCTATTCATACCCTCTAATCTTTCAACAATAGATTAGAGATGTAAAATTTCTCTGTCTTTAAGAATTAACTACTAAGTTGTTTTATCAAAATTCTAAGAACTTGTATTAATCTATATAAATACTTTTTGTTATTTTTTTTGAGCTATTTTAGTTCCTCTTCATTTCTTTATAATTCATTTTCAAGGTTAGCTACTTATCTAAGTAGATCTCTATTTTAATCTTATAATTACATACATTACTAGGAAACTTCTTCAAAAGATCTAAAATATAAAAAATTTTACTATTCTGCCTAAACTCGATATAACCTTTCTTCTTCAACTTATTTTAAATTCAATTCAATATTTTTATATTTGATTTCCATTTCTGAAAACTTTTCATCTTAGATTTTTATTCTATCTATTAAAGTTTGTTTATCCTTTTTGAATTATTCTTAAATATTTATATGATCTTTAAGATCTTTAGATGATTGTTCTTTCAAAGTATTTATCTAATTACAGAATTGTTAATTATCTCTTTATAATTATATTATTTAACTCTATAATTCTTATTTGTTATTTGATAATTCTTTAATTTACTAATTTTGATCTCTCATTTATTATTAGATTGAAAGATCTTTCTATTATAGTTGTTATAGTTGTAATTACATTCTTTCAAGTTTTTAATCCTTCTCAATCAAAGAATCTTTTAAAATTTAAGATTCTTGCATATATTGCTCATTTAATTCCTATAAATCTATACACTATTATGATAATTTTCCATATTCATCATTAATAGTTTATATTTATTACTAATATTGTAAATTATTCATCTATAATTGATCAAATTAACTTTTTAATGAATTGAATTCTTTATTCTTATTTTTATCTTAATTTGATAACTAATATTATAAACTAGAATATCTTTCATTATAATTTTGCATTTAATCAATTTTGTGAGCATATTTATTTCTTTCCGCCTCCATTAGTTAATAATCTTTATATAGTTGTTATAAATTTTATTCATATTTATCAGATTGATGCTTAATTTGTGTAACATAATTTTTCATATCTTCCATTTTGACATATAAGTGACTTAATTCTTGTTCTCTTTTAATTACCAATCTCTCTAATTCTTTGATTTATCTTCGACTTTATTTCTTATTTTTCTTTTAATCAGAGTTTTGGACATTTATAGGATCTTGATGATTGTAAAGTTCATTTTAATTAAGTAATTCCTATAAGTTAGTTATTTCTTGAGTAATCTATTCATTTTCTTCTTATAATTGAAGCATTTAATCCTTATACATATTATTCTCTTAAGTTAAATATTCAATTTGTTGATTTTTTTGCTAGTTATGAGTTTTATATAAATCAATCTCTTCTAGTATTTTAGTGTATAATTGGCCTCCTTAATCCATTTCTTTCCTATAATCTTGTAATTGATTTTCGAAGAATTCATTTTCTTATCTTAAACTTTGACTTAAGGAAAATTAAGTTCTTAAATCATTTTTCAAATTCTCAATTTAATCAATTAGTTCATTGTTTTCTTTTTCTAATTATTCAACATTCTTAAAAAAATATTAGGATTTTGCATACTTGTTAGATTGTTTATAATTGATTCATTAAATTGTAATTTTCATTCTATAATTGTTGATTAAGCTTCTCAAGATTCTCATATCTCTTAAGCATCTCTTAAATTTCCTCATCCTAGGAAGACATAAAAATATATATTTATTTAAAATAAAAGATTAACGTTCATAAATTTATCATTTTTCTCCATCAGAATCCACAACTTTAATATCATTACCAAACAAATCATCAAAACTTACAGGTTTATTAATTTCTTTAATAGTCTAAGCAACCTATTCTTAAATATTTTGTTGTTAATGTTGATATCCTCCAATAGATTGTGACATACATGGTAATACAGGTGGTAACCAATAACTATTTATCATGCTTTATCCAAGAGGTAACATAAAAGATGGCTGATTGGCCAATAATAATAATGGTTATATTGTTCCTTATCTATTTATATCATCAATTGACTTTTGAATCATAAACATATTATGATCAGATTAAGTGAGTGTTGAACATTTACTATTATTATTCTCTTCAGTTTTTATTTATTTACATATATGCTTTAAAATTAATCCTTAAAAATCTAATGCATTAAAAGGGGATATAAATAACTTTTTAGTCTTTTTATTAAAAAGTACAACTCCGGATCTATCATTTTCAACAGAAAATAGATTATCCACTCTTTTAATGTTTAATAATTTTTTATACAGAACATTATTTTTGGTACTTGAAGTTAATTCATTATGAAATAAATCAAAAAAATCGTCATTTTTAATTTTCTATGCTTCTGAATACTTACCTTCTGAAACACATAAATCAATATATAAACTTTAGATTGCTAAAACTATAAATTACCATTCATAATTATCTATTTCTTCTATTGGTGTTATTTTACCATATTTATTTGCATAATCCATTCTTAATTTTTATACTTTTGAAAATAATTGAGGATTTATTGTTTCAAATTCATATTTTAATTTTTCTTTTTTTAAAAGTGAATTATATTTATTTTTAAGAGAATTCTCTGTTCTCACTCTTCCATAAAGAGCAGATAATTCAGACCATTTCTTTCCTCTAATCAATATAGTTTTCAAAAGATCTATTTCTTATTATTTAGACCAAGGTTCACTAATAATAACTCAATATAAATACTTGCAAATATTAGGATCTAATCTATTTATCCATCTTTCTCTACATTATTTTGGTTATCTAAATATTTTATTTGGAGATCTTTTATATATTTCTCTTGCAATTTATGACCATTTATTTTCCTTTCCTAATCTACTAAACTCTCTTAAACATATATAATTATTCTAATACTCATGCACTAATTAAAGTAAATAATCTTCATCTTCTGTCCAAGGAGCTTCTGAAAGAGAAATTTTATATTTCTACTCCCATTTTAATCTACATTAATGAGCATTACGTCCTATTGTCATTTTAGCTATATCTCTCCATTCAATTGGTGTCTTATTTTTAAGAATAATTTAAATTACAAGTTAATTGATTTCTTTTATTAAACAATATCTGATAACCACCCAATAAAATAATCTTTTATCTTAATCATTCCATTTTACACTTCTTCTCCTTGCATTTTATCTTTATTTATGATTATCAATTCTTATACATATTCATTTAAAACAAGATTTTTGCTTCTTCAATTGTCGGCCAATCGTCTAGTTTTAATCGAAGATTGGAACCTATTCTTACTAGCTATTCCCTGGTTTCTTAAAACTCCTTTGATTTTTCAACAAAATTACTGAAATGCTGATTTACCACTTCGTAAGGGTAGACTTTAAGAATAACATACTAAACGTTACTAATTAAATCCTCCATCTCGCAACTACCAGCTAGTTTTAATTCATTCCTCTCTGTTTGCATTAATAAAATATTAAATACTGTATTATTAATTCATTATTAACTCCAGCGATGAGAATTTGAGGAGCAAAATGTTTATATTGAAATTAAAAAGTTTTTATAAATTTTTTTATCAATTTCTACACACTTTTAATGAGAAAGAAAACAATCCTTAATTCTTTAATTGAACCCATTTATATTTATCCAATAAAATTATTTGAATAAAAATTTCATGATATTTATAATTTATATTCTTTTTTCAAATCCAGTTTTATACAACTTACACAATCTCATTTATACATACTTTTCTCTAGTATTAGTTTAAAAAACTTTAGATTTTATTATTTCTGTGTCATTTCAACACATTTTAAAAAACATTTTATTCTTTTAAGCAATTTTCAATTAGATGTTTTCAATTTCTATTCAAGTGATATTTCTTTGACTAAAATTACTTTAATATATAACACTCTGAAATTGAATATTTTTATCCATTTTTTTATTGTTTATTTTCCTTTTATTTTCATATATAAAATATATGATAGTAATTTTTAACAATTTAAAAAATGTAATATTCAAATAAAGAGATTTTTTATAATATGAATAAGTAAAGGATAAATACTATTAAATAAAAAAACCATAAATCATCTGTTCTACAGCACTTTTTTTGTCTAGCTCTAAAATAAATAACTGATACTTATTAGTACTACAATAATAGTATAATTTATGTTTTTTATAAAATAAATATTAGCAATATATTATTATTAAATATAATTTATTTTTAAAATGTACTGATAATTGAATAGATGATAATCGACTCATATATTTTTTTATAAATGCCATTCATAATAGGCTGCTTCAAGTTAATATGAGTTTTCTACAGATCTAATGTTGTGATCGGTTTCAATAAAACTAGCTCCTATATGTTGTTTTTTCAATTATTCTAGATATTTTTCATACAATATTTATGGGTACTAATCCTAAGGTACTTTCAATTTGAATTCTTCAAAACTCTAAACTGGAGCAGCTTTTATATTGTATTTTTATTAAAGTTCTTAGAGAATTTAATCTAAATAATAAATATAATTACTCTTTCTCAAATTTAATTGTTCTGTGTATGACACATTAGTTTGATCAAATACTTCTTAGTTTTATTCTAATGGTTGATCTTCTTCTTATTCACTCTACTCTGAAACAAGTTTAATATTTTCTAAGAAATTTAAATCAACTTCGTCAGCTTTTTACAAATATTTTTAAAGTCTTTCTTCTCTTGGATTAAGAATTTTCAATTCTTTTTAAGGTTCAATCTGTTATTCCTCTTAAACTAATTCCATCTTTATTTCAGTGTCAATCAATGGACTAGAAAAATGTTATTAAGGTTTAGTAGATCTTAAATTATTATTGTTAGCAAATTAAGCAAAAATAGTATCATATTCATTTAGAATTGGTTTTTTCGTATGTATTTTTTCATTGTTAGGAGAGGGCATAATTAATTGTTCTTCCTTTAATTCTGTAGGTTGATTATTAGTAATAATATTTTACACTTATGGTTCAATTTTATTATTATTTGTAAATTATTGAATATTATCTTTATCAATTTAAGAACTATGTGAAGAAGTATTCTCAATTTATTGAATTAAACTTTCTGTTTTTAATTTTAATTAATCCTTCAATGACATTTTATTTATTGTTTAAGATTCTATTTTATCTCCTAATTATTTGATTTCAATATTGTTTTTTGTTTCTTCAGATTATTCTACTCCGATATTTTTTTTTGCCTCTTCAATCATCTATTAAATTTTAGGTGAAAACTTAGGAGCTCTATCTATATATTTTAATTCAATAAGTTTTTCAGCAGTGCTTTCTTCTTAAATATCAATATTATTTTTAGATAGAAATGAAACATTAATAGATTCTTTTGGATTGAATTAAATGAAATTAATTTTTTTGGTTCTATCTTCTGATATTTTTTCTAATTTTAATAATTCTTCTTCAATATTAATAGGTTTTGAAAATTTGATTGTAGAATAATCTTCTTAATCATCTTGATCATCTTGATCATCTTATTTATCTTCTTTTTATTCATCCTATTCAACTTAATCTTTAGAATAATTTTCCTAAATATTTTCATCATACTTTTCCTCCTCAGATTCAGATTGCCTATAATTTTCGTTTAAAATGTCTTATTATGAAATATCTTATTAAAGATTGGAATCAAAACTATTAATTCCATTTGGATGATTAATTTGTTCTTCCAATTTCTGAATAGATTAAGATATCATTTTCTTGAGACTATCTTCATGAGTGGTATGAGATTATTAAATGCTTTCTGATTAAATGGTTGATTAAAGTATATTTTAAACTTTATCTATGGAAGGATTATGATTATCTTATTTGAATGTAATAAATTTAGATGTGTTATCAGATTAATTATGAAATTAAGTATTAATTTTTAATTATTTAGTTTAATCATTCCCTAACTTATAATAAATATTACTAAAGTAAAGTAAGCATTCATCTTCACAAATAAAGGTTGATTAAGCAATGATAGATAGAGCAGTTGATTATTTCATTAAATTGTAACCTTAAAATGTAGGTAAATCTTCAATTCTAGATTACAAAATATCAACAGCACCTGCTACAACACATACTCCTAGTATTTCAGTATCGATAGATGAAAACTTAAGCATAATTCCTTCATTTCTTATATCTAAAATGATAGATGAATATAAATTAATGATACCTTATTAAAATGAAAAGTTATTGCTTGACTATCTTACTCCAGTTAAGAATACCCATGATTTAGGTACTTTGACAAACTATCTAGAGATTTTAGATGCGTATACTTAAGATAAGGAATGAAAACAATTTCTTTGACTTTAAAATTGAGACAATTAATTTAGACTCTATCATCAACTATAGCCATGTAACGATATTCTATGGATTGTTCTGTTCCACTCAAAACTCCTATAGTAAATCCTAGATTTAGTATTAGATAGGGTTACCATTGGTGGTCACATTGTAAATCTTGCTAAAGTACACCTAAGTATTATGATTCATTAGACTATTAATTGTTAAAGCAACCTAAGGGACACGGATAAATGGCTGATCAAATTTTATTTCCTTTATTTTTCATTTGCAATTTGTCATACTTAATATTATAGTTTTCCAGCCTAAAGATCTTCAAATTGTATTAACCCAATCTCTAATTATAGTGGTATGTTTTTGGAAGTAACCAAATAAAACAAAAGAAGGCTAATTAGTTATACCTTCATATATAATTATATTAAAAACGAATAAATTAAATTGAAGTCATACAATTATAACATTTTTCTAGATCAATTCTTTGTGATTCCAAAGAGATCCCTACAAATTGAAAGATTAATCTATAATTCAACGATTTTTATTCACGGTTGTAAATTTAAAAGTTTTGATGATAAAACATATATATTATATATATTATATTATATTATATTTTAAATAATGCTCACAAAATAAGTAGCTTTTAAAAGATCTGAATCACTCTCAAAAGTTGATTATAGAATATATGTTGAATTATTAAAAGGAAAGTCCTATCGAGGAGTGATATTCATTTCTGTAGAGATTCACAAGATTGAAGGATTATTATTAGACTGGTAAGGAGGTAAATTAGATGGAATAACTGTTAATGATAAAATAGTAGAATGGAAATTAGAGGATGGATTTATTAGTTTTGTTGGATAAGATAATTTAGTAGGTTAAACTCAGATAAGAAGTATAATTTATAGATAAATATAAAATAGTAAATTTTGAGAATGAATATTCTACAACAGGTTATGGATTACATTCATTTATAGATTCAGATGATCAATAATATGTTTATTCTTAATGCGAACCATATCATTTTTCAAAGATTTTTCCATGCTTTGATTAACCAGATTTAAAAGGTTTAAATATTAATTTAAAATATTAGGAACTTTAAAATTGATTGTTTAAGCTCCTAAATAATGGAAGATAATTAGTAATGAGAAGAGGATGGTAAATGAGATACAAAATGAAGAATTGGGTAAAGTCTAAGAATTAGGTTATCTTAATTAAAAAGATGAATATTATATAGAAGAATTTGAAACCACAAAGAAATTATCTACTTATCTTTATGCAATAGTTGCAGGACCATATGAAGAAATTAAATGTGAAAATTTACATAGTGGGATAGAAATGAGTTTATTTTGTAGAGTTTCTTTGAAATAATATTTATAAGGAGATAGTGATGATATTTTTAAACTTATTAAGGATGGTATAAGATATTATGAATAATTATTTTAATTTCCTTATCCATTTAGCAAATATGATTAAATATTTTGTCCAGAATATGCAACAGGAGCTATGGAAAATGCAGGTGCTGTTACTATTAATGATAATTAAATATTTAAAGAAGAAGTTTCAGTAGATTAAATTGCAGAAAGAGGAAATACTTTATTACACGAATTATCACATATGTGGTTTGGTGATTTAGTTACTATGAAATGGTGGGATGATTTATGGTTGAATGAAAGTTTTGCTGAATTCATATCTCATCTATGTTAAACTAAAGTTCATTAAATTCCAATTGATCATTGGGTTTAATTTTAAAAAAGAAAAATATGGGGATATATAACAGATTAAAGAAATACAACTCATCCAATATTTTGTGATGTTTAAAATACAGATTAAGCAGATAATATTTTTGATGGAATTACATATGCTAAAGGTGCAGCTTTATTAAAATAGTTATTTACTATGATGGGAGAACAAAAATTCAGTTAAGCTATGGGTTAATATTTTAATAAATATCAATATTCTAATACTACACTTTCTGATTTCTTTGGAATTATGAAATAACAATTTGAAGGTGATTATTTACTATAATGGGAATAAGATTGGATTATGAAAGCTGGTTTAAATTTAGTTGAACTTGTCTCTGTTGATTAAAATAAATATACATTTTAATAAACAGCAACTTTAAAAGATTTACATCCTACTTTAAGAAATTAAATGTTTAAAATTGGATTATATGAGTAAGATGGAAAAGAATTAGAAGTCAAACTTATATCATTAAATCCTACTGAATATACTGTTTTAGAATTTGAACATCAAAATGCTTTTGTACTTTTAAATTTTGATGATGGTTCATTTCTCAAGACTTCTTATTCATAATAATAAATAGATTTCTTTTTAAAGAATCTCTCTAATTTATCTACAATTAATAGAGTTCTTGTTTTAAGATCTATTTGGGATTAAGTTAGAGATGGACTCACTAGTTTTACTACTTTCATTAATGGAATCTTGAAATCATTACTTAATGAAACTGATGATACTGTTTTATAAATGGTTTTAGGATGGTGTACTGGTGGTGTTTCATTTTATTGTCCTATCAAATATAGATAAACATTTGAAAATGAATTAGCTGATGTTATTATTGATTTATTAAGAAAATGTCCAAAAGAAAATAAAAATAGAAGATTGATTTTATTAGATTATTTAGTAGTATGGGGTACATCTCAATCTAATCTTTAATTATTATTGTAACATATTAAATCAGATAATGAAGAATTTGGATTCATTGGTTTATCAAATGGATGGACAATTATTAGAAATATCTTTGCTTAACTTAATATACCTATTGAAGAAAAGTGGAATCTTTATTAAAAATGGGCTGAAAAGGATGGAACAGATGAAGTTAGACTTTAAAAACGATTCTTAGAAAGTCTCTTCAATTTTGATAAACTTTGGGATTACTTTCTGAATTATAATAAAGAAGAAAGTATTCCTATGATCAAAGAAGTTATGAAAGCTTTTAATCATTAAATTCATCTACAATAATTGCTTGATTATGAATCCAAATATTTTGAAGCTTTACCAACAATCTTTTCTACTAAAAGTTCAGAATATGCAAAAGAATTCTATCATTATCTTTATCCTATTAATGATAACATTAATGATTACATTGAACTTTGTGAAAAAACCTTGTTAAAATCATAAAATGACATCTTAACTAAGTTCTTAAAAGAATCAATTGATGCCGATTAGAGAAGATAAAAAACATATAAGTTCTTTTTTGATCCATAATGAGATTATTGAACATGTAAAAATTATAATATTTTATTTTTAAAATCTGAGTAACTTTTTTTTAAATAGATTGGAAAAGCTTTTCAAAATATTCTTCATAAAAGTTGAGTTCAATATGACCCTTTCTTTTTATTAAGAATATAGTAATTTTTATTGATTTTTTTAAATGGTCATATAAATATATTTTCAGAGGAGCTCTTAATTATTCAAATCTGTTATCTTTTTTAAATTTATCCAAATAAGTAAAAATATCTTTTAAGGAATTAATGATCTTTAAATTTTTGTTATGAATATAAATTTAGTAATTTAGTTGATTCTAAAAGTGATTGAGAAGTGTGATAATAAATTAATCAATTTAATTTAAAATGAGCGTTGAATATGGGTACAGGAAATAAAGTAAAATGGTATTTAATGAATGTGGTTAAGAAGATGAATATAATATTTTATGTTATTATAAATTTTATTATTGTGCTTAATAAATTGTTAATATGAGCCCGTTTTAATAGCTAGGTTTGGAAGGAGTAAAAATAAATTAGAAAAGACTCCAGCACCTTAATTTGAATGTGTAGATGAGATTGATGAAGAGGATGAGTAACCAAAAGAGTATTAAATAAAAGTTGGAAGTCTTTTTTAATTGAATGATGGAAGTTGGTTTTTAAAATCTAAGGATCCCACAAGTGGATTAACAAACTTATTAAATTTGAATGATATAACTCGAGTGAAATATGTTCCTAAAGAAGATGAAGAAGAAAAGAAGAAGATTGAAGAAAAACCTGAATAAGTATTAAAAGAATTTGAATGGACTCCTTTGATAGCTTATGAGAGTTTTCCAAGAAATAGAGGAGGACATTCAATGCATGCAATAGGAGATATAATAGTTGTATTTGGTGGATGTTTTTTGGATATAAAATGCTTTGATGATTTATTTCTATTTGATGCAAGAACAAAAGTATGGACATCTCCAAGAGTATTTGGTATTCCACCAGTAGGAAGAACAGGATTTGGTGCATTAGTAAATGGTGCAAAATTATATATATTTGGTGGATATACATTATAAGGTTTAACAAATGATTTATTTGTATTTGATTTAGAGAGTAAAAGTTGGAATTAATTATTTTGGTAAGGAATAGGTCCAAGTCCTAGAGCAGGACATAAGATGGTTTTAACAGCAATAGGAGGTTTAGTATTTGGTGGATTTGTAGGTGATAAATATTCAAATGAAATATATATATTAGATATAGTAAATGAAAAATGGTTAAAGCCAGTAGTAAGTGGTGAAATTCCAATAGGAAGAGATGGTTTCTCTATGATTTCTCATCATGGTGTTGCATATATATTTGGAGGATATGCTACTGGTGTTGTTTTGAATGATATGTATACTATTAATGAAGATTTAACATGGGAAAAAAAAGAACCAGCTGGTAAAGTACCATCTCCAAGATAAGGAGCAGCTTTTGCTGAATATGATCATAGAATCTTTGTTGCAGGAGGATGTAATCCAAAAACTAATGAATGCTATAATGATTTATATGCTTTAGATACTACTACTAATCATTTTAGTACTGTTAATGCTTTTAAAAAAAAGAATCTTAAATAATTGGAATTTGCTGGAATGGTTTTTGCTGGACCTTTATTAATTCATTTTGGAGGTTGTAAATTAGATAAAACTTGTAGTGATTCATTAACTGCAGTCTTATTAAATTCTAATGAATAATGTCCTCCTTGTAGAAATGGAGGAGTATGTAGAGTTGGTCATTGTAATTGTTAATAAGGATGGTAGGGTATTGATTGTACATCAAAAGTACTTTGTAAATAAAACTGTTTAGGATAAGGTACTTGTTTAAGTAATGGATATTGTAGATGTTATCCTGGATTCACTGGTACAGTATGTTAATTATAAATACCATGCCCTAGTAATTGTACTGATGCAGAACATGGAGAATGTTAATTGGATGGAAAATGTAAATGTAAAGAAGGATTTAGTGGATAAACATGTGGTGAAGAACCTAAGGAAGAATAAAAAAAAGAAGAAGAAATATGTAAAAATAATTGTAATCGTCATGGAAAATGTAATTATTATACTGGTTTATGTGAATGTGATTATGGCTTTACTGGACCTGATTGTTCAACTGTTTCATCTTCAGATGACTATAAATCTATTTGGGAATTACTTAAAGATGATGATAATGAACCTGAAACTGGAACTACTAATGTTAATATGTAAGATTTTATTTCTACTGGATATAAACTATCTAAATAACAAAATTTATATATTCCATCATAAGATGAAGGAGAAGAAAGTATTTTTGATGAAAATCTCGAATCAGACGATATTATTTTTAAATAGAGAAAAACTTAATCTTAATCTTAATCTTAAAGTCTTTCGAATAATGATTAAAATTTTACCAATTATTAATTAACTATGGTACCTCCAAAAGCATAATAAGATGAAGATCCTTATTAGTTAATGTTGTTGAGTGAATGTCCAAAGAGATGTTCAGAACATGGTGTTTGTATAGAGCATGAATGTTATTGTTGGTTTGGATATACTGGAGAATATTGTTAAGCATCAAAAATAGCAGATTTTTATTTAGGATGGAGAAAGAAGAAGGTGATGTATGCTTGTTTAATAAGTTTTTTTGTAGGAATATTGATAGGTTATGTAATAGTTTTATTGATGAGAAAGAGAGGAAATGACGATGAATTTCGAAATATGTCAGAAGTACCAAGTTAGAAAATAGATGATAATGAAGGAGAAGTGGAAGAATTGATCGTGTGATGTTAATAAATATAAAAAATATATAATTAATAATGGACGATAGTTTGAATAATACATAGCCCAAAAAGAAGACATTTTACATAAGAAAGAAAGCAGATGAGATGCAAAAGCAATCTAAATTATATTCTTAACTTCCTGGACTTGCGAATTATATAATACCAGGAGCAGTATTAGTTTATGAATTATATAATAAGTCATTTAACCCTGGATTATCTATAGGTTCAAAAATGATGGTAAAGAAGCCCACATCAGGTGTGCCATCATAAATGAGTAGAGGAGGATAAGATAAATAGGATCCTAGAGCTAGTACACCAAAGGGACCAATTAGTAGAATATCTGAGATGGATGAAGAAGAGAAGAAGAATGAAGTAGAAGGTCCTTAGGTATGAATTTGAATAATATATGTATAGTTGAAAATGAAAAAGGAACATATATCATTTTTGGTTAAAACTGAAACAGTCGGTTATGATAATGTAGTTGTCTCAAATAATGGAAGTGCTGCTATTTATTATGAGTGGAAAAGAATAGAGAGTGTTAGAAAATAACCTAATTCAATATAAGATATTAATGAGGAGAGATTCTTTTGTCATCATGATTAGAATGTAATTAAACCTGGAGAAAGAATTAAATTTGTGTTTAGTTTTCTATCTAAATAAGCAGGGGTGTTTAATGAAGAATGGGAATTAAAATGTGAACCTCCATGTTTAAATTAATTACCTAATTTAAAATTAACAGGAATAGCATTTATAGATGATGAATTAACTAATGGAAGAAAGGAATTTTAAAAATAAGTTAAAAATAAGTTTGCATTGAAAATAGCTACAGAAATTGTAGATGATATATTTGAAGAAGTTAAAACACCACCACCTCCTAAGCCTGATCTTAATGATCCTGAACAATTTAAAATTGAATTTGAAGAATTAAATCTAGGTGAATAATTATGGTTTACACATGAGATTATGAATTTCTTTAATTTCTCATCAGATGAAATATGTTAAATTTTAAAATAAGATATACCATGGAATGGAGATGTAAAATAATTAAGATAATCATGTCATACAATAGATGAAGAAGAAATTAAAGAATTAGTTTTACGTAAATTAGAATTATGGGTTAAATTGGCTAAGAAAGTACCAATATCTCGTAATCCTATATATAGTGTTGTTAAAGATTTAATAGGCGATGTAGCTAATTAAGTACCATAATTATCAGAAGATATGCGTAAAGAATTATAAATGTGGGAATATACATTTCATGAACCTGAAGATTTAACACCAGAAAAAGCTAAAGCTAAATTAGATGAATTTAATAAAATGAAAGCTAATTGGTTAAAAAATGCAAAAAAAAAGAAATGGAATGAAGAAATGGAAAAGGAATTAATTGAAGAATATAAAACTAAATTAGGAATTAAAGTATCTGAAGCATTAGCATAAGCAGCTATTAAATTAGAAAATGATGGATAATTATTATAAGTAGGTGCATTAATGAAACCAGAATTAAAATGGAATGTATTTAGAAGAAGAAGATATTAATCTACCTATTTTTATGATTTACTTAGAAAAAAAACTATATAAGATTCAGATATTGAAGGTAAAAAAATTGGATTAAAAGTTCATTTAAAATTAGCTAATAGACCAGATGTTTATGAACTTAAAGAAAAGTTTGAGTAAAAATTATTAAAAGAATAAGAAGAGGAAAATAAAAGATTGGAAGAAGAAAGATTGGAAAAAGAAAGATTGGCATAAGAAGCAGCTAAAAAGAAAGGAAAAGGTAAACCAGTTAAATAAAAAGAAGTTGAAGTTGTTTAAGGTAATATATATTATTATATAAATATTTATAGTTTAATAAAAGAATTATGATCTTAGTCATTTAGATTAAGCAACGCTTTAAGAATGTGTAGAAACACTTAAATTATTAATGGAAAGATAAGCTAAAATAGTTGTATTATTAGTAAGTTATGATAATCCAAGTGGAAAATATAAATTTACATCATCTACTAAATTCTTTTATGAATGGTTAAAGACTCAATTAGAATGTCCAGTATATTTTAATGATGTTATAATTGAAAATTTAGATGAATAATTGGAAACTTAAACATTTTAAGAAAATAGTGTTTTAGTTTTAGAAAACTTATTCTTCTACCCAGATGAAGTTGGTTATTCTGAAGAGGAACCAGATATAGAATCAAAAACTCCTTATAGAACTTTATTACCATATGGAAATATATATATTATAGGAGATAGAGTTAATTTCTTTTCAAGATTTTATCCATCAATAATTCATATGAATGCTGATTAGACAATTTTATCTTCAGCTATTGCAAAAGATATACACATTTTATGTCATAATCTTATGGGATGTTAGGATAGAAATGGAACATTAATTCTTGGAGGAGATTTGACAGGAGATAAATTATTAACAATTGATTAATTATCTGGACATTTATCATCAATTGTTTTATTAGGAAAATTGGGATTGTCATTTTATTTAACAATGTATGAAATTCCAAGTGATCTTGTATCAGAAGCTGTTAGAGAAGTAATTAAAAATCTACTTAATGTACTGAGAGATGAATCAACTGATAAACCTCCTTAAAGATTAACTAGAATTAGTCACCTTCCAGAATAACCAAAACCTAAAGCAAGATTAATATGTCCGTAAGATTATTTAATTACTACACTCCCTGAAGCATATGATCCTGCTAATTAAGAACATGTTTAAATTGTTACAACCAGTATTGCTCCTTTTGTACCTGAAGGCAATATAGTACTAGAAGAAGGTAAAATACTTTTAGATTATGGACCGAAAACTATTGAAATTGTTAAACAAGAAATCTAAAATGCCCAAAGATTATTTTGGATTGATGATGCCAATCTTGCATTGTATAACATTTAAAAATAAATTACTGTTCCTGATTTTGAAGCTATTGCCTTATTAAAAAAGTTAAGAGAAGAAGAAGCTGAAAGAGAAAGAGAGAGATTAGAAAAGTTAAAAGAAAAAAAAGGGGGAAAAGCTAATAAAAAAGGTGTTAAAGAAGAACCACCAAAAGAACCTATTAATAGTAATCTATTTTTTTTATTACTTTTTATTAGTTAAAACCACTAAAGAAATTAATGTTCCTGTTTTTAATCTTACTAACAAAGAACTTGGTTTGTATATTTATGAAATGAACTAAGAAAAAAAAGATAGACATTAACATGCCCAAAAATAAGGACATTCAATTGCATATGATTTTAATCAAGATTGTGTGATAACTATTATTGGTGAAAAATTAGAAAAAGTGCTCAATTAAGAGGATTTTTAAAATATAGGCAATGAGGAAGAAATAGAATAAGCTCCAGAACCCAGTTAAAGAGGTTCTTAATTCCCTTAGAGTGAGGCAGGAGAAGATTAAAAAGAATAAGAAGAAGAACAAATTGAAGAAGAAAAAGTCAAAATTAATTAAGTAATCTTTTTAACTTAAATATTAAGGTCAAATAATTATTAGCTGATTTCTTTATTCAAGATTAAGATTTCACTCTTTCATTTCTTGCTGGAAATTAAATTCACATCCAAACACTTGATGAATATCCACCAAAACCAGAATCAGAAATTAATGAGGAGTAATATTTTGAAGAAGATAGTACTCCTTGATAAATATACATATATATATTATTATTAATGTAATTATTTGATGTTCCTTTTATCATAAGATAAAAATAAAATTCTGACATCATTCAGATCATTATTCATTTGAAGAAGAAAGAACTTCTCATAATTATCAATAATTACAAAGAAGAAAATGTTCTTTTTGTTAATTATAANTTAATGTACTGAGAGATGAATCAACTGATAAACCTCCTTAAAGATTAACTAGAATTAGTCACCTTCCAGAATAACCAAAACCTAAAGCAAGATTAATATGTCCGTAAGATTATTTAATTACTACACTCCCTGAAGCATATGATCCTGCTAATTAAGAACATGTTTAAATTGTTACAACCAGTATTGCTCCTTTTGTACCTGAAGGCAATATAGTACTAGAAGAAGGTAAAATACTTTTAGATTATGGACCGAAAACTATTGAAATTGTTAAACAAGAAATCTAAAATGCCCAAAGATTATTTTGGATTGATGATGCCAATCTTGCATTGTATAACATTTAAAAATAAATTACTGTTCCTGATTTTGAAGCTATTGCCTTATTAAAAAAGTTAAGAGAAGAAGAAGCTGAAAGAGAAAGAGAGAGATTAGAAAAGTTAAAAGAAAAAAAAGGGGGAAAAGCTAATAAAAAAGGTGTTAAAGAAGAACCACCAAAAGAACCTATTAATAGTAATCTATTTTTTTTATTACTTTTTATTAGTTAAAACCACTAAAGAAATTAATGTTCCTGTTTTTAATCTTACTAACAAAGAACTTGGTTTGTATATTTATGAAATGAACTAAGAAAAAAAAGATAGACATTAACATGCCCAAAAATAAGGACATTCAATTGCATATGATTTTAATCAAGATTGTGTGATAACTATTATTGGTGAAAAATTAGAAAAAGTGCTCAATTAAGAGGATTTTTAAAATATAGGCAATGAGGAAGAAATAGAATAAGCTCCAGAACCCAGTTAAAGAGGTTCTTAATTCCCTTAGAGTGAGGCAGGAGAAGATTAAAAAGAATAAGAAGAAGAACAAATTGAAGAAGAAAAAGTCAAAATTAATTAAGTAATCTTTTTAACTTAAATATTAAGGTCAAATAATTATTAGCTGATTTCTTTATTCAAGATTAAGATTTCACTCTTTCATTTCTTGCTGGAAATTAAATTCACATCCAAACACTTGATGAATATCCACCAAAACCAGAATCAGAAATTAATGAGGAGTAATATTTTGAAGAAGATAGTACTCCTTGATAAATATACATATATATATTATTATTAATGTAATTATTTGATGTTCCTTTTATCATAAGATAAAAATAAAATTCTGACATCATTCAGATCATTATTCATTTGAAGAAGAAAGAACTTCTCATAATTATCAATAATTACAAAGAAGAAAATGTTCTTTTTGTTAATTATAATTTCATGAATTTTACATGTGAAAATTTTACAAAGAAAATATAATCTTATAATTTATAGAAAATTAAAACTAAGATGACTTGTTGTGGAACATTATTAATTTAACATTTTCTTTTCGATTAAATCAATTAATCATTTTAAACAATTATTTTTTTTTAAATATCCAAAAAACATACTGAAAAAGTTGTGATTGTTATTAAAATGCTTTTTAAAAAATGCTAAAAAATAACAATAATACCCTACTAAACTATTTAAACTTAAGAATTTTATAAAAACTGAATAATTCTCACTAATAAAAATGGAGAACTAAAATATCTAAAAAAAAGAATGGTTGCATTGGATCTAAATGATCGTCGATTATTATAACAATTTTAATTCAAGAAATCTTAAAACTCAAGATTACTACATTACCAATAATCTTTAAATATTTTTGAAATCTCTTCAAGATAACGCATTTGATGTATTTATCTCCTCTTGCAAGTAAAAAAACACTTCAACCCTATTTGTAATTACCTAATAACAGAAGAGTCCGCTTAAAATTAAGAAAGAAATGACCTATTTCAAACTTCTAAAAAGTAATATCAAACAACAAATTATAAAATTTGGTATTTTTTAATATTTCTTTTATTTTTTTATTTTATTATA